AACCATGTCACTCATATCTGTCTGTATGTGCGTACGTATGTCCGCTAATCCTTGACCCCGCTATAACTTGGAAAGTACGGGTCAAATTTTGATGAGATTTTCACACAAAATTCCTACTAAGCTTTATAGTTATAAAAGAAGAAAAAGAAAAATCACTCACTCTACGTTTTTTGACGTTTCAGATGATCATTTTTGGATAAAAAAATAGTGTTAAAAAATTGTCGGGTGGGGGTTTTTAAGGTGTAGCAGTCGGCATCCGCTGCTCGACTGGCCGTTGATCGTCGATCGTCATCCACGCCACCCGAACGCATAGTTTTGATCATCTGCGCCTGCAGGAATTTTACTCAAGGGAAGGGGGAGGGCCATTCATCGGCAAGAGATAACTTTGTGTAAAAGCGTGCCTACCTCCAAAACTTTTTAAAGAGCGAGAGCTGGCATATTTTCTTGAATTGTACAGAAAAGCATATTAAATATGCATTTGTTTTTGTGTGTTCCTTGCAAAACTGGTCAACAAATCGCTTTTTTAAAATATGGCTGCTGAAAATTGACTTCTGACTTTACACGAGTGAGACACTTGCGGATAATAAATAATTACAAGCTTTGATTTACTTTGACCTATTTGCACTTGTGTGGCACAAATCGGTTTCCATTTTGTATCCAATATGACGAATGCTACAAAATGGCGACTCATCATTTCCATAGTAACCCCTATGGTATGGGTATCATATGAAAGGCCTTGATGAGAGAAACAAAATAAGCAAATTGATGTCACACTAAATCCAATATGGCTGCCGCTGCAAAATGACTATGTACATTTTTCACATTCCCCCTATGGTATGGATATCCAATGAAAGGGCTTAATGAGAAAAACGCAATGAACAAAATGATATGGATATCGAATGACAGGGTTTACTGAGAGAAACACATTAAGCAATAGTCATTATAAATCCTTTTATGGCGGATAGTTACCCCTATTATACGAATTTCAAATGATAATGGCTTGACGAGAGAAACACAGTAAACAAAGTGACGTCATTCTAAATCCAATATGGCGGCAACCTCAAAATGGCGATTCCATAGTCACCCTCTTCTATGGTTATCAAATGAAAGGGCCTAATGAGAGAAATACAATAAGTAAATAATGTTATTCTATAATACAAGCACAGACAAGTAAAAATTAACTAGTTGTTTGACTTTGACATCATAATATCGTTTGTTTGACTTTGAAATCATAATATCGTGGATACTAAAGAGTGAAAATATACAGAATACAAATACATTTTAAAAAACGAAGCTTTTGGTTAGCTGTTCATTAAATGAACTAACCATTTAATTAAAATATTTTTTCCGATTATAAATATTTAAACGATGAGGCTCCTAGCAGCTAAATAAAAGCTTGTTTTTGAAAATGTCTTTTTTTATTTTATTTATTATTCTTGAGATCGGTCATGTATTCACATGCTCATTCAGTTTTCGTTTTGTTTATTCAAGGCAGGAATCTTCATTTTTAAAATTTTCTAATCTGCATATAATTTTCTTGTTAAAATCTCCCTTGAAGTTCAGTCAGATACTTTATAAACACCCTGTATGTGTATGTGGGATAGGCGATTATTCAATGGTAACATATTTACTGAATTTTTATCGGCTTAAGCACTCATGAGGATCCATCCCAAGTGTCTGGTTTTGTTGATAGAATTAAGTAAATTACATCCTTAATTCTTGGATCATCGCTAACACAAACTACGATACACTTTGTATTTTGCATCATATTCTAAAAGATGTCACTCTTGGAGAACTATTTGTTTTCAATCGATAGGGTGACGTAGTTATTTTTACAAGGTGAAAATGATTGACTATGTATTTATTCTGAATTGTTCGTTGTCTGTGAAAATCAAAATAAAGTAATTATTTGCATATAGGCGTTGCTTTGTTTGTTTTAAAGCGCGTTGATGATGAAGCAGTATGTGATTACCAATATTAAGGAAAAGTAAACGCAATATGCTCTTGGATCTGAGTATGAATTTTTGTTTCAAAAACTCTCAGCGTTGTAGTCATATAATCAAATTCAAAAATATCTTGGTCAGGTGGACACTTAGACAGACCGAATGTTGTTCTTGTTACTTGTAAGCTACAACTTTATTTTGTACTTGCTAACAACAGTGCAATGGGTAACACGTCAAGAAGGGATACCTTTTGCTCACAGTAAAAACTAGATATTATATTGTGCTAGAGGTTATGTCTAAAAAAAATTCGGAATACATAGAGGAATACGTCAAGTATACGTAGCGCGTCATCAGTCGATTAGTAAAAGCAACAATAAAAGTAGTACAACAACCTATGTACTTGACAAACTTCAGCATTAAAACACAGTAGCGGTACAATGTTTATTTATACGTGGGTGAGAGAACAGTGATATGATTTCTACAAGCAACATCGCATCTGTTTGTGCTATATCATTATACCGATATAGCTTGCAATTTTTATTTTAAGAGAAATCAGTGGCGTACCATTAAGGTCAAGATAGGCAGGTGAAATTTCTTCTTATAATTTTCCAAAAAATCACACTCTTAAATATTGACATTCAATTAAGAATATGTAATGTATTTTGGGCCACAGATGCTCTACGCCATGTTTTACGTCCACTAGATTTCCGAGAGCTACGTGTGTGTCTCTCTCTTTCTCTCTCTTTTTTGCTGTCATAATGACGGTAATCAACTCCAATTTTGATATTTCGGACGAGTTGGAAGATAATATTAATAAATTATTTATTGTTAGTCTTCAAGGTTGGCTTTAATGAATCGGGTGTAAATATAGCAAAAATTTGTTTATAGTGTTCTGTTTTTGGTATGCAAATGAACTTTTCTAAGGCCCGTATCGTCAGTCGTCCCTACAATTGTAGGGCGCGTTTATGGCCTCCTTGATTGTCATACTTCTTTCTCTCCTTCAAAAATTTCTAGATTACACTTGTCCCGTGTCAGCGTCAGCTCTCTCCTATTGTGAAGATATGTTTTCTTTTTAAATTGTAGGAAATTTCAGGCTGATAAAACATGATATATCTCAAAAGCAAGCACAATTTGATGCAAATAGATGTTTGTGACATAACCTCAAAATAGAACGCTGACACGGAAAAGTAGTAAACTATGAAAATCAAGGAGTCCAAAAAGGTGTCCTACAATTGTAGGAATGACTGACAATACGTCCCTTAGCAAGTACAAATTTGAATCTGTAACGTACAAAAAACCAAAACAAAATATGACTCTGTCTACCTGGCATTGACGGATCTGTCAGAATTATGTGTCCTTTGCCGATATGGGGAATTTTGAAATATTACTAGATAACCAGCTGTCATTCTACCGCGATAGATACTCGTGAAATAGGGCGACAGGATTGGCTTCATACGAATACGTGTATCCTTAGGTTTCACCACAGCCGACGTCAACTAGTTGACGTCGGCTGTGGTTTCACCTCCTATCTCTATTTTAACTGTCAGAATAATGTCAGAAGCCAACTCTCCGAAATTCTAACTGGGCCAAAAGTAAACACTACGGTAGACCCTAATAAATAAAATTCATAGAAGACTCGCAGGTTTTGTGATTCAAAGTTAGGAAGAACGGAAGGAAAAAAGAAAAAAGGCGAGTATAGAGGAAGTTGTGGGTTATCCAATACTATTAACCGAGATCCGGATTTTTTGGATGATAGAGGAATAGTTTTTTAGGTATTGTTAAATATGTAATTCCTTTCAAAATTGTGTGTATTAACTTTTTTAGTAATACGATCTGCGACAACGTACGGTAGAGGGTCGCTGTGTGATTCCGTTAGATCGTTGCGCTTTTATTGTTCGGCTTAGTCTGTAGGTAAGGGATGTTTCTGAGAAACAACCGGTTTCAGCGGATCTTTATGATATTTTTGAATGCTGCAGACATGACCTTCAGAAGATTATGGATTTAAATTTATCCCTGATAATGAACAGACTCGTTGAGTGTATAGTTGGTAAATCCGTCATTCATAAAAATTGTAAGGTATGGCAACTTATGTTTCAATTCTTGCTTATCAAACGTTTGTTAAAAGAAAGCTGCAGGATAGCCAAAATTTAGCCGTTTTCTGATTTCTAAGAAATCATTTTTACTGTCCACTTGTAATGTGATAAAAAAAGTTATACCTATGAATGTTTGATGATGTCTCATCACTAAAATCACGCAATTCTATCTCTTCGTTGGTGTATTCGTTATCGCGTTATCGATTTTTGTATCTTTTGTATGTTTTGTACACTGGGAACAAGATTTGTCAGACGGCTTGAGTTCAATGTGTACGAGAGAGAAGTGTGTATAGACACCTATGATAGAAAGAGACAGACGCCGGCTGGATAGCGAAGCTCATCACCGCGTTGCCAATATGTTACACCAATTCCTTGAATTAAGATTGCATGTTGAACATTTTCTTTATTTCATTATCTACGCCCAAAGAATGGTTTTATTTTGAGCATACACATTTTTTAATTGTGAATTGTGTCGAATCTGTTTAGAATCGATTCCGGCCCTCCATTTTAGGTCAAGATCGACATTACATTGCATCATTAGTTCACTTCTAATATGTATTGATACAATCTTCTCGCGCCTCTCTCACGTACACTTTGAACTGAAGCTGTCAGACAAAGATGTTTTTCGAGATGTTTTTCAGGCGTAACCGAGAACATTTTCTTGAAGAGTAATTTTTTTATCCCAAACTTTTTAGCTCTTCTACGTTTTTTAGTTATTTGATCACTGCTGGGCACTGTAGTTAAAAAATATTTGGGAGGTTATTCATTTCATCCAACTCCAGATGATATAAAAGCGTCTTCGAGAAATATTGAAGGGGGTTTGAACATTTTGAGGTATCTGAAGTTCCGTTTTTTCAGAATTTTTAGTGCGAATAACAGAGGTGTGCCAAGCAAAATGGTTCTATCTTGGTGTCTGCATAATACATGTAGTGTTTTCGTTTGTACAACAAATAAATTGTATCAGGTGGACTCTTTTATGATCGACCAGGAGTACGAGGACGACGCTCAGGTGGAGGCGACGAAATTCCTCTTGAATCCAGACGAACACCGCGCCGTGGATCCTGAGACGCAGGCCAGGCTGGAACAACTCCTGCAGGTTGCAGGTATGCTTGGATTCTCTGAATTATGTCAATCATTTCAAAACAAAAATTACAGATTCAAATAAATAAATATAGATCAATTTTCTTAGAAGTAATGTTATAGCAGTCCTCATATACAGGGTGTTCCAAAAATAATGCCGGAAGTTCCTACAGAAAATGTGATGCGAACTTCCGTACGAAGATACAACATCCTTCTAACGGACGCACTTGATGGTATCCAGAGACGGACTAGCCTTACGCAGTATTGCTTATTTTTGTAACGCCCTTTATAATAATGGCTCATTGCTGAAAAGCCTGGATGATTCAGCTGAAAAATATGCACTTTTGTCGTAGTTTTTTTTTTAGAAAAACGCTTGAATATCGATCTACCTACAAAAATCTAAAACTTGTCCAATGAGCTGAAAATTTATTCCCCGGGGGTCAATCAGTTCGCTGATAGGGAATCTATTTACGGAATAACTAGATTTTCAAAATGACGGTACTATTATATTAGATCCAATATCATGTTTGTATGTGTGGGACAAATCTTGAATTTTGAACCAGTTAACCAATTGAACTGAAATTTTGTACACACGTTTTGTTCGCGTGATAATACAAAATGAATCAACTACCGCCATTTTGAATCGGATATGGCGGTTGCTACGAAAGTACAAAATCACTTCCATAGTAACCCCTACGATATAGGTATTAAATGAAAGGGCTTGATGGAGAAACAATAAGCAAAGTGACGTAATTCTAAATCTAATATGGCGGCTGTCGCAAAATAGCGATTTACATTTTTCCTGGCTTATTAAAGTAGTGTAATTTAACTAACTGTGTCTTTCTATCATGATTATGCGCAGGAATTGGCCAGCTGGCAGCGAAGGACGGCAAACACCTAGCCGACCCGGAGGTGTTGCGTAGGCTGACGTCGAGCGTGTCCTGCGCGCTGGACGAGGCGGCCGCAGCGTTGACGCGCATGCGCAGCGACCAACCGAGACCGCCCACTTCTGCAGGTGGGGCCGCCGGGCAGGGGGCGGGGACATCCGCGGTGCTATCTCAGGGACAGCCGACCGCCTCCTCTACCAACGGGCAAGGTTCTAGCGGACAACAGCAGTTGAACGGCGCTCAGGCTCAGGTAGGTTGATTGGAGGTTTTTTCCTTTTACTTCGTACTCCACTGGCGAGTTTTATAAACGCGAAAATGAGGTTTTTCGGATGTTATTACGGCACGAAAAACCGTGTCACCCATTTCCGTCAGTCTGTCTGTCTGGCGGTTGCCCGCTAATCCTTGGCCCGTCTATAACTTGGAAAGTACCGCTCGGAGTTTGATGAAATTTTTACACAAGTTATCAGTGAGATATTAAAAACTACTATGCCAAGGACGAAAAAGCTTTACAGTCTTTGAAAATTTGCCGAATGGTGGCGAAGGTGGCGGCAAAAAATAAACATCGCTCAAACTTTTTTTGATGTTTCAGAGGCTTCTGATCATTTTCTGAAAAAATGTAGGCTTTAAAAATTGGGGTTAGGGGTTGTAGATGAAGTTTGTGAAACAGAGAATGTGTCTCAGTTTTCTGGCATTACTATATACTTTTCCAATCCCGGTAATTCTATTTACCGATTATTATTTCACACAACATAGATTTCCCAGTACATTTGACCTTAAAACTTGATAGCGTTAGGAAACTCTGGTATCTGGCTACTCATAGCAACTTGCCTGACGCCCGGCTCTGTTAGTAGGGTAGGGAAAATGTTCTATGCTCCTTTGTTATACATGTTCCTGGCTAACTTTTTTTCTCGGAAAGGCTATCTTGTACCGAACATAATCCTTTATGATCTGATAACAGTGTTGTGTGGGAAGTGCAGAGTCTACCTACTTGGCGGCTTTATTTAATATGATTTTTCAACATTTTCAGTCGCCTAAATGCAGTCAATGCTTAGGTGTAGAATTAAACTAATAGGAATTTTGATCAATAGATCTGGCAAAGTTTCTCTAAAGATACCGCAGTTATAGAAAGTTGTTCTCACTACGTGGCCCTACGAAACTTCATTTGTGGTTTTTGCTTGTTTCTTTATTTATACACCATCAACAGATTACCAATTACTGATGGGAATACAGCAAGGTAACAAACAAAGTAATATAATACAAACTCGGCTATATTTTTACATGTTTGCTGGATGTATGATGATTTAGCATGAAGTATATCAAAATAGTGTGTCATTCATGCAAATCAGTTTGCATACCAAGCTGGAAAATCGACTGATCTGGCCTTACACAATATGGCCGGTAGGCTGGAGAAGACTCTAGATCAGCGAGAAGTGGCACAAGTGGCCTTCTTGGGCATTGAAGGTGCATTTAATTGTACCACAACCGACTCTATCAGACAGGCCTTGGTTAGATACGGGGTTGGATCAATCCTAATAGATTGGGTCCTCTCTACTCTGGAGGGTAGGGTAACAACAGCTATGCTGGATAACGTAAGCTGCAGCGTGAATGTAGCTAGAGGCTGCCCTCAGGGCGGAGTTCTGTCACCCCTACTGTGGTGTATCGTGCTGAACAAACTCCTCGTTAGGCTCAGCAGTATGGGTGTCTACGCGCAAGCCTATGCTGATGACGTAAGCATAGTGGTTAGGGGGCGTTTCTGTAGAACAGTATCGGAAATTATGCAGGGCGTTCTGCGCTCCGTGGAATCGAGGAGTAGGGAAGTCGATCTTTCTGTTAATGCTGAAAAGACCGAGCTGATCCTATTCACTTGACGGGCTGGTCATGCCGACCTTCTTTGGGACTAGATTAGTTTTGTCCCAGTCAGTGAAATATCTGGGAATTATCCTGGATTGCAAACTGAACTGGAGAGAGCATGTGGAATACAAGATTAGCAAGGCTCGGAATTCGATGTGGGCTTGTAGACGTGTTGTCGGGGTAAGGTGGGGGCTTAAACCCAAAGTGGTATACTGGCTCTACACGACGATAGTACGTCCATCTCTCTTGTACGACTCCCTGGTCTGGTGGCCTTGCATTAGAACTGAGACAACTAAGGCCAAACTCAATAAAATTCAGCGTTTGGCCTGTATTAGCATTACAAGCGCAGTGCGAACAACGCCATTGAGTGCAATGGAAGCTCTGTTGGATCTCCCACCGTTGGATCTGGCGATCCGCGGTGAAGCGAGAGTAGTCGCTCATCGACTGTGGAGTAAAGGGAGCTGGGCTTTCTTGAATCCTGTCAAGGGGCATACTGCCATCTTAGTCGAATATAGAAAGGGAGGACCCCGTCCTTCTAAGCAGGGGTGATCGTATTACCCCTAAACATCGCTTCAACCGCAAGTTTATTGTGGAGTATCCAACGAGGGAGGAGTGGGACGCCGGTAGCCGGGGACTCTCCGAAGTGAGCGGGCAGGTCTGGTATGCGGACGGCTCGGTCACAGGAGAGGGCTCAGGTGCTGGGGTCTCTGGGCCTAGAACTAGGCTAAATCTGCCTCTCGGTGGATACACCACCATTTTCCAGGCGGAAATCTTTGCGATTCTGGCTTGTGTATCTCACATTCTGGAGGAGGGTGGGCCTAGGAGAATAATAACAATCTTATCCGACAGCCAGGCTGCAATGAAAGCACTAAGTGCCTGTAAGATTACTTCGAGTCTTGAATTGCAATGCAGGGAGGCTCTGGATTTCCTCGCAGCGAGGCATCCGGTATCGTTAATATGGGTACCGGGGCACGCTGGGATAAGGGGCAATGAGACGGCGCACACTCTGGCGAAAACAGGATCAGCCAACAAGCTCGTTGGTCCTGAGCCAGCTCTAGGAGTGACTGCGCATAAAGCTAGGAGGAAAATGGAGACGTGGGTTGCAAGACAACACTCTCAGAAATGGAGAAGTATCTCTAGACATCTCCGCCAGGCACGAGAGCTCATTGAAGGGCCCAGTGATAAGGATGGACGCTTCTGCCTATCTCTGGATAGAGCCAACCTAAGGTTGCTGGAGGGACTGTTGTCTGGCCATAACACATTAAGGCGTCACCTGCACGTGATGGGGGTGGCTGAGGATCCCTTGTGCGAACGCTGCGGAGTAGAGGAAGAGACCTCGGCGCACGTTTTGTGTCGCTGTGAAGCTCTGAGCTACTATAGGCAGACTATACTGGGGTCCATTACTTTGGACCCTCAGGACGTCAAGGAGCTTGGACTCAAGGCGATTCTCAACTTCGCTAAAAGGGCGAGGCTTGTGATTTAAGGATTGTAGAGGTGCATAAGGGCCCGCTTAAGCGGCCTATGCACTGGCTACTTATGGTGGCCGGGATGCCTCTAATTTTAAGATTCATTCATTCATATCAAAGTAGTCCTCAAAATTATTATAACATGAACACATTGAGTACAGAGGTAAAAGGTACACGTGTTTTGAGGAGAAAAATGTGAAAGATTGACATTCGTTAATACCATGGGCTGTTTTGTAAAGAAATACAAGAGAATGTGCTTTCGATTGTCTAAACTAACTAAACCATGTTCGTGAAACAGGAGTTTTTTCAAAAATCGTCAAAAAACCGACGAGAGAATTATCCCTTGCATTTTTCCCATGTTGTAGAAACACCCTGTTGGAATATTCCGCTTAAACGAGAAAAAAATAAGACACGTTTTACACCCAATCTCAGATACTCTCATTCTTAAACATGAAATGAATACAATTAGCTAAATAAATTCAGTCATGATTTGTTGAAGATACCAAGTTTCGTCTTCCATCCTATTTGAAACAAGAGAATCGTATATACTAAGAGCTCAGGGTAACTGTTGTGTTTGGAAGCAAGGCATTTTTTGATCGCAGGTCGCAGTCACTGTCTTCACTGTTTATAATATTTTTATTGTATCTAAATTACAAGAAGTAGAAATTAGAAATAGCAGAGTAGAGTAGTGTAGTGACAAAAACGTTCATGACCTTGAAATATATTATTGTATTTGATTCATGACGTATTCAATATTGTATTTTACATAGCTGCAGTAATGTACCATTGAAAGGTAAATTTGCGTAATTGTCACATTTACACGAAAATGTGCAATTTGTATTGCACCGCGTGAGGGTGACACAATTTTCAGGAACCGTCAAAAAAGTTTTAACAAAGTTTTAATGTCTTTTCGTGAAAATATTTCATAACGTGTATCTAGCAATACGTTGTTATTCCAATTACGTATTCAAAGATTTCTTGATATTTGTAGCAAAAGAATTAAGCCTGCAAGGGGAGTATGTATTTTGTCACTTTTTCAGCATATTGCATCTTAATCTTAATGGTTACCTTAATTTCAGCATTGTTCCAAATAAATCATATTATTTTACACTATTTGGATGGTTCATTTTCATAATTTGGAGCGTTTTTTTACGGAACATTGAATTCCCAAATACCGTATATTCACCCATATAAGTGAAACGCAATGTCGTTTTTTTTCACAAAACAAGCTAAATAATATGTCATAAATCTGATCTGGAATTGGAATTAACACCATTGCATTCTCATTTTAACACCAGAACTGAATTTAATCCAAAAGTCTCGAAGATTCCGGGCCCCCCGATTCCTTTGACAACTAGTCCCAAAATTCCCGGTTTTATGTGTTTCGGTGCTTTATTTCCTGCTCTTGACTAACCCCTCGTATTCACCCAGTCAACAAGTACCAGCTCTGCTCAGCAACAACAGCAGCAGCCCCAGTCGTCGCCTTCGTCAAGCAGTTCGACGTCAGGCTCCCAACCCCAGTCAGGCGGCCAACCTGCACCCACGGAGAAGACCTCGCTGGTGGAGGCTTGCACTGACGGAGACGTCGGCACTGTACGCAAACTGCTCACAGAAGGTCGCTCCGTACACGAGACCAGCGAGGAGGGGGAGAGTCTGCTCAGTCTGGCCTGCAGCGCCGGGTACTACGAACTTGCTCAGGTACGACTACGTTCAAATTGATAAAAATAGGTCTATTTTTAGTTCACAACAAAATATTTTTTTTTCATACTTGGATGGTTACGGGAACTTTTCGCATAGACGGTCGACTAATCGAACCTTTCCCAAGTTTTGATCGTCCTGTAGCCAATTCATTATCGATTCTTCAGTGTTTCTTCAATTGGTATAGAGATTATTTTCAAAACACTCTGGATATACTAAGCACCGAATGTTATCTATGTTCACCATGTCTAGAGCTCATTGGAAGACTTCCCGTTTCCCATGATTAGCTTCTTTTAATTTTTGGCGCGTCTATCAAATTCACGTCACTATCAAAATTTGACAATAACTTTTCGGAGAGCAATCAAAACTTGGTTATTTGAGGAACAGGCACTTTTTTAATCTCTTAGCAAGGTAGGTAATATCAAAATGCATAAACAAGTCATTGTTTTATTTTGGTAATCTTTTTGCAATTATTGAAAGAATATAATATGCGTTTATTAGAGTCGATAAACACAACAAATTTTAGTTTTTTAAAATCCTTATGTACACAGCAAATTTTTAAAAGTTTCACGTTTAAGAAGGAGAAATACAGTAATTGCCAGACAACTCTGCATTATTAAAATGATTTCAAAAGACCCTAATGAATTTTACCAAAAAACAAGTGCTGGAAACTGGATATAGATTCGTCGATTTTAGAAGGGTTTGCTCATCCAGACGGTGTAAAAACTTCCTAAATGTCTTACTATAAAGTCGTAAGTTTAGGATAGATCTAGGAATGTTTGAAATTGTGGAAAAGCAGTATTAAAGACATATTTTATTTGAGAAAAACCCTGGCTGTATAGTATTTCATATTATATAGAATCTGTGCATGGGTAGTTTCCTTTTACTTCCCACGCGTACTGGCGAGGAAGTATCGTAATCGTGAAATTTTTTGAAAATGGTATAGATTACGAAAAACCATGTCACCCATTTCCGTCTGTCCGTTTGTCCGCTAATCCATGGCCCGTCTGTAACTTGGAAAGTATCGCTTGGATTTGGATGAAATTTTCACACAAGGCCACTACTATGCCAAGCACGAAAAAACGTTGTGGTTTTTAAAAATATGGAGCATAAACGCAAAAAAAAAATTAAATAGCTAAAACCTCGACTTTTGAGGCTTCAGAGGCTCCTGATCATTTGAATCATCGGAATTTTTTTTGTCTGGATTAAAAATTGGGCTTTAGGGGTTGTAGGGGAAAATCGGTCCAGTGGAGGAGAAAAATGCCTTGAACGAAGAAAATTAAGATTGCCCAAACTTCGTTTTTTGACGTTTATGTGGATTCTACGTTTTTAAAATGTTTTTCGGGGTAAAAAAGTGTTGAGGCGTTGCAGGGGGGTGGGGGAAAGTCCACTAGTCGCTGCTCGCTCTCAGGCTCAACAGCGGCGATGTAGCAAGTGCGACTACCAGGACAATACAATTTATTGAATATAAATAATCAGATAAGGTGACAACATAAGGGCTGTAGTTATTCAGGTGATAAATAAATAAAAGACGTTCTGCGAACATGAATATATTTTGTGAAATGTACAATCTCATTTTACAATTACAATACTTTTTCTCCAACCATATTCATTATATGTATAGTAAACCTTCCAGAAAGTTAGAGAGTTGGTTCAGATACTCATAGCCCATAATTTGAGTTTTTACCAAATCAACAATGCTTCTTTACTGATATTCATTCTAATCTACGTCATTATGCCAAGGAACAACGATTTTCATAGCCGGCAAATAATAAAGATACCAGAGCATATATAAGTTGACTCATACAATATACTTGGTGCATACACAAAGTCACCTTGTCCAAAATTGTGAGGAAAGTACAGCTTCAACCTGATTGATGCCTTTTATTTATGTATAATGTGATAATATTTCACTTTTGTTTATTATAGGTATTACTAGCGATGCATGCAAACGTCGAAGATAGGGGCATCAAGGGGGAATGCACTCCATTAATGGAAGCTGCCTCTGCAGGCCATTTGGACATTGTGAGACTGCTGGTTGCCCATGGGGCCGATGTCAATGCGCAGTCCACGTCTGGTAAGTGGTGAACAATAATTCTCTTCAACCTCATTTTTAATCATCCATTTATCTAGACTCTAGATCATGTACATATATGTCTTTTTGTGTCTTGCGGATTCGGTACGTACAAAAATTCAATAACTGTATAAAAAACCCTTGAATTTCGATACAAATTTTCACTTACTATTGAGTTTTTGATATATTTTCCTTGTAATTTTAAACGTAATGGTGTTTTGCATGGTAGCTTCATGTGCATAAAAAAGTGTTGATTCATACAATATGTGGTATGAGATTCTTGTTTTATCTATATCAATGTTTAATAATGGGTTCTGTCGTTTAATGGCTCATAATAAAAAATAGAATTGCGTGATGATAAACTCGTAATGGACTCGATAGCAAATTTAAACAGGTGATACGAGCTGCCAAAATTGAGTGTTACTGCATATTCTATTCGATAACGTTTCTTCTACTTTATAACATTCAAAAACAATATTTCACTATGCACAGTGCTACAATGTGCTTTTTATACAGTTCTTTTGAATGGGTCGATTTGGCAAGCTGAAACTTGAGATGATGACATTAATGTTTAGTTAATCACTGTATTTTAGAATAGGTGCAGGTCGACAGTAAGATTTTTGCCTCGTGAAGTAAAAATCTGATAAATGTAATGCTTCATTTTGAGATAATCTTATGAAACAGTCTCATGAGAGTTTAATCTCTTGTACAAGTACTAACATGTAAACATAATATATATCGCGAATCTCACATGAGACATTTATTTCACTTGCTACAGTTGAGCTACGTTGTTATATCATGAGATAAAACTTGCGATTGGGGAAATGAGGGAACCAAGTGAAAAGAGAGGTTTGAAAAGGCAAACAGCTAGTTTCAATTGAACTAGAGCCGTAATAGTAGAGTTTATGCAGTTATATGGATCTTATCCCAATTTATAGGAGAGCTCGTCAGAAAGCTATAAAAATAGAAATTTGAGAAAATCTGCTATGGGCGAAAACTGCCCAGGTGCAGGAATTGCATTTTGCATGTGTATATTGTTTTTCTATTTCAAACTTTAATCTGTCCAGCAAATAGAAAAAATCAGCAGCGAACATTCGATGAAAGTTTTTATAACATTGCTGATCTTCCCAATCTAGTTTCTCTTTTCTCAATCCAATCCGTCACCCAACATTTGAGAAGCCTTTTGTCTAAAGTACGGGACTTAACATCAAGATAATAATAACAAGCAGCCGTTTTTCTTCTAAGCTTTTTTTTGGCATCTCTAACCCGCAATTATTTGATATTGATCAATAATTTTATGAGTACACGGGGGTCACGTGATATCTCATTTTGAAGCTCCTTATGCGTACTTTATAACTGTACAGCATAAAATCACTATCTTTCAAAAATAGCGAGCTCCCAAAAGTTTTTCGTACATCGAGTCGCCTATAACTCAACTGTTGACCAAAACCTTATACTGTTATATGAATCTTCTTCTGTTGGTAGAATTTATCCGAATGTGTAATACAGTATGGAACATTCCTTTTAGAAAAAGTTCAAAATCTGTCATTTTTTTTTAATTGAATGTCCCATAGTTTGTTAAACATTGTGTTGGGCCCTTGATGATGACAATTGACATAACATTTCTTATGATTGGTTGTCGAATTGCAAGCGGTTCAACGTACAAAAACGCTCACAGTTGACAGCCCGCTAGTCAGCCGTTTGGAAAAATAGTAATTTTATATTTTAGGGTTATAAAGTACTTAGAAACAGCTTCAAAATGAGATATCACATAACTCTCATTGCATTTGAAAAAATGCCAGAAGATGGCGCCCAGACGATGTCTTGAAAATTTCAAATGCTATGTTTACTTTTGAATATATTTATGCATAAACTTCATCACTCCAAATTTCATCTTGCTAACTTTACCCGTTAAAAAATATATAGGGGGGGATGTTTTTGAAAAGCACGCTGCATTGTCTGTCATTTGACCAAAATGTAATGAAAGCGGTAGAAATAAAGGCATGTTTTGCGAATGTTTTAGGTTTTAGCATACAGCCTATAAATGTCTTAAAAAACTTTTTTTTTAGGTAACACCCCGTTGATGTACGGATGTGCCGGTGGCCACACAGAGGTAGTGAAGTTCCTGTTGGAAAACGGTGCAAACGTGGAGGACCACAACGAGAACGGTCATACCCCCCTGATGGAGGCTGCCAGCGCCGGCCATGTTGGTCTAGCTAAAATCCTCCTTATACACGGCGCCGGTATTAACACCCACTCCAACGAGTTTAAGGTAGGTATCTCTTTTAATAAGTGAGCGACGGTATTTTAGCCTTATCATGTAAATAATACAGGGTGCGTCATCTATTACTTTTTTTTCTATTTGAAAAATCAACACGCTTTTTACGAGGTGAAATCGATTGTTTTTATTGGTAAATGAAGGTTGGTTTATGCCATTTATGTATAAAAAATAACATCAGACATGTGACCACCGCGGCTTCGTTTACAGGCCAACATCCGAACATCAAAATTTTCAATGACTTTTCGCAGAATAATCGGGTCTATGGCCGCAATTTCAGTCCGAATATTGCGCTTTAGGTCTTGAATTGTTCGGGGACCATTCGCATACACTTTTCTTTTCAAAAATCCCCAAAGAAAATAGTCAAGAGGTGTTAAATCGCACGATCTCGGGGGCCAACTGAATTTCGTGAAATTATGCATTCTTGAAATGGTGGAATAAGGCGATTGTTTGGCGAGATGTGTGAGCCGTTGCTCCGTCTTGATGAAACCAAAGATCGTCGGCACCAATACGATCAATTTGTGGCCACAAAAAGTTAACATGCCGCGATAACGTTCTCAGTTGACGGTAATGGCATTTTCTTTGGCATCTTCAAAGAAGAATGGTCCAACGATGCCACCAGCCCATAATCCGCACCAAACAGTCACTTTTTCAGGATGGAGAGGTTGTTCATGATATTGGTGAGGATTTTCAACCCTCCAGAATCTGCAATTTTGTTTATTTACGTACCCATTGAGGTGAAAGTGAGCCTAATCAGAAAAGAGCACTTTGGCCGAAAATCCGTCTCCTCTTTCCAGCATCCAGTTAACAAAAACACGCCGCTATTGATGGTCTGCCGGCTTCAATTCTTGTGTTAGTTGGATTTTGTATGCATGGAGGTGTAAATCAATGTGTAAAATCCGGCGTAAAGTGGTCTCACTAATTCCCAAGTGTTGCGAACGGTCCCTAGTCGAGGTGGTTGGATCTTCTCGCACACTTTCACTCACTGTGGCTATGTTTTCACGAGTACGAGCTGGACGAGCATGTTGGTATGGTCTACGAGCTTCAGCTGAACCAGTCTCCTCAAACCGATTAACAATCCAACGAATTCCAGGCTCTGAAGGGCGTTCATGTCGGCCAAAACTAGTGCGAAGTTTATATTTCGACCGTTTTCGAATAAGTTTGGATAACCAAAATGCGTTGTTGTGTTGTAAACGGATCCATGACTATAAATGGCATACCTTTGACAGTTCATTTATGCATATCACATGGTAACACATAAACTTATAGGTAAAAAAAAGTAATAGATGGCGCACCCTGTATTAGAATAATGTACCTTTAAGTCCGGTGCTGTTTCTCAAAATCAACCCTTCTTCGACTAAAATTTTCAATAATCTTTTTACACAGTTGCGGCCCCTTTTCAAGCGGGGTGAGATTGCATGGTCTTGCAGGCCACTGTACGTGCCGCTGTAGAAATTTACGCGGCCATCGGAAAAACGTTTATGTGATATTCGTACGTTGATGAAGGAACATATTGTTAGAGTGCATATTATACAATTAGTGTCACGAAGAATGCATATTTCTGGTAACGTACACGTTTCCATCATTGTCATTTTTATGGAAAAATGAACGAGAATTTTCGTCGAACAATCCATAATTGCATCTACTGGGCATCATTTATTATTTCCTGCAATTTGTATGTTTTTATATTAATTAGTGTTTTTTTTTTCAGGAGAGTGCATTAACATTAGCTTGCTACAAGGGCCACCTGGATATGGTACGATTTCTGCTGGAAGCAGGTGCTGATCAAGAACACAAAACTGACGAGATGCACACTGCACTTATGGAGGCCTCCATGGATGGACATGTTGAGGCAAGTTTCCATTTACTCCTTTTTTTTTGCTCATCAAAGCATACTCATTTGAGTGGTTTTTAAATTGTGTCATGTGTTAATTAATTTCATTGAGTCTAAATTGAAAATACTTTGAATTCTGGTATAGAGTGCTTATTTTTTGAGCGGCAGGGTGAAAAATCGATATTAATGTTATAAAATCGACAAAATGTCAACTTGTGCACTAGGTAGCCGCTAGTTCTAAATGTCATAAAAAATCCATTTGTCACTTTTTAAGTTACATAATACAGGTACGAGACAAATTAGCAAGCTGAAATTTGAGGTGATGCATGAATTGTAGCGTAAAAGTGGAGATTGAAAGCCTCGGGATATCCTCTGGGCACCATCTTGGATCACCTATTTTGATTAGAATAGGGCGTGACGTGATATGTCATTTTACAGCTCTCTCAAATTTGAACATTTTTAAACCATGAATCGCTTATAACGCAACATTCAAGAGTCCGAACGCTATAGTACATCAATCTTCTTCTTTTGGAAGGGTCTTCCTGATTGTGCAATGAAATGTGAGGCATTCCAATTGAATAATTTTAGCAGTTTTCTGTAAATGTTCGATTATACTTTTTCAAGATAAAAATATATTTATGACAGACTATTGCGCTAAAATCATCGGTTGTTGAGTTACAAGCGACCCGATGTACAAAAACGCTCCAATTTGACAGCCTGCCAGTCCGCCATTTGAAATATTCATTTATTTAAACCACCAACATATCAACCAATTATTGGGGGGAGAACAGAATTTTTTACAGTAAAAACATACGTTAATAGGCATAAAAAATATAACACTCAAGAAACTACAGAATTACCTAACAGATTTTCAGAGGACCTTGAGACAAGTCACATTTGTATTGAATATATCAATTCTGTTTTATACATTGTTCAGAAAGTTATACATAGAATATAAGGGATTATGTAGAAGTACGTTGGTCCTGGGAGTTGGTAAATAGCACATGTTTCTGGTGAGACATCTTGGTATATTAAATTGCAGGCGACTGAGAATATTCGGATAATCATAGTGGGTGTGAATAACCCTAAACAAAAATATTAAAGGGTGTATTTTTCTTCTATGGTCTAAACTTAGCATATCATGCCTCTTTAATACTGCGGAATACCTATTTCTGGATAAGTACCATCTATCCTGTAAAACATATATTTGAGAAACTTGCTTTGTACTTTTTCTAATGAGTCACAAGTCGTCACATTGCAGGGATTATAAATAGGTAGTTCTAGCGTATTCAAGTTTTGAAATCACAAATGCATTATACAACATGAGTAGAGTCTTTATGCTATCAAGACCACGAGTTGCGTAACACAAAACCCAGACTTTTATTTACAGGATTTAGATTATTTACATGCGGATTGAAACTGAAAGTTGTGTCAAAGATGACTCAAAGATCTTTAAATTCTCTTACATTTGGCAGTGTTGTTCGGTTAACCTCATGATATTCTATCCGGCGTTGTTTTCTCGAAAATGTCATGCGGGTATACTTGGATGCGTTCATGGATAGGTTATTATGACACCAAATTATTACCTGGTAACTAGAGAATAAATTTTCAAACCATCGGCATATAACAGAAAGTTGCAATCACTTAATGGGCTTTGCTCCTCAGATCTCTCCTCCATAATGCCGCCGCGCGATGAGCCTGCCAAACAAACTCAGCCGACTTCCGCGTCCCATCCTAACCGTGTCGAACTACGTACAGCAAGAACTCGCCGATACGACCGCTTCTTTGTCCCTAGGGTGTCGAGATTGTAGAAGAATCTATAAGAGGCGACTTTTCCCAGTCCTACTAACTTTACACAAACCAAAAATTTGATTAACAAAGTTCCGTTGGGAGCCTCATAGCAGTCGCGGTGCTCTGACATTTAGGCTTCTGCCTGCGCCGATGCTCCGTTTTTAAACAAAAGTTTTTACATTTTACGCTTATAAAGGACTCATAAAGAGCTTCAAAATGAGATATCACCTGACCCCCGCCCATTCCGTTTAAAAAAAAAATAATAAAATTTTCAACTGGCACTATCACGCTAAAATTCCATTACCCCAAATTTCAGCTTGCTAACTTGACGTGTTATAATAGCACATGTTTCTGGTGAGACATCTTGGTATATTAAATTGCAGGCGACTGAGAATATTCGGATAATCATAGTGGGTGTGAATAACCCTAAACAAAAATATTAAAGGGTGTATTTTTCTTCTATGGTCTAAACTTAGCATATCATGCCTCTTTAATACTGCGGAATACCTATTTCTGGATAAGTACCATCTATCCTGTAAAACATATATTTGAGAAACTTGCTTTGTACTTTTTCTAATGAGTCACAAGTCGTCACATTGCAGGGATTATAAATAGGTAGTTCTAGCGTATTCAAGTTTTGAAATCACAAATGCATTATACAACATGAGTAGAGTCTTTATGCTATCAATACCACGAGTTGCGTAACACAAAACCCAGACTTTTATTTACAGGATTTAGATTATTTACATGCGGATTGAAGCTGAAAGTTGTGTCAAAGATGACTCAAAGATCTTTAAATTCTCTTACATTTGGCAGTGTTGTTCGGTTAACCTCATGATATTCTATCGAGCGTTGTTTTCTCGAAAATGTCATGCGGGTATACTTGGTTGCGTTCATGGATAGGTTATTATGACACCAAATTATTACCTGGTAACTAAAGAATAAATTTTCAAACCATCGGCATATAACAGAAAGTTGCAATCACTTAATGGGCTTTGCTCCTCAGATCTCTCCTCCATAATGCCGCCGCGCGATGAGCCTGCCAAACAAATTCAGCCGACTTCCGCGTCCCATCCTAACCGAGTCGAACTACGTACAGCAAGAACTCGCCGATACGGCCGCTTCTTTGTCCCTAGGGTGTCGAGATTGTAGAAGAATCTATAAGAGGCGACTTTTCCCAGTCCTACTAACTTTACACAAACCAAAAATTTGATTAACAAAGTTCCGTTGGGAGCCTCATAGCAGCCGCGGTGCTCTGACATTTAGGCTTCTGCCTGCGCCGATGCTCCGTTTTTAAACAAAAGTTTTTACATTCTACGCTTAAAGAGCTTCAAAATGAGATATCACCTGACCCCGCCCATTCCGTTTAAAAAAAAAATAATAAAATTTTCAACTGACACTATCACGCTAAAATTCCATTACCCCAAATTTCAGCTTGCTAACTTGACGTGTTCAAAAAATAATGTATACATAAGGGGAGGCCTTTTTGAAAAGTCTGTATACTATTTATCTTTGTTTTTGATTATCTTCAAAGGTTAGAGCTATCAATTCATCAATTCAAAGTGTGTCCCAAAGATTCGCAGAAAATTTGAATTAAATAGAGAACTTAGATTTTCTTTAAAAAGTTATTATTTATTTTTTTTGTTTGTTGAATCAACAGTGTATGGAGAACATTTGGCATATGACCTCATCGCCTTTGCTGGCACATTCGTTTCAGAAAATTTTTCATAATTATTCTGCGTAAATGTTGCTCAATTTCGTAAAAGCATCGTTGAATTTTCTCCTTCAATGAGCATTTGTATGAGGGTTTGTTAGCTGCGTGGGATGAACAGAGTCAACCTACTTGACGTCATTCTTGTTGCAGGTGGCGAGATTGCTGTTAGACTCCGGCGCGCAAGTGAACATGCCCACAGACAGCTTTGAGTCCCCGTTGACGTTAGCCGCATGCGGCGGCCACGTTGATTTGGCCATGTTGCTCATCGAGCGAGGGGCCAACATCGAGGAAGTCAACGATGAAGGATACACGCCGCTTATGGAGGCTGCCAGGGAGGGGCACGAGGAGATGGTACATCTGCTCCTCGGACAAGGTAAAATGCAAATTGCGCAAAGAGTGGTTGTACCAAGAGAAATTAAATTAGCGAGAGAGAGAGATATGTAACCCGAAATAAGGCGTCCACAAAATAGCTAATAGCGTCTAAATACGTGCTGTTCTTATTTGGTCAAAGATAAATGCGGTGTTGTCAGATAAATAATCCTTTTTGGGTAAATTCATTGTCCGTCGCTTGAAATATATTTTTCTTTCGATAAAGTTACAAATCACACTTCGCGAGTGCTCTCAGCATGATATAAACAGAAGTTATTTTCAAACAGTTATCACATAGCTATCGAACTTTTAAGCGGAATAGTACACGATTCAGTTTAACGACGAAAGAGAAAGGTCAGCTTGAATTTGACGTGGATGCCAGTTATCTAGACTGCCTTGCCTTAAGAATTGTACTTATTTCGTATAGCTTTTGACGTAACCACCAAAAACCGTGAAAACAACTGAACTTTATCCCGCTCAGTATAAATGTAGCATTTTCCAAAACGTTTTGTCAGTTCGGCAACACCGCATTGGTATGAGCAAAACCGTGAGACGTTTGTTTGTGTAAGCTCAAATACATACTTTTGTTTTAGTTTTATCTCACCGCTATGAAAATTGTTCCGTATCAGTCTTCCACATTTATACTTTTCACTGTCAGCAAAGAGTAGTTATATAGAGATGAGCAGACAGACACGGCGAATAAAATTAGAGAGAGATAAGAGATGACTCCAAAAGATAATACTTTTTGGGTGCATTTATTGACCGTCACTATTAGAAAACTCATTTTTTTATTCAAATTTAATTATGTTGGGACATTTATTTATGGTGTGATTATTTATCATCCATTTTCAAGTTACGAAATATATTTTTTTTTTCAACAAAGTTATAAATCACCTTAGCCTAGCTTTAAGATGTTATGCTTATTTAGTTCGTATGACTTTCTGACGTAATCAGTAATCACCAAAGTCCGTGAAAACCTGAACTCCATTCTGCTTAGTATAAATTTACGTTTAATAAATATTTTATGGCAGCTTGACGACATCACCTCGGTAGCTAAGGATGGTCCGCAAATAGATCGCTGTTTTTATTTCTAAACCAGTAATCGTCCAAGCGCCGACTGCAAAGTTTTGGCTACATCACGTACTCTTGCGGAATGTTACTGGTCAAGTCGGCAAGTTTTCTGTTTAGCATCAAAAGATGTAAGGTGTGTGAGAAGTTTTTATCGTATCACATTGGTGCGCGATGGCATAACAAAAAATGTATGATTGGCTTCCCTACTTTAATGCAGGCCTCTCTCCCAAGGTCAGTGACGTATGATTTGTGCTTACCCATGCTGACATTCGATGTCGACAGTCTGTATTAAAGATATTTACCGAAAGTGAGTGAAAACAACAGTCCTCTATCACCTAAATCGTGTGTGTATGCCTGAGCGAGTAGCAGCTGCGTGTGCAATCTACTTTTAGTCAGTCTGTTTACTTATTTCGTATGGCATCACTTTTTGGAATTAATGAAAATAGTTCCAGTCTGAAATGTAAATTTAAATCATCTAAAAGGTGTTTCAAGGGGAACTTTTGGATTTAAATACGTCATTTTCTAACGACTTGACCTGGACATGTTCATTTAACAAAACAATTATTTTAACTTGCCAATTAACTAATGCCGAAACGTGTTATCAGGTGCAAACATCAATGCACAAACGGACGAAACGCAAGAGACGGCGTTGACGTTGGCCTGTTGCGGCGGTTTTACCGAAGTGGCTGACATCCTGCTGAAAGGCAGCGCCGACATCGAGCTGGGCGCGTCCACACCTCTGATGGAAGCCGCGCAGGAGGGACATTTGGACCTTGTGCGCTTCCTACTGGAGAACGGCGCTAACGTCCATGCGCAAACGCAGACTGGAGATACAGGTAAGACGTTTTTAATAAAAAAAATAGCTTCGCGCTCTTTAGGAAGCCGTTCTTCAACACACGCCTGACGAATAATTTAGACCAGGGTAATAATATTTTTGCCAGGGCATATGTAAAGACAGAAATCAAATCGGGCTAAATTAAAATATTTTTCTTTTGGTTAGCTGGGCTTATTTTATTGAATTATTTCAGCTTTAACGTACGCTTGCGAGAACGGTCACACAGACGTAGCGGACCTACTTCTCCAATATGGCGCCGATCTGGAGCACGAGAGCGAAGGGGGCCGTACGCCTCTCATGAAGGCCTGTCGAGCCGGACACCTGTGCACCGTGCAGTTCCTCATCTCCAAAGGGGCCAACGTCAGGTAAAAATATTTGTCAACTGTTGATGAGATATAAAAACTACAGATCAGGATGGTCGCTACGTTGGACTAAACGGGATGAGTTTTAGATTTTACTTTGACTTCTATTTGTGATTTTCCTGAATCAGTCAGAAGACGTTTTTATAGAAAATTGTATGACAATTGCCGTCTGAACTCTCTCTATATTTGTGTTTGCTTAAGACGTTACACGTTTTTTTAGTAGTGTTCCAAAATAGGTTTGATATTGAGAAATCTCACGTTGAATAACTATATAGCTTTATGAAGCTTAGGGCTCAATCAATACACATTTTTCCAGAAATTTCGTTTTATTTGGGAAGTATGCCTATCTTGCAATGTCTTCTAAAAAGCGGTGATATTAAAAAATAGACGTTGTCTAATCTTGTAATTTTTATTAAATCTTTTGAATCGACCAGAACACATTTTTCTCGGAAAGTATAAGAGAAAGGCGCGTTGAACAGAATGAGAAGTTTTGCTTCTCAAATCGGGTAAACAAAGGTAGTAGTCTTTTAATGCCAGGTAGACAGAACCATATTTTGATTTGGTTTTGTGTACGCTACGGAATTCATTTTGTACTTGCTAAAAGCTCTTCTACTAAGAAAAGTTAATTTGCATACAAAAAACAAAACACTACAAAGTTTTACTTTCCACCCGATTCATTATTGCCAACATTGCAGACTAACATGAAAATGCCACTTGCTGATCAGCTGTTCACGTCAGTAGACGTCAAAGCGTGATGGATAGTCGTGAAATAGGGTATACTTTGGTACACTGAGATAATACACAATATCCAGGCTAAAGTAAAATACCTTGCAAAATTAGTCACACAGGTCTTCAATATTATCATGAAAAGTTTATAGAATTGAGTTCTGCTATCAAGCAACAGGTTAACTTGGCAAAGGAACAGTATTTAAGCAAAGTGCAGGACTCAACCTGTGGCGACCTCCAATATTTTTGGAATTATTTTGATGTGACTAATCGCTGTTCGCGGCTGCCTATTAAAATGTGATTTAATGAGGATACCTACAATTCTCCAAAAGATATTGTGAATTGTATTGCCACTTCTTTCGGTAATGTTTTTGCTCCAGCTAGTTCAGAAGGTTGTAATTTAAATGATAATGCTGCGTGTAACCATTATGCTCATTTTAAATCTCTGCACAAGAAATTATATTTGTGTCTACAGGGTGTTTCATTTTATTGTTGCATAACTTTAAGATTCGATAGAACTTTTAAAATTAATGCATAAAGTCTAAATAAACATGGGTCGAAAAATGCGTGGCTTCCGAAATACAGGGTGTTTAAATTTACTTTCTAAAATAGTTTTTTTTTACATATTTCGAATAATATTTGATGTATAACAGTAAAAATTGGTATACGAGGGTTTTTTGGTACGACAAAACGAACCATGGGCATAGTTTTACTGTAGCCGCTAGAGGGCGCTCTCTACTGTACCTGTAGTGTATTAAAATGACCGAAAAAATTTTCTTAGTGCAATTTTTTGCTTTTTGAATTAAAAAACTGATTCTTCGCACTTTTCAACATAAAAAAGCTCTCCTGTGAATTTTCGTTATAGCTAGCCGTTTTTGAGATATATAGATTTTTAAGGTTCGATGCATTTTTATTCATTTATGGGAAAATAACGTTAAAAAGTCAGTATCTCGATAATTTTTAGAAGTAGGCTGTGCCTGCAAACATTTTTGAAATTGAAAGCAGAATAAGGTTAAACGTCAATTAGTTGACAGTTAGTTTTGTTGTCTGTTGAAACCTGAAACGTTTTTTTGCAATTGTGAATGCACGAAATTTAGTTTCTTTTACCTGTTTTTTTTTGTAAGTTTTATAAAAATGCCATTTTTATTCTCCAATCAAGAGTTAGCGGATATTCATTTTGTGTATGGCTTTGTAAATGGAAACGCAGTAGAAGCAGCCAGAGAATACGCACGAAGATTTCCAAAGAGACAACATCCAGCTCGCTCAGTTTGTAAGAGTGCATCGCCAAATAATTGAAAATGGTTTTGGAAATCTCCAAAGGGATCAAAACATAAATGTTCGTCAGCGCAGATTTACCCGTATGATTCTGCGTGAGTTTGATAGAGATCCGACCTCAAGTGTTAGGAGAGTTTCTGGTGCCTTGGGAATTTCAGCAAGCCATGTTCACAGTGTTCTTAGAAATGACCATAGACGTCCTTACCATTTGCAACCTGTGCAAGGACTACAGCCAGGGGACGGAGAACGAAGAATCACATTTTGTCAGTGAATTCTTGATAGAACTGATAATAATAGGGAGTTTTTAAGTAACGTTTTATGTACCGATGAGTCATGCTTCACTAGACGTGGAGTGGTAAATTTTCATAATCAACATATTTGGTCGCATGAAAATCCGCATGCAGTTCGGGAAAGAAATTTTCAGCATGAATTTAGTGTGAACGTGTGGATTGGTATCTACCGTAATCGACTATTTGGACCCTACCTTTTGCCTGCAAGGTTAAATGCTGCGACCTTCTTGGAATTTTTAAAGGCTGAACATGCAAATATGTGGGATGATGTTATGTTAGATTTAAGAAGATTGGCTTGGTTCCAGCTTGATGGTTGTCCAGCTCATTATTCGAGAATAGTTAGAAACTGGCTGGACAAAAATTATCCAGAAAGATGGATCGGCCGTGGAGGACCAGTCGCCTGGCCTCCACGATCCCCTGACCTAAATCCATTAGATTTCTTTGTGTGGGGATTTCTAAAAGGAAAAGTGTACCAGACATGCAATGCATGTGATGAAATAAGGCCTTATTTGAATAATACTATACCACGTTCGATCATTCGTAGATGTGAATTGTGTATTGAACAATTGGGTTTACATTTCGAGCAACTACTTTAGATTTTGTGTTTGTCCTAACTATCCAATAGCATTTTAGTTGTAAATAATTAATTTAATTTGTTAAAAATAATATTGGAAAATTAAACAAATTAATATTCTGTTTTTTTGTGTTTATTTGGAGTTGGGAATTATTGCTGTGTTTAAAAACACAATCTAAACGATCATCTTAATTACTTGTAATGCCCAAATCGAAAATGTAAAAAAAAATATTATTTTCCCATAAATAATTAAAAATGCATCGAACCTTAAAAATCGAAATATCTCAAAAACGGCTAACTATAACGAAAATTCACAAGAGAGTTTTATGTTGAAAAGAAGAATCAGTTTTTTTAGTCAAAAAGCAAAAAATTGCACTAAGAAAAATTTTTCGGTCATTTTAATACACTACAGGTACAGTAGAGAGCGACCTCTAGCGGCTACAGTAAAACTATGCCCATGGTTCGTTTTGTCGTCCCAAAAAACCGTTGTATACCAATTTTCACTGTTATACATCAAATATTGTTCGAAATATTTTAAAAAAACTATTTTAGAAAGTAAATTTAAACACCCTGTATTTCGGAAGCCACGCATTTTTCGACCCATGTTTATATAGACTTTATGCATTAATTTAAAAGTTCTATCGAATCTTAAAGTTATGCAACAATAAACTGAAACACCCTGTATAAAGCTCAAAAACTAACTTCTTGTCCATATAAGTTACGGCCCTTTGTTAAAGACTGTATTCGTTTTGTCCATGCCATTATTATTCAATTTACCACAAAAACATTTAAATATGCAGGAAAACTGCAACAGTGTGCCCTATTTTCAAATCTGGGGATCGTTCTATTATAGTTTACTATAGAGCAATTTGCTTATTTGTCTTGATCTAAAAACGCTATAATATAAAAAAATCTGAGGTTGGCTGAACTTGTAACTACATTCTTTCAGGAAGTATAAGAGGAATGCCACTTGGACACTGTTTCTTAAGTTAAGCTTGTATAGTAAATTTTTCTGAAAACCTATCATATTTAAAAAACATCGGACGTTGATAAGACGAGTTTAATTTATATTTTTTGTTATTTAGGCGGCAAACCACGAACAATGATCACACGCCCTTATCCTTGGCTTGCGCCGGCGGACACCTGCCTGTGGTTGAGCTTCTGCTTAGCCACAATGCGGACCCCAACCACAAGCTGAAGGACAATTCAACCATGCTGATCGAGGCTGCCAAAGGGGGACACACCAACGTCGTACAACTGCTTCTAGACTATCCCCATTCCATGCAAGGTTTGTATCAGCAATATAATTAGGAAGTTTCCTGTAGTCGAAAATACTGCTAGTTTCATTTGCATGTATAACTGGTGTCTTTCACAAATCTAAAAGAATTATTCCGATAGTTTAAAATTTAAGGAAGTTAGGACATTTTCTGTGTGGGCTGCTGTGGCCGATCGCACTCGCGCTTTTTTGTTAGGCCGTGACATGACATGAGTTTTTTTTCCTTTTGCAATGTATTGTTTGTATCTCAGCGTATACTGCTGTGCAATATTATAGATACACGCATTAAAAAGTCGTAAGATATGACCGAAAATAGAAATACTCGCTAAATTTTACAAAAAAATATGACAAAGAACAAAATGGCGGATTTAATATGGGGGACAAATTTGCAAAAAAATGTTTTGATTCAGCTCAAATTAAGATTCAGATGTTTTCAGGCTTGCTATTGATGGACTTCATGTTGATTGTTCAAAAATTGAAATAGCGCTAAGTTGGCAAACAATTTTATGATTTTATGATGTAGGTTTCAAAAGTGTTTTTAAAATCGCCTGTAACGAATTAAATATTGATTCTTGAAAAAATGTCAAATGCGCTCAAATTACAGTTATAAATTTTTTAATGTATAATTTATTTAATGTCACATAATTGCCAATTTTGGAGTCAGCTGCAGTCCAAATTGACATGTTTTTTAATTGGGTGACTGATAAACATTTAAGCTCTTTTTGAATTCACTTATTACGGCTCGGCTCGTAAATACGGAGCAGAACAATGATTTTACGCGGCAGACGCATGGTTTTATGGTGGCGATGGTAGCTGGTGTCACGTGACGTCATCACTCAATCTTACGCTTCAACAAGATTATTATCCAGATAAGAAACTTCTGGGTGTCGTATTTTTGTCATTTTTCAGCATATCAAAACTATTTTCAGTTCTGTATTTAAACCATAATTTTAAGTGTGTTTCAAAAAATAGGAAACTTCCTCATTACTACACTATTTTTCACTATACAACATCGCATCAAAACGTGTCAACAAAGAATAGCTAACTTTCAATACACTTCGTATATTTCATTCTCATTCTCATTTCACCAAATTTATTATTGCTCACAGTACATACCTAGTATTCACTTGCTGATCATACCTCGTTTAACATCAAAACGCAACAGAGTATCGTGAAAAATATATTTTACGTTCTTTCTCTTCTATATTAAGTCATAAGCTCTGATAATAAACCTAGTTTTCTGTATAAACGGCAACATTTTCGTACCTTTACCTGCTGTGTCAACATTTCCTCGTTACCCATGAATGTTCTACAACTATACCTGTCTCTGTTAGTATGCCAACTCACTCGTCATGGGCATTGCGTTTGTGTTTGTTGATCTTTGTTATAAACTATAGCCTGGAAATATAATTGGTAATGTCAAAATACCCTGCTAAATTTATTGGGGTAATTCCAAAACGAGGATGGAAATAATGGTCCTCTATTACCCACTTAGTTTATGCAGGCAGTAGCAGCTTCATTTTAAGATCAAGTTCAGTTTTGCCCAAGGTACAGTTAGTCCATTATTTTTACAAACATTACCGCCAAAATCTGTAGACAGACCTATACGCTATTATATTCATATGCACTTTATATCATGTTGTAGAATAATGCCAAAATTTATCATTTTTCAAATATAGGTGGAGCCACGGGCGCAACGAATCTTAACATGTTACCTGGACAAGTCGGTAGCAGGGAGTCACCAGTGACCAGTCAACAAAATGGCGCGTCTGCTGTTGGCTTTTTCCAACCACCCGCAGGTAAGTTACTATTATAAAAAGTTGTAAATATGTATACTATTCCTAACTCAACCATACAAGTGAATCGGAGGAATTTAAGAGAAATTGTATCTATTAAGCACTTTTCTCACCAGATGCGAAAATCAACCTGACGGAAATTCGATTTCAACCAGTTTTTGGTTGCATTGAGTCTGATGATGCCTCGTACATTGTTAATACACTCATCACACTTCTTGTATCAACTGCAGATCTTATGTAAAGTTTTCAATACTGCTGCTCCAACTGAAACAAAAGCGCGATGAAGTAACTCACAATATCATTCATAGATGACTCCGACGACAGTTCCGGTAACTGGTCCCATTGTCGTCTCTTTGGCGTGAACGCTTGCATTTGAATATAATCTGATTACGGCCGGGTTACGGTTGTAAATTCCTTTCGAAGAGAACGATCCATTATCAAATGTAAATTTTATTGACTGACATTTAATTGAATTTAATAGCACCAAATATACAAATATTTAAGAGCAAATTAAGAACTTTCCAGTTTATATCAAACTTAAATGTGATTTTTATGTACGTGTTAATGTAATATTGTAGGTTGAAGCTAAATACAAACCAATTCTATTTTGTTCTTTTGTTTTATCCTCAGCCGTTTTGCAAGAAGTCCCTGAAGCGGTGCGTATTGTCCAGCAAGAGGATTCGAACAACCCTGCTATTGACGTCGGGGCGAGTTCGAAACACCAGGTGCAACAACAAGCAAATCGCCCGGCGGTGGATCCGCAGATAACGCAGGGTAATCGAAAGACTGTGTTGCTACTGCCAAAGAGTAGGTCCACAGGTAATAAGGATACCTTATGCTCTGCTCCTAACCCCTAGTGCTGCATTTGATTTTTTTTTTATTTTTCTTCATAATCATTACTGAAATCACCATGCTCCAGCATTTTTTACACAATGTAATATTTAATCATAATTTCTGTTATACCGGGTGTTTTAAATTCGACTCTCACCAGTGGGATCTCGAAAATAGAATGTCCTAAGTAGCTCTTGAAATTGCCAGTGCTTTTATAACCAAAAACGAACTAAGATATGTAGAGTTAACAAGAGACAAAAGAGACAAAAAAGTTGTATTAGCTGCTTAATTCGAAAATGCGGCTGTCCCCCGAGACGCCACTGGAATTCATAATTGTTTTATAGTTAGTGCTAAGTTGGCGTCTTATTGCAATGAACAATACTGCCAAAATTCAACAAAATCGGCGCAATAAATAATAAATGAACATTTTTATAAAACTCTGAAAACGAAACTTTTGAGGACACCTGTATATGATTTATAAAATACTAAATAAACTTATCCTTGATGATTTCTCGAGAAAAATAGCCAGAAAATATTGTAACGCTTCCTTTCCGCAAAAAGTCCAGAAAAGATGGAATGCAATGAAGATTCCAACTTTTCTGCACAATCACAGAAAGGGGGTTACAATTAGCTTCCGGTAGCTCAGTCGGTGGCATGAAGACATCTACAGGCGTGTAGCTGTGTGTCGACCATGGCATGGCTAGAGGATAGAAGAACAAACAGAACACAAAAATTTAATAGATTTTATTTAACAAAAAAAAAAAAAGGCATTTTCATTACATTACAATTTTACAAAAATAACAAAATAAGTTTTACATCTTTGGCGCTGCTATAACGCTATCGACTTATCTTTCGCTGGTCCATTTTTACTCGACTGAAGCCAGGATGGCCAGGGGCTTGAAGGGGAGGTCCCAGTTATGGGGGTGACCTCCATATAGTGGCTTCACAACCAGTTGTAGACGAAGTTAAAGGCGATGGCGCTGCCAAGGTACATGCATGGGTGAAAATATTGGCCAAGGCTAGGCAAAGTGAAATGGAAAGAGAAAGGGGGTGGCCCCAATCATTTTTGTCCTATACGGACAAACATTCTAGAAAATTCTAGCACATGGTGCTATATAACCTTGTGCTACTGAGAAGAAATTTCTAGCCGTTGTTCGATCGGCGGCTCAAGTCAAAAGGAAGCGCGAGGAAGATCGCAGATCAGGAACTCCGCATCAAGCGCTCCAAGCGGAAAATTTTCCAAGCAAAAAAGCTAGAGATGGGATTAATGAAATGATAATCGAGAAGTGATTTAATAAATACGATCGGACGGTGAAACCGTTACAATATACCTCACCTTCTTACCAAACGAAACGTTCCTAATTTTTGACAGGTTGTGTCCTCTGGTAGTGCTCTGTGCTCCTGTCAGAATGAAAAATAATAAAATACTTCTATTCGCAGGCACGGTGTACGATGGAACGCTAACCTCGGCCGAAGCACAACAGGTCCGGACTCAGCCCGTTGGCGGCGGAGACCTAGATGACGAAACTTTTGCCGCGGCCGCCGCTGCCGTGGCAGCTGCGAGCGGTGGAGGCGGCGACTTGTTTGCTGCCCCCAAGGAGGAAGCCGGTACGGGTACGAGTGCGCAGGCGCCCGGAGGTGGCGTAGGGTTGGTGGATTTCATCAAGAGCCGCAAGAAGCAGTACGCGGCCGCGCATCAGGACGAGGGCACGACGCAAAAGCAGCAGATTCTGGAAGAGTTGCAGGTAGGTAAATGGCGTGGAATTGAAATATCCGTAACAAGCAGCTAGTGCCGTATACACCAGGTTGCATATTAAGACAAAAATGTTTGCTTTCCCATTTTTGAACGGGTCAAGTTAGCGAGTTCAAATTCGAAACGATAAAATTGACGCATGAATGATATTACGTTAACGTAGAAAAGTTTCAAAATGGCGGACTAGCAGGCTCTAGATCAGGGTTTCCCAACCTTTATTTTTTTTTGAGGCTCCCCGGACTATAAATTATATTTTCATGCCCTCCTTTACTTTTTCAATAAATACAAAAAAAAAACGCAGATTATATAGGTACAAAGACTTTTATTATAATTCTAATAAAGAAACTTTAAAAGTTTAAATAAACTAATAAATGTTTTTTATCGAAAAACTTGAATAAAATAAGAGTAGGTACTAATGACACACTTGAGATCGCATGTTCTGTACCAGTTGGTTGATTCTAGGTTCTGTTTTGGCCAGAGCTATCATCAGGTCGATATCGACATCAAGACGATTTCGCTAATTAGTTTTAATTACAACTAGAGCAGAAAAGCCTGTCTCACATAAGTAAGTTGAAGAAAAAGGAACTAGTATTCGTAAAGCAAGAGCAAGTGTTGAATTAACAGGCAATCTTTTGATCCAAAATTTCTCCAATGTTAAAAGGTGGAAGTCATCTTTCATGGACGAATCAGCCTTCATTTCTAGAAATTCTTCCTTAACTTCTTCTGGTAAATGTGACACATCGACAACAAATGGATTTCTTGTCATGTGCCATATTGGTGACTCTGAATTGATGTCTCGATAGTATCGGCGAAATTCGTCTTCCAGCAAATGAGTTTTTATGTGATCAGAATCGAGATCCTCGCAAAGTAAATAACCGACTGTTTAAAGCGCTGCTCTTGATGTAGATTACAATCCTTATAGCCGAGTCCAAAGTCTGGCGTAATTTCTGTAGCAATGCTTTGGAAGCCAAAGCTTACCGATGAATAACACAATGTGAACTAACCATTGCAGAATTTTTTTCCTTAGGCTTTTTAGCTAAGCCCGATTGTACACCTATCATTGCAGGTGCGCCATCTGTGCAAAGTCCAATGAGTTTCTTCCAATCCAAATAATTTTTTCAACAAAATTTGACATTGAATTAAATATATCTTCAGCTGTAGTACCTGCTGTCAAAGACTGGGAGTACAAACTCTCTTGAATGATATCTCCGCCGATTTAACGAACATAAACTATTAACTGTGCACAATTAACGATATCGGTGGATTCATCGCAACTAATGGCAAAAAATGATGATAATACTACTTTGTTAATTATTTGTGACTTTGTCTGCTGCAATTTCATCGATTCTACGCTTGACTGTTATTTTTTTGCTGTGCATCTTCTCCTAAAATTATCTGCGTGGCTTTTAGGACAAATGGTTTTATTAATTTTGCACTGATAGTATGAGGATTCTTTGGCTGCTTTGCTATCATAAAAGCTATTTCAAATGAAGCTTTGAGATGCTGCCTGTGTGATAACTTCCCGATTTATCGTCTCATCCGCTTGAGTGCTTTAGAAGAAAAAAAACTATTCCGTCTTCAAAACCAGAGTAGGATGTTGTTGCTTCAAATGCCTTTCAAGGCGATTGGGCCTCATGCTATCGTTACTTAAAACTTTAAGACATATCACACACTGAGGCAATTGTAACTCGTCTTTTTCTACGAAGGTAAATCTAAACTTAACATAATCTTCGGAAAACGTTCTTTTTTACGCTGCCATTTTGCACGTATAACAATAAAATAAGTAACTAAGTAATAAATAAATAAGCAAAATACCTACATGTTATTACTAATTATATGCCCATTATTTTATCTTAATAACGTAATGTATTCAACAGTATATTTGCCACCGGGAGATTTATATTTTTGTTGGCAGGTTGACGTTATAATAGTAATTTTAAATATACTAAGTGACATATAAATCCGAACACCCAGTTTAAATGGTTTTATTTTAATAAAATTTTGTATAAGTACTTAATGAAGCATAATAAGTAAATGATAAAAATTTCAAAATGATTGCACTGCTTTAAAGCCCTTTGACCTTTAATAATGTGTGGATGCACCCTGATGTGCTACGCATTCTCCAACGCGCCTAGGCATGCTTCTGATCAGGTGGTCAATGTCCTCCTGTGGTATCTCATTCCAGGCAACCACCAACTCCTCTCGAAGTGCTTCTAGAGTCTGAGGAGGACGTTGCAAATTGAGCAATCTCCTACCCATCATATCCCACACGTGCTCAATTGGGGATAAGTCGGGAGATCTTGGTGGCCATGGTAACAATGTGACATCATTATGTTGAAAGAAGTCTATTGTGACTCTTGCAACATGTGGTCGGGCATTATCTTGTTGGAAAGTTGGATCTGCCAGGGTGTCAAGATAGGGTAAAAGATGGGGTTCTAGAACTTCGTGGATATAACGCTGCGCGTTCATGTTACCTCTGATGAAGATTAAAGGTGACCTGGAACCATAAGCTATAGCACCCCAAACCATAACTCCAACAGTGTGATGACCATGTCTTTCAACAAAAAACTGTGGATTCCTCCTTTTACCACGTCGCCGTCTAACCCTGGCACGACCATCGTGCATGCCTAAATAAAATCGAGACTCGTCACTAAAGACAATACTGTTCCATTCCTGATCCCAGAGTGACCGTTGTCTGCACCACTCAAAGCGATTACGTCGGTGTTCTCGAGTTAAAGGGAGGACTCAGTGTGGCCGGTATGAAAACAAGCCAAAACTTCTCATTCGTCGGTAAACACTTCGCATGCCAATAGGTCTTCCGTGTTCTGCAAACCATTCATTTGAAATGGACCTGGTAGTGGAGAAACGGTCCCTTAAGGCCAATAATCTTAGGCGGCGATCTTCACGGTCTGTTGTTCTACGGCGGCGTCCAGTGCCCCTTGCTCTTGCGTACGGCCTTCTCGAAGCCATGCCTGACAACACCTAACCACAGTGTCTACACTTCTTTGCACTCTAACTGCAATTGCCCGAAAAGAAAGTCCAGCTTCCCGAAGTCCCACTATACGGCCCCTATCAAACTCACTAAGTTGACGAAATCGTACAGGTCTCCGTACTCTAGGCATCGTAACCGATCGTAAAGGATGTCAAGAACCAAAATCCGCCAACGTTGATTCTTTACTGCGGGTGAAATATTCATTTTTAGAGCGTTAGTGAATTAAAAAAAAGCAGTATAAAAACCGGAATGTCCAACTGATAAGGCAGAACATTTTTTCACTTGTTATTTACAGTAAGATAAACCCATTCACCAACTTTTATTAAAATAAAACCATTTAAACTGGGTGTTCGGATTTATATGTCACTTAGTATATATTTGGAATCAATATTAGGTACTTAAAGTTCGTCGTTTCAAAATGATTTCGCCACGTTGCGTTGGTTTGATTGTGATGTGGTAAAAATGTCCCAATGGCTGATCTATGAACGCGTCTAAGCTCAATTGAAAATTTAGTAAATTAAATAAAAATGGTAACTGAAATTTGTAAATACACAAACTTACCTTTTAACAGTGAGATACAATAATTTGACACACTCCAACAGATTTCTCAACAAAACATGTACATCGAAACGTCAAATTTTTCGCAAGTTTGTGGGAAGGAGTGTCACGGATGCTCATCCGCGTCTGGTAGGTACACATTTGTATTCTAAGTGATGAATGTTAAGCGGAGCGCGTGCGCGCGGATTTCATGTTGTTAGTTGTCGAAACTTGTATAAACTGCGATTAACGATGCCGGGTTTTGAAAAAGCGGTTGACAGAATAAGTGAATATGATATTTAATTTCTAATTTTATGCGTGTAAATTGAACATTACATTGTAATGTTATTTGTTAATGTTGTTTGTTTAATTTTTTTTTGTTTTTCCTTTCTAAAATGCAAACGCTCTCCGCCCCCCTTGACATCTCTCTATGCCCCCCTTGGGTGGCGCGCCCCCCTGTTGGGAACTTCTGCTCTAGATGAACTTTTTGAATACAAAACATAAACATTTTGTTGCAGAAAGTGGAACGTGAGTTACAGGGCAAGAGCCAATCTGCTGCGGAGACTGTAGCAAGTCACAACCATATCCTGCAATATGCCATTTCGCAGGAGCAGTGCACTTCCACCACTACTGGAACAGCAGGTGCGGCTGCATCCTCGGCCAATAACACACTGCCACATATGCACATTGATATCGCCATGCAGCAGCAAAAACAACAACAAGGTTAGTATTCTCAATATGAAAAATATTCGAAGATATTTTTGCGGGAGGCTGTGTCGGCTAATCACGAAAGGAACGCTACGGACAAATTCATGAAAAAGAGGTTAAAAGTTAGCAATTTGCGGTGTACTTGCAATTTGGTATTTCAATGATGCTATGATCGATGAATAAATATAAAAGTGCACGCCCTCTTTGGCGAAGTGAAGTGAACAGAAACATTTTTTTGCTGGGCTCCTTTGCACACAATTTTTAATAAATCAGTTATACAAATTACCAGTTTTGGTCGATTTTGGTAACCAGCGCCATACAGATGGTTTTGTCATCGTCGTACATGACATGCAAAAATGCGAAGTAAGTTCACAGTTCACTAGCATGAACAATTTTTTTTAATTTTCTTTTGTTTAAAGTGCAAAAAAGTGTTTTGTGTTTCCATTTGTTGTACCATTTTTTTTTTATTATGTTTTAATTATAATAGAATGCTCAAACTGAAAAACATTTGTTTTTTAGTTATGTTTTTTTTTTCAGATTTATTTAGCATTAATGCTACAATTTGGTTTGGTTTGCGCCATAATATCCATAATACACAGTATATCACAAAATGTCTTCAAGACTACATAAATTTCACTACTATGAATTCTGGTTTTCCATGAGTTATTTTTTCAATTTCCCTCCCTTTGAACATTTTCAAACTGACAGACATCTTGATATCATAACTTAATTTATTAAATTCGTGCAATCCCTTTTGACCTGCTCGTTATATTGCTACTGCAGTTTTGTAAATGAAAGTCTATACTTCCTCTAGTAGAATAATTGTGGCACTAATTGTTCAATACAATAAAATTTTCTCAGTGATTTGGTAGATGATTTTTCAACTTGAATATGAAAATGAAAACAAGTAGACTATGAAATTTTTGATATTTAACCATTGTACTTCTTTCAGCATAAAATTTATTCTAGTATATTTATTTTCATTTAAGATGATTCTCATACCTTTATCTTGTAATATTTGTAATTTTGAAAATACAGTTTCATTTGCAGTGAACAAAATAGTCAAACAATATAACAAATGAGGAAGAATGATAGTGTTGTACACAATTTTTTTAGGATAAACGCTTAGGCAATGCGAAATTCTGTAAAAGTAATTTATTTTCTTGGATATTTTTGAAATAATATATTCAAGGTGCCTATCAGATTTTAATTTACTATCTATGTATATGCCCAAATATTTATAATTTTTTCATTATTAATTGTAAGATTTATCGTATTTTGTTCTAAAGATTTTCCTATTAGCATATATTTTGTTTTGTTTGTGTTTAAAGTTTATTTACATTTAACCAATTTATTACGTTCTTCATATCAGTATTTAACAGCTGTATTACCGTTTCAATGTCTTTATTATATACACCTTGGGAAAAAACATTATTATACATTATGATGAGGAAGAGAGATGGAGATATACAAAAGTATGTGGGTGCGTGAAAGACACTCGATTGTAGGATCCTATGTGGCAGCGTCGGAGTGTGACGGACAACGGGGTAAAGTAGAAGAGTGATAAAAGAGAGAGATGACAGAACGGGCGCTGGCGCCTACCGCTTAGACGGATGCGCTCAACAAATGCGATTTGTTTCTCCCATTCGCAGAGTTGCCGATACCAATATGTCATATTTATAAGAAATCTAAGTCTACCCAAATTTCGGGAAAAATAGCTGCGGATTCCACATAAGAGTATTCCAAAAATGAAAAAAGTTCAAACTATTAAAATTATATTAATGTTTCATGGTTCAAATCATATTTTTCATGTTTGTATATTGTTGTATAAATGATTTTGTAATCCCTATTCTTGTTGCCAGTAGAGATACAACAGTATTGAGAGAAACAGTATTGAGAGAAATCATGGACCGCTAGATAGGGCTACAACTACCATATGACTATCAAATAGTAGTGATAAACAGGGTTTGTTTATAGCACAGTTGCCTGGTGTGGCGAATTTGCGCCATAGGGGCGATTTGACAACTTTGAAGGACAACTATAACGGTTACTATGGTGCCCGGTATTCGGGAATCTGGCAATACCTGATGATTCCTAACGTTTATTACGCCAGATTGTTTGCTGACTTGCGCAGTACAACATGACAATCAACGTGACTAAGCACCTGGGAACCCTGGTTTAAGGTGTTATATTTAAAGAGCTTGGGGCAGTTAGGTATCTAGGTCACATTTTTTAATGTATTTCGAGAAATCCGTAATGTTGAGTAAATACTAGATCACGTTTCTTGCTTAGTTTGCTGAAAATTCTACAATAGACGTACATTTTGAGAAACAGAGATTTGGTGACGACAAAATCGTAACAATATAACGCATTTTCGTAAAATAATTTCTTTGTTGAAAAGACTGTGGCTTGATTACCCATTGAACGAGTATAGTGTCCCGCTCCGCTTTGAATATTCGAAACTATACTCCAGCAGCATTCAGCTTCAATGTTATCTTTATGAAGTTCTAACGTCTAGGCCATGCTGATTAAAAGCTTGAATGAAACAACACTTAACTCTAAATTCCCCACAATTCGGGAAGCTCTACTCAAATTGGCAACACAGCGTATCTGCCTATTATTCTCATTCGTGATACAGGTCTGCGGTTAACGGTAGGAAATATGCACGAATAGCGATGAAAGTAGACGAGCCGATGCGCTGTTGCCAAGAAATGATTTCCCATGTATAACAATGGTTTTTCCTAAGGTGTATATATTAATGTATCATCAGCAAATAGTTGAATTTTGCAATGTTGTAAAATATCAGGAATATCGTTAATATATAAAATGAATAGTAATGGACCTAATTTGCTACCCTGTGCCACATCTACCGAAATGTTCTTAATGTTTGATAATGTATTGCCAATTTTAGTTCTTTGACTTCTATTGATTAAATAATTTTGTAATAAGTTCAATACTGAACCTTGAAATCCATAGCCATGCAATTTCGTTAACAATTTCTCCCTGTCAATAGTCTCAAATGCCCTCTTGAAATCTAAGAGCAATGTTACTGTAAACTTTTTTTCATCCATATTTCGCCTCCGTTCTTCTACCGGGTGGTCCATCTATCGTTTTTTTTTTGAGTTACTGGTTTTTTGGGATATGTCAAGACTTATTTCGCATCTGATTTGACAGAACATCAGTCCTATCATTCCGATTAACGAAAATGGTTGTGTATTCGCTTGAACAACGCTGGGAAATATTAAAACAATATTTCGAAAGTGGTGGTAATGTTGCAGATTGTGTCCGAAAATTACGTGCAAAAATGGGAAGAAATGAAGCACCGTCAGCACCGTATGTGAGGTATTTTGTGCAAAAAGTTCGTGAAACTGGTCTTCTTATTGACAAACCAACACGTGAGAGACCGAAAACGGTGCGTACACCCGAGAATATCGATGCTGTAGCTGAGAGTGTGGCAGAGTCTCCAAGCACATCAACGCGCCAACGTTCTCAACAATTGAACATTTCACGCACATCATTAGGTCGAATTTTGCATAAAGACCTTGGTATGAAGGCGTACAAAGTTCAATTGGTTCAGCAATTGAAGCCAACTGACCATCCAATGCGTCTTCGCTTCGCTTCATGGGCCTGCAATCAACTTGATGAAGATGTTGATTTTGGTCGAAAAATCATCTTTTCAGATGAAGCGCATTTTTATCTTGGCGGCTATGTTAATAAGCAAAACTGCCGCATTTGGGGTTCAGAGAACCCACACGCAATCGAAGAAAAGCCAATGCATCCAGAACGAGTGACTGTTTGGTGCGGATTTTGGGCTGGTGGCATCATTGGCCCATTTTTCTTTGAAAATGAAGCCGGAGCAGCAGTTACTGTGAATGATGAGCGTTACCGTACCATGATAAATGAATTTTTCTTTCCACAAATTCAAGATATTGATGTCGGTAACATCTGGTTTCAACAAGACGGTGCTCCGTGTCACACAGCAAACGCTACGATTGCTCTTCTGCGAAGTGTTTTCGGTGATCGCATTATCAGCCGAAATTCTGATGTTGTTTGCCGCCTCGGAGCTGTGATTTGATCCCATTAGATTATTATTTATGGGGTGTCATTAAAGACCAATGTTATGCCAACAAACCAGCAACAATTGGCGAAATAAAAGAGAACATACGCGCTGCCATTGCTGAAATACAGCCACATACGATTGAAAATGTGGTCAAAAATTGGACTGACCGTATGGGCTACTGCAAAGCCAGCCGCGGCAGTCATTTAAATGATGTTGTATTCCATACTTAATCGGAAGGATTGTACTTTCAAATAAAAAAAAAATTGGAAAAATATTTAAAGTTTTTTTTTTTATAGCATTTTTAAAAAAAAATTTTAAATGGACCACCCTTTACTATCATTTGAATTGCTGTTTCAGTAGAATACTTTTTTCTAAATCCTGCTTGAAATTTTGTCAATATCTTATGTTCTTCAATACATTCAATGACTTGTTCATATATGATTCCTTCTAAGAGCTTCTCCCTTGGAACCAGGTTATTTTCTAACATTTATACCCGTTATATCGATTTTTTCACTCTCACATCCCTGGTCTCCAGAGCAGTCAAAGTAACAATACGAAGTTTGTAACATCTCTTCGCGTTGCTTCACCTCAGTGGACGTAAATTTTTTTCAATTTATTTCACTAGAGATCCTTTTGGCGATTCCATGTTATTGGTTCCTTCCGAGATTATTGGAATCGATTTTCGAATCTTAGCGCAATTTGATTCAAACCGATCCAATTTCAATGCTATCAAGATCATCACGCACAAGTTATCATTTTCTGGAATCTCTGAGATAGAAAGAAAAAAATATATATTTTAAGACACTGGATTTTTTTCCAGTCCTGTTCCCGTACCACCAACCGCCCAGTCAGCCTCAGCAGCAACAATCGCCGCTGCAGGTGCAGAATACCTTCTATGCCGCAGGCGCGGTAACCCCAAAAAGTACCGCTGACGGTCAGCAAACGGGACAACAGCAGCAGTACTACTTCGCGCCGTTGCCACCCACACAGCAGCAACAGCCCCAGCAGCAGCAACAGGTCAAGTTCCAGGCGGTCACATCGCATGCTGAAGTCAGTCAGGTTTGTTGAAATTTACGTTTTCTCAATTGTTTCTTTTGACACGTAGCAGTTTTTCAACCTTAATAGACCTTTGAACATCTAGGTCCAAGTAAACGAATCAAGAAAATGTTGAAAAAATTGTTGAGCTATTAAGGGAAGACGGATACGTGCTAAAGCCGATGAATGCATTCAGAAGGAATATGCATGATTTTTTTCTTATATTTTCTATCGATCATTCACGTTGAACGCTGCATTTTGGGCGCGCTTCGCAGTGACGCCATACTCACGTTTTTTCATTTGATTGTATATTTGGTTAGATTACTGTTGGGTTTTTGATATACCATCCGTTTACGGAGTATGTATAGGTTACATTATTACAAATTACAATGGTCTGGTGGCGCTATTGCAGCGATAAGTTTGAGCGCTATTCAGAAGCGATCTAAACGTTGAATGGCGGTTTGATACATGTCACTGAGCTTGTAGTTATCAGCGTTACGATCAAAAATTAAGAACAATTAAAAATGTTCAAATTTTACCATTTTGTAGTATGAAGTGAACCTCTGGTAATTCAATAACTGAATAGAGATTGTTTTATACTAGTAACTTTTCTTCCATTTTCCTTCCATGTTCATGAATTTTGAAATTTTTTACATCAGCGTTTTTCTCTGTAACAATTGAACAGCCAATGAAACACTGGTATAGTAATTGTCAGTGTAAAGTAAGCATCCAGTGTCTGAAAGCCCACTCATCAAAGACATAATAATAATAAATTTTTTTATACTCCAACTACCACGAATGCCTAAGGCCCTAAGCACCCTTTGGGTACCGTGGGGCTATAGGGGGATACAGGGGAAAGGGGGAACGCCACACGGACTCTGGCGAGGGAACACGTGTGCATGCAACATGCACACATTCTGGCTCCGCCTGCGAGATCCGCCGGGTGGTACCTCCGCGTTCGACAGTCAGTGACCGTCTACCACCTACGGTCAATCACAACATCCATAGCCAAGAGAAAAATTTCTCCTGGGACGGGACTCGAACCCGCACAGCGCACGGCGGCTGATCAGGAGACCGAAGTCTACTACTGCGGCCACTGCTGCTGCCTAATGTCTTTATTATGTATTTATTCCCACATAAAGTTAGATGACGCATTGACTCGACATCAGTAACGTAATCATACAAGATTCGGCCTGCAAAACGTGGCATCACGTATATGTCTCACCGTCCATATGAACTGATTTGAAGGTAAAGACGGCGAGACATAATTGTGATGTCATGTATAATAATTTTTTTAAAATATTAAAAAAGCCATATTTGCAAATAAAACAATATATTCTATACATTAAAGACTTTATTTGACCGAAAGAAACACAAAAAAAATCCCGTCCCTGAGACACAATTTTATGCACTCTTCATCCGTAATCAACGTGTTTGAAAAGCAAAACCTGAGGACGCGTTATTGCAATATTATATGGATCATTCGCATAATGCGCGGACTTAAGATTTTCAATGACTTTGCTGCAAAAGTCCGGCAGAATTTGAGTGACGATCTGGGTTATGTTGACTTTTAGCGTATCGGTGGACCATCGTATTATTGTCGAATCATAAAATCATTTTTGCAGAACACCGCGATAAGCGATCGACCGAAGGCGAAGCCGGTCTCGAAGAAGGAGGGCAAGAACGTCCGTAAGCAGCAGCAGCAAGCTGCAGCTGCTGCCGCCGCAGCTGCCGCCTTTCAAGGCTCTTACACGCCCCAGCAACAAGCTCAGGTCTTCGGCCAGCTGCATTTGCAACAGCAGTTCCAGCAACAACAGGATGCTGCTAAGGAACAGCAACAGGCGCAACATCAACAGGAGATTCTCAGCGTGCAAGGTATGACGTTCTTTTTCATCGTGATTTTTAAGGTCGTGCATAATTTTTTTTTTTCACGTGTTTGCCTGTTTGAAGCAGTATTAATCTGATTATTTTGGGTGGATGATTTTATCAGAATGAAAACCACAGGAAAAGTTTCAGGTGTTACATACAAGTTGGAACTAGTCGCCACTGAAGCTTACACAAACATCTTTCGACTTTCTCTCAAAATTTCAAAAGTTATCACGATATTTTTCTGAATACAGGGCTAGATCTGGATTCTATAGATCAAGAAACGTTAGTGGTGAAGAACGAAAACCAAGTAAACCTTTTGACTGCCTCTATTCTTCAACAGTTCCATAGTACGCCTGCTTTGAGAGCCGCCTTTTTAGGATCACCGGTAAGAAACCTTTTTTTAAAATACGCATCCTGTCAAAAGTCAACTGTAAGAAATGACAATATTTTGAACTCTTCTAAAATTTATCTTAGTGTTTTAATTTATACGTTCCTGTATTTTTCTTTTAGCAAAAAACCCAACTAGAGCTTTACGATCGTACCGAAGATGGTAGCAAGGTAACAAAACTCGAACTAACCGATAACGATTTTTCAACTGTGGACGATGTCGTCCAGACTTTAGAATCCTTCAATGCGACCGAAGTTAGCGAACAGACCCTCACCCAACATAATTTACAAGTAAGTCAAATAGATAATTCGCTCTGTTTTACGACAGCTTTTTTCAATAATCGCAGAAAATGGTTAGACACTGCAAGTAAGATTTATTTTCGGAAAAATTAGTACCAGAAAAACTAGTAGAGCCAGGAGATGTCAGGGATATATTTGAAGAATTCATAAGAGAAGTGGATCATGTGATGTTGAGTTCCTCTTGTTCTACAGAGTGTTAAAGAATGTCGTCAAAAACATTGAAAAGCAGATTCAGCACGTTCATCATCAAAACTCAGATTTACCTGTACAAGATTGTTTTCTAACGCACTTACGTCAGCGGTATTCGTGTCGACAAGACTATGTTTAGCGAAAAAAAAAACTACGTTATTGATACAAAAACTCTGACAGCTTCTACAAAAATGCATGGACTGAAATGACGATTATGTAAAAAATACACGGTGTTTAAGTTGTATACTGATGTTTTAAATAATGGAAAAATACTGCACTAATGTTTATATGAACTTTATTTTAGTTTTCTATACTGCTGAACCCGCCTTTAAATTTTCATGACGGCATTTCGTAACACCCAATAAGATATGTTTCAATTACATTTTTGAACACAAAAAATAATTCTTTACTAGGTATCGCCTTACCCGAGCGCCTTGGACGAGTCGATGATCGCCTCGCTAACCGCCGCCGGGGCAGCCGCGCAGCAAGAGCTGTCCGCTGCCGTAGCCGCAAGCGGAGGCGGTACCACCACCACAGCCGCTGCCGGCTCCGGCACCGAATTGTCCCGGGTGGAGTACTTCGCCGTGCCAGCGGCCGCCGCCCCCAGCGCTACGTCATCGGGCGTAGGTGGAAGCGCGCAGGCGGGTACCACCTCGCCGCAAGTGCCCATGCACGCCCTCTACCCTCACTTACTAACATCCGGGATACCCAAGGAGCAACTTTTCCAGGCCGGGTTTCAGGCAGGGTATACCCTTATGCAGCAGCATCTAGGTGAGTGGGTGTGATTGTGGTATAGGGTGCGCGGTTATTTGCAATTTTCTTAGTCAGATTTATAGACCTTCATTGAACGTTCAACGGAGGAATTAAATTTTCATTTCACAGTTGTCATCCCAAGCTGTCATCGATGTCAAAAATATTTTTCTTTTCTGGCCATATCTATTTGGTATTTTGATGATGAAATTGATGCAATTTTGTTTATTTATGCTAAATATCAATAAAACATGCAATATAATGTAATCACTTCCTCTAATTATATTGCAACCACAGAGAAGTAAAAAACTGAATATAGACTTTTAGTTCCATCCAACTGCTCGGCTGGATTGCAGGTTATTGATTACGTCTGTCAAATTCAACTATTAAAGTATGGCAAAAAAAAACAAATTTTATATTATCATAAATCATATCGTGTGACTATGAAAAAAATAGCGACGAGAAGATGCATTTGATCGAGATACTAGACAAATTTAAAAGGGTCATTGAACATAAAAACAGATAGCAGGAGAGTAGATCGGTGCAACTGGTTCAGTTTTTGAGATGGTGCATTATCGTGCACCATATTCTGGCCGAACACGAAGAATTCGCGACAGCAAACGCCTCATATCACCAAGATAAAACAGCATTAACCATTTGACCTGGTAGAACGAATTCTTTGTGAATAATTCCCTGCGAATCGTAGAAAAATCAACATTGTCTTCACTTTGGACTTTTTCAAACGATTTTTTTTTCTCGGATTTGGTGAGCTTGGGTGCTTCCATTCGGCACTTTGGCGCTTGTTTTCGGGATAATAATAATAATAATAACAGAAAAAAAAGAATACTTAAACATATAAACAAAATATTAACATACAAAAAAATACGTTCATAAGCATGACAACATTGACTACAGGAGACAAAATGCAGATAGTATTGTGAGAGTTTTAAATTTGAAACAAAAATAGTAGAAAATAGTAAAAAAAGCACATGAACACAAGAAAAACTGAACTAAATGGACTCCAGCAGCTGACTTTTCATTAATTTCTTAAAAGAAGCAATCCGTTTAGATCTATAGCCACTGTTGACTGCATTCTAATGCTTTACAGCATTATAGGTGTAACATCTTTTAAAGACCGAGGTACTGTGAGGAGACATGTTAAAATTAGCATTAAATCTAAGAGCTCTGGTAGCAAAACTACCACGGGGAACTAATTTGTTAGCAAGGTAAGCTGGTCTGTTAGATAATAGAACTTTATGCGTGAAGACGGTCAAAAGATATAAAAATAACTTATCAATTCGCAACCAGTTGAGTTCTTTGATTTTATCTGAGACGGGACTAAACTTGCGCAATCCAAAAATAAACCTACAACAGCTGTTCTGAATTTTCTGGAGTTTCCTTTTGTGGACGTAGTCTACACATGGGTTATAAAGAACAGGAGAGTAAGAAATGACAGACATCACAAGACTTTCGGCGAGCTTTTTTCGGGTTTTAACATTCAGGATGAATCGATTAGAATAGATACGTTACTCTAGATAAGAAAGAGACAGGTCGAATCTCATATTTAAGTCAAGGGTAACACCGAGATTCTTGGCGTAATCCACAAAAGGGATGAGTGTCTCATCCAAAACAACACACATCCTCTGCTTCATTTCACGGTGTGAGTTCTTCGAACAGTACAACATTGCAGTAGTTTTATTAGGATTGATCTTCAAGCAGTGTTTGTTACAGTAATCACTGATGTTAGCCAAATCTAAATTAACTTTAAAAGAAACTTCATCAACCTTTGATGGATCGAAACCAAACACTAACTGAGTATCATCTGCATAAGTTTGCATACTGCAGATCGATCGTATAAATCAGATATAGTAAGGGACCTAATACTGAACCCTGTGGAACTCCTGAAGGAACTGGCTCAGTGGAGGAAATTCCCTGATCAGTTTTCACTGTTTGTAGACGTTCTAGCAAGTATGACTCAAAGAACCTTAGAACTCTATCTGACATTCCATAATGAGATAACTTACTCAGTAGTATCTGGTGATTGACCATGTCAAAGGCTTTCGAGAAATCTAACAATACCAAGACGGTGTTGATATGATTATCTAAATTGTGAATGATGGAATCAGTAAGATGTAATAAAGACGAAGTAGTGCTGTAACCAGCTCTGAAACCTGACTGATGTAGAGGAAATAAGTGGTTTTGTTCAAAAAACTCCACTAGTTGTGAGTAGACAGCTCTTTCGAGTATTTTTGATAGAAAGCATAATAAGATAATTGGCCTGAGATCCGAATATTGTTCTGGATGATTAGTTTTAGCTATTGGAATAATAATACCATTTTTCCAACTGGCAGGAAAGTAATCTGTTAAGATTTAGTTAAGACATCAATAATGTGAGTTATATGGTCTATGGTATCAGGCAAACATAAGCAAACTATATTTAAAGTTAGACCATCAGAGCCACATGCCGTATTGAAAACCCTACGTTTCGTCACCAGTCACAATGTTGTCCAGAACGATTTTGTCCTTTTTTTGACTCTTTAATGATGTGTCTCGAATGTTGAATTCGAAGCAATTTCTGGTCATTCGTGAGCTTGTGCGGAACAAATCGAGAACACGATGTCCAAATTCTTGGTCAAAATGCGATAGATTGAATTTTTTGAGATATTTAATTGCTTTTTTATGTATCTTAATGGAGATTTTGGATCATTTTTGATAAATTCATGCACTTTTTCGACGGTTTCTGGTGTAATAACAAATTTTGGCTGGCCAACATGTTCGTCGTCTTCCACCGACTCACGACCCTCTTTGAACCGTGTAAACCACTTGTGGACTCGGCTACGAGATAAACAATCATCACCATACACTTGCATCAACATCTGATGCGTTTCGGTAAATGTTTTACAAAGTTTAACACAAAACATAATATTGGATCTTGTTCTATGCTCATTTTTCGATCGATGCTAAAAAGGCACGGTTACTTTGAGCGCGATAACTCCGCGTGAAGTGGTTCGATTGTCATGAAATTTTGACAGGGCACCAATGAAAGATGTAGCTATCCAACGCTACTTGGATCGGATATTTTTCAAAAGTCCTGTTTACTTTGCGACAGACAGACCTTGTATTCTCTCACAATTAGTTTCTCATATTTTTATTAAGACCCCAAAACGTGTTCTTTTTTACGATAACTCGGTTGCGAATGCCGTCATTCCAAAAGTACATTTTTATTTATTCTTTATCAGCTTGTCCGACAAGCACCGACACCCTTGCGGCAGCCACAGCAGCCGCGCTAGGTACCACTCAAGTGACCAGCGGCGCCATAACTGCCGGCATAGGAACCACCAGCGGTACCCAAGTCTCAGCCTCAGATCAGCAATTCATCCAAGCGGCGCAAGCGGCTACTGCAGCTGCCGTCCAGCAACATCAGCAGGTCGGACAGCAACATCAATGTCAGCATGGACAAGCTGCAGGGCAACAACAGGTTCGTTTAAGAGGTTCAATAGCCATTATTTGATACTCTCTTTCTTGAATATATGATCTGTAGAAATAACATGCTAAGTATCGAATCAATGTTTATACGAGCTTTTCATATTTCTACGTGCGAACATGTCCCTAAATGTTCATAAGAATATTATGAAACACCCTGTATGAATGATAAACGGTTTGTTTAATTGAACTTTATTTGACATTATAGTACGAATCTCATTTATAGTCAAACTGCTCGTTTTAATACCTCGAATACATTGGCGCGCTTTTCTTTTACACATCTATTTGCGATTTACTGGAAAATTATATACCTATAAGTTTAAATACTGTTATACCAAAAATAATAGATACTATTTTCACATTCCTCCAAGAGGTATACTTAAATTTAAATGATATACAAATTGCAATAGTTCTTTTTGCAACTTTTCTAAAGCTTTTTACTGTGTAAATCATGATGTAGTATTAACAAAATTAAACAATTATGGATGTACTGGAACTCCACTCAGTTGCTTTAAATATATTTAAATAATCGATCCCAAATTGTCAAATTATCTGTACAATATATTTCAAATAAATCTAATATAAACACAGGGGTATCTCAAGGATCAGTATTAGGTCCGATCCTATTCTTAGTCTATATCATCGATTTACACTATTAAACTTGAGCATAAATGGTCGATTCGTAGTTTTTGCTGACAATACACAATACTTTGCAAGACAAAGATATGAATGAAATTAAAACAAAAATTAATAGTAATATCAATCAAAAAATGGTGTTACAACAATTACTTGACTTTCAATGTTAATAAGTCAAAATTTATGACATGTAAATGCTCATTTAATTTTATAAACTCAAATAATGAATTGATACACAAAACGGACACCAACAAATTTCTGGGACTGACCATTGATCATAAATTATATTTTACTAATCATGTAGAGAAATTGCTTACTCAACTAGCAAATACTTCCTTTATTATAGAACAAATGGTTACAACGTAGGAAAAAGCAGAGCCTTAAGCAGTTACTTTGGCTTATTTGAAAGTGGATTGAGATTTACCATTCCCTTTTGGTGTGTATGTTCCCAAAGTTGCTTAAAAAAGGTGCTTTTTCTACAAAAACTAACTATTAGATGTGTAACTAGGCAATTTTAGAGCTATATGCAAGCTTTTGTGGGTAAATCTTAAAATAATGACTGTATTGTGAGTTGTGAGAGTTCTACAATTTACCTACTTAAGATCTAGTTGTATAATTATTTTATATTTTTAAGCTAGCTTTATCATTAAGACTGATTGCATTCTTCAGGAAATAAAGCATCCTTACCCATTATCCAAAATAATCATCATTACAACTTCTAAAATTTCATTTTATAATTTGAGATTCCTTCCTTTCAGGCTGTCACCCATCAAGTCCAAGCAGCCACCCAAACTCCCCAGCAATCTGCCGCCGGTGGTCAAGTGGTTGACTCCAAGAAGGTAAAGGCTTACATATCGGCAGGAGATGGAGTTAAGCTGAAGAAAGGCCGCGTATTGAGACACCAAACCCAAACTACGCAACAGGGGGCTGCAGGGTTCCAGCCAGGATACCAGATAGACCACAATTCCGGTAAGCTTGTTGATCGAGTTTCTCAATCTAACTTCAAATGCATTAATGTTAGTGATGATGAAAGTGCTGTTTATCGACTTTATTGGAAAAATATCTGATTTCCAATAATCAGTTTCTCGTCAACAATGTTTTGAAATCATCAAAACGAAAAAAAATGTGATGGAACTACGAATAATCGAAGTATTTCGAGTGTTCCTGAGGGTGTAGACGATGTGGTACAAGCGACTAAATGCTCAGTTCTTGGAAGCAATGGAGTAGAATAACTAATAGAAAGTGAGCATTGTTCGATTACTTTTAGAGGAAAATACACTACTCTAAAAAAGCATTTCAAAGCTTCTTGGTTTTTTAACTGAAAAAGTCTAGGAGCAAAGGTTCTCATGTAATATTAACAGATAGCGCAAGACGAATTTTTTGCAAAACTTTTGACTTTTTAGTCCACAGAGAATGAAAACTGGGATAAATCTGTAAGATTTGATTTCAGTCTTTGAAATTTTTTTTTTGTTTCCGTAGTGTATCCTGTCCTGTTACTCCTTCCCTTTGGTTTTTAATTTAATTAAAGCTGTGACACCATATCTTCTCTTTCCAGCCATAACCCAGTATAGCGGTGGCCAACAGCAACAAACTAACCAACAACAACAATGCCCGAACGCGGCGGCGGCGGCCGCCGCAGTGGTAGCGCCGCCCCCGGCTCCGACACCCGCCCCATGCATGGACGTCGATTCTGAGACGGAGAGCAATCACGACACGGCATTGACGCTCGCCTGCGCGGGCGGTCATGAGGAGCTGGTCGAGCTACTGATCAACCGTGGGGCGGATATAGAGCATAGGGATAAGAAAGGGTTCACGCCGCTGATACTTGCCGCCACCGCTGGACATGAGAAGGTAAGATGTTGTACTTTATATAGATTTTATATCAGAAACAATATTTATTCACACTAATTACGATCTGTGAAAAAATCAATAATCCACAAAAGGAAAATGGTTTTACTTTGAAATAGGATTCTATGGTGGCCGCTATAAGTGGTTTCATTTGGAAAGACAATCATGGAGTCCTACACTAAGAATATCCTTGTATGTGGATCTCGTTTCGCGATCCAATGGCTTGTCGTCCTAAAATAATATCTTCCTCTTTGTTCTCTTCCTCCTTTCTTTTCGTATTCCCTTTTACTATCTACGGCACTGCATTGCCGATAAAGTATTGTAATCGCACAAAAATTTGGAGATGGTATGTTTTTATATGTTATGTGAGATGTACATCACGAAAAACGATGTAACTAAATTCCGCGGGTCTGTCTGTGTATCTGTTTGTCCGCTAATTCTCAGCCCGTCTATAACTTGGAAAGTACTGCTCGAATTTTGATGGTAACTACTATGTTAAGGACGAAAAATCTTTGTAATTTTTAAAAATCGGTCCTCTTAATCATTTCCAGCAAAAGGTTGGTGGGGTTCAGACTTGGGGGTTGGGTATTGTTGGGGGCTATGGAAGGTATGTCTCAATTTTGTGACAGTGGTATAACATATGTTTACGCTTCTAACCCCGGCAATTCTACACACCTATTAGACATGTTTCAGACATCATACATTTCTCTGTACATTTGCACTTAGAACTTAGAATGATAGAGAAATATCTTTGATACGCGTCGCTCCCCGCTCAAGCCCCCCACCCTGATCAGCGTCACATAAGTGTCTCCGTCACTGCCACGCTGCCGAGTCTGACGCGCAGATGCATCGAGCGGTGAGATATGGGGGGAGGCGACATTGCCAGAGGGACGCTGCTGTCGGTACGGCAGGGAAAAGATGTCCATGGAGTACTAATAGTATGACCATGTTCGACTGACTTGATCTGTTTAATGTCTCTGTTTTACATATTTTTCTCAAAGGGTCTAACTTGTGCCGAAAATAATCCTCCATAAACTGTCAGCAGTTGCGTGGGAAGTACAGGCTATCTGATTGTCGCAATTTTTTCCTCAACCAAAGAGGAGCTATGCTAAGGGATAGCCGATGCGAATAAAGGGAGACATATTCCTTTTGGGACATATAAATTTGTTCACAATTTGTAATTGATGCGAATCAATTATTATTATATTTGAACTGGAGATTTAACGAAAAAAACGACCATGTATTGTTATTTTGGCAAGAGATGAATGCGGTGTTGTTACATAGATAATTTTTTTGATCAATTTATTGTTCTTCAAAGTAGCGAAATATTATTTTTTTGTTCAAATTTAATTTAGTCTGCACAACTTTCTCTCTTTTTTTTGATACAACTTGCTGGCTTTCAGACCTATCCTTAAAACGAATGTTTCTTATTCTTTTTATAGGTGGTAGACATCCTATTGAACCACAACGCGGACATCGAAGCACAGTCGGAGCGCACCAAGGACACTCCGTTGAGCCTCGCCTGTTCCGGCGGGCGGTATGAAGTAGTTGAACTTCTGCTGAACAGGAACGCCAACAAGGAACATAGAAACGTTTCGGATTACACGCCCCTAAGTCTAGCCGCCTCAGGAGGATATGTCAATATTATCAAATTACTATTGAGTCATGGTAAGTAAAAGCATTGATTAACGTATTCTACTTGGAGATAGCCAAGAATGTAGTGTAGGGATCTGAAAGATACTCACGCCATCTGTGGGACAGTAGCAGAACACAAAAATGCTTTTTGAAAACAGAGTATTTGGGTCTACTACTGTTTCATAGATGACGTTAAGATATTCAGTCACTTTTTGGCCTCCCTAATAATAATAATAATATTTATTAACATCATTTATAATAAGCTGTGACTAAATTGATATTCTACAGAAGGAAAATATCCTTGTGCGTGGATTTCGTTCTAACACATAATATAACATATACAGTAGTTACAATAAATTGATTAATGCCTGCTTCAATTGGATATCTTCAGATAGAGTACGTTTACCAATGTCTGGAATTCAAAACTCCAAAAAGCACAAGAAAGGGAACCTATTTGCCATTTTTTTTCTTTTTTGAAACTAAACCAGGGAATGATTTTTCCCAGGTGCTGAGATCAATTCTCGAACGGGATCGAAACTTGGCATTTCACCGTTGATGCTGGCCGCTATGAACGGCCATACCGCCGCCGTGAAGCTGCTTCTCGACATGGGCAGCGACATCAATGCCCAAATAGAGACCAACAGGAATACTGCGTTAACACTAGCTTGCTTCCAAGGCAGGCATGAAGTAGTCAGCCTGCTGTTGGATAGGAAGGCTAACGTCGAGCATCGTGCCAAGGTAAGTTCAACATTTGAATATCATCATCGTTCTTAACTTCGCTATTTTCGCTCTCTATTCTCTCTTTTTTTATTTTTCCAAATGTCCAGGGTCCATAACGGTGTTTTTCGGCTTTGAGTATAACTGAAATTTTGAAAAACTGATCGCATTCATTTTTGTATTTAAAACTACCATCAACATTTTCCTTTTTGGTTAAATATTTTTATTCCCCCTGAAACGCCCAAGGTTCGCAATTTTGGCGTGTTTGTCTAAAATTCACATATTTTAATATTAAACTTTTTTACATGAGTGCATCATCTTAAAACTTTCTACTTCAAATTTAAAACACATCGAGACCAGTGTATATATAATCGTTCTGTTTTCGGCAGATTTTGTGCGTAATTTTTATACAATTTAAGAATTTGGGAAATTTTTCGGAATACGTATATCGGTCATTCGGTGGAATACGACTAAAATCGGTAGACCTGGTAACATTGACTGAGACATAAAACATTTAAAACGAATTCATTTACTTCAACTTTTGTTTTTATTTATTTTATATATATCTTGTCTCAGTGTGTTTTGTTATAGATTTATAATAATAATTATAATAATAAAATGCCTTTATTAACCTGGCGAGAAATCGGGTAGAGCGGTTCTTCCTTTCCAACCAGGACACCAGTTGCTTTATACAAGCTACAAATCATTTTTCATTCTAGACTGGTTTGACGCCTCTGATGGAAGCTGCTAGTGGTGGATACGTAGAGGTAGGAAGGGTACTGCTAGACAAGGGAGCCGACGTCAATGCCAGCCCTGTGCCTTCATCTAGGGACACAGCTTTAACCATTGCAGCTGATAAGGGCCACGTGCGATTTGTTGAGTTACTGCTTTGCCGTGGAGCTCAGGTAAGATCAAGACACTTCATATAAAGGGCTTGGGGCAGTAAGATACCTAAACCACATTTGCATCTAAAACCACCAACAACAGTGTCCGAATTTGATTTTTTTGACCGCCTGCAATCTTCGACTGAAAGCAGTTCTGATAGATGTGGCTTATGCTTTTGTTACCTAGGAAAACTATTTTTTTCTGTATGTTTCACAATGCCACTAGATAATAATTTCAAACCATCTAAATAACTATAGTAGAAAATAACTTTAATACATGTCAATATGTAATTTTGTGGTGAGTCCCTTTTTTGACCAAATGAATTTGTACGAGGAACGTTCACAATATATTTAAAATATAGAACGCATCTGACACAGTCCTAAAAAAGAACTTTAACGTAGATAAGGAGTCCTTAAATTTAATGAAGTGTGCTACAACGAACACCCAAATTTTATGTTTATAAATCAAACCAGTTATAAATTGTTTTCAGTAAGGCAACAAACAACTTTGAATTTATTTTATGAAAGCGCGTTATATTTTTTCGATTCTGTTTTCACCAAATCTCTGCTTCCTAAAAAGTAAACCTGTTCAATTGAATTAAGCAAGAATCGTGATTTCCGGATTTACATAAAACAAAACTTTAGACAATGTAACATTTGAAACTTATCCTGTGGTTTTCATGTTGATAATCCCAAAAACTCAACTTCGGTAAGAGACACATGGCATATTATAACTTTAGACTTCTCAAAACAAAGGAAATGCGGCATAGGTACCTTATTACGCCAAGCCATTCATATAATTATACAGAGCGTGAAACCTTTATCGCGGAAATTGAGGGGCAGATTCAGCTGGGTGAATTATGAGAAAAGAAACACACAGATCCTAAAAGGATTCGTTTCCATGATAGGTTGCGTTAAAAAAACTTGATACTTGTATTTCTCGAATACATGAGTCACCTTCTGTAACACTCTGTAGGTTTGAGGGTCTTGAGAGAATTTTTGTGCAGATTTCTTTTGCTCTTTCAGGTTGAAGTGAAAAACAAGAAAGGCAACTCTCCCCTCTGGCTAGCAGCCAACGGCGGCCACCTTCCTGTAGTCGAACTACTTTACAACGTCAATGCCGATATAGACTCTCAAGATAACAGAAAAGTGTCCTGTTTGATGGCCGCCTTTAGGAAGGGCCACGTCAAAGTAGTCAAATGGATGGTACACCATGTCACGCAGTTTCCCAGTGACCAAGAAATGATGAGGTATGCCGTCCCATCTTTATCAGTAGCTTTGTCATATATTCACAGCAAGTTACTACGCATCCCCTATTCATCTCAAGTCTCATGTTAGATAAATAACCAAAAGCAGTACACGCCATAGAAGTCATGAGACAAAATTTACAAATAGTACCACTTCCATTAATTTTTATTGTTTAAGTCCTGTGTTATCTATCACAATACGAAGAGTCGCAAAAAAAAATTATACTTATTGATCCCCGAGGCATGGTTTTAACAGCGAAAATGTATGGATAGATCAAAGATTCGCGAAAAATACGTTTTTTAGAGAAAAATATTTTAGAACAACGGTGTAAGGTTTGGAAAGATTCATCCATTGGTGACAGACTTGAATGAAACCCCTATTTTTGACACTGGTAATGTAAAGGGCGCTTCCCTGTTGTTAATCATATAGAATTTGCGTCTAATTCAGATTGCTCATTTTCTCAAGATTTTCAATTTTGCCTTAGTTTTCCTAACATCTTACAATGATCTACTTTTATTTTGCAGATATACTGCAACCATAAGCGACAAGGACCTCCTAGAAAAATGCCAGGAGTGCGTGAAGATAATCCGCGCTGCAAAAGAGACGCAAGCCGCCAAGGCAAACAAGAACGCCACAATTCTCCTTGAAGAGTTAGAGTCTGAGAAGACCAGAGAGGAATCGAAGCGACTGGCGGCGGCACGCAGGCGCGAGAGGAAGAAGAAGAAAAAGCTGGAGAAGAAAGAGGAGAGACGTAAGTTGCTTGAGGAGAATAAGAAAAATGAAAGTTTCGATGAGAAGAAGAAGGGTGATGGTGATGATGATAAGGGCGAGGATGATGGTATGTGTTGTTTTTTGGCATTATACTGCGAATTTTTAGAAGTAGTCTGTCATCATCATTTCGCCGCTAGGCCTCCGGGATCCCATGAAGGATCGGCAAACAACAGTATAATTACCAGTAGCGGTGTATTAATTCTTATTATGATTTCCTTTATATAGGGTGATCTTTTACGAGGTATAGGATTTGATTTTCAAAAAAAAAACAAAAAATTTGAAAAAACGATTAAATCTTTATTTGAGTCGATAGAACGGTCGATATAATTTAATGTTTAAAGATTATTTCATGTAAATGTTGGCCGCGGCTCCGCTTTAGATGGCCCATGCGCAAGGTCCAATTTCGGCACACTCTCTCCAACATATCGGCCGGTATCTCACGAATAAATGCTTCAATATTGGCTTCCAGTGCGTCAATCGTTGCTGGGCCCCAAACGTGAGATAAACTGTTCACCGAACTCGCCTCTCAATAGGGCCATTGTTTCGTGTGCGGTGTGGCATGTGGCACCGTCTTGTTGAACCCACATGTCAGCCAGTTCCATCTCTTCCATTTTGGGCAAAAAAAGTTTATTATCATCGCACGGTAGCGCTCGCCATTCACAGTTCCGGCCATTGTCGTCTTTGAAGAAGTACGGCCCGATGATGCCACCGGCCCATAATCCACACCCAAACAGTGATTTTTTCGGAATGCATTAGTAGCTCTTGCAATGCTTCTGGCTGGTCTTCACTCCAGATGCGGCACTTTTGCTAGTTAAAGTACCCATTGAACCAGAAATGAGCTTCGTCTCTAAACACAATGTTTCGATAAAAATGTGGATCTTCCTCCAACTTTGCCAGCGCCCATTCACCAAATGGGAAACGTTGTGGGAGGTCGTGTGGCTTCAATTCTTGCAACAGCTGTATCTTAAAAGGTTTTACACCCAAATCCTGTCGCAAAATTTTCCACGTAGTGGAGTTACAGAGGCCCAATTGCTGCGAACGGCGGCGAATCGACATTTCACGGTCATCACTAACACTGGCGGATAGAGCCGCAATATTTTCTTCAGTCCTCACTCTACGTCTGCGTGTTGGTGGTTTAATGTCCTATAATGTAAACTGGGTTCGAAATTTAGTCACAAGCTTCCGAATAGCTCCCTCAGTAGGCCGACCAAGTTGCCCATAAATTGGAAGCAGTGCTCGATGCACTCTCTTAACCGAGCATGCATTTTGATAGTAAAATTCAATAATTTGCAAGCGTTGTTCGTTCGTATATCGATTCATGGTTAAATTATAGACCAAACTGAACAAGTTTGACAATGACACAAGACACGATTCACGCGTCATCTGACAAAAACAGTGTTGCCAAAAAGATACTAGCAAAAAATCACCCATTATAACTTATAAACAATTCAAAAAAGCGTATCTTGAAATGTAATCATCAGTCATCAGATGTAGGTCGAACCTGACTCCAGACTATTTGAACGTCAATGGGACTGCTTGGAAGCCGCTCGATGGCCGTCCGGTGATGATTCAGAACACTTTTGTAAATTCCCACTATAGCTTGGACACACTTGAGTAATTTTATTCATCGAAATGCCCAAAAATTATTAGCTTGCACAATTATTCGTTTGACTAAGTGGAATATAAGGTTTCCTCAAATTATTCATTATTCAGTTGAGGATTTATTCTCATCATCATAGACTCACTGCACCACAACGAACAAAAAGTCTCACATCAAAATGAATCATTCTAAACACGATGCCTTAGCGGGTTTCAAAGATCGACTGAATGGCAACTGCGCTCTCGATTATGTCACAGTCAGGTGTGCCTCTCTCTCTCTCTTTGCCATACGACGAAATGTACCCAAGACATACTGTTTTACTGTACATCTTATGTATTGCTACATCACCAATTTATAACGCAACTAATTTATAAGAAATTTATAACCATGTTGACTGGACTATTATTCCATCTTAATTCTGCGCTCGCTGTACACTGACTCGACTGAGTCTCGACTGTGACTAACTGCTTCCGCCATCACTGCCTATACTTATTCGCCTATCGATGAGTCGAGAAGCGTTCCTGCGTTTTGTAGATCCAAATCGAACTTTCAAGTGAGTCGTCTAGATGGAAGCAGGTGCCTCCAAATAAGTTTGCAAGCACGCTCCATACTTAGTCGCGTAACTCTGATTGGCTAAGCGTAGGCTCTGCCAAGCTACTCCTAACAGCTGAAGGTGCTATATATACAAGGCCGTTACAATATTTTTCCTCAATTTTGAAACACCTTGAATAAACAATAATATTCGTTCGCAGACGCCGCGAGCGAATCATCTCCGCAAGTGGGTGGCCACCCAGCCGCTACCACCGCCTCCGCGACTTCAACCGCCTCCACCGGAGGCGGTACCGCCCCCGGTGACAGCGGCAGCTCCTCCTCGGCCGCTGCGACCGAAGAAGGCGATAGTGGCATCGACGCCAACAGCCAGGGCAGTTGCAGCAGCGCCGAGCTGAAGAAAGAGAAGGAGAAACGCAAGGAGAAGAAAAAGAAGAAAGGGGGCAGCGAGAAGAGCGGTGGGAGTGGTAAGGCTGAGGAAAGGAAGAAAGGTGGGGCGGCAACGACAGGAAGGGATGATAAGGATAAGGACAAAGATGATGAGGAGGAGAAAGGTGATAAGGCAGATGCCAAGAACAAGGTATGTGCAAAGTATTCATGTTTGATCTTTGCTGGTTTTGCAACCCAACTACTAGACAAGTTGAGTGGTCGGAATGAGGGAAGTAAGAAAGGAAGAAGAAAAGCAAGGGGGAGTATATCGAAATATACTAAATTTTACTGACGCTAAATGCCCAGCGTCAGCGATTGCTATAGACACGGTTTTCGATCACGATGACGTTTTAGCTCAGTATCATGGCCGCCACGTTGACTTCTTTATTCAAAAACTTTCCATTATGCTTTTGATGTAAAAACAAAAACTAACCTGGATTTGAATGGTTATTGCAATGAAGTGTCTGAGCAAATATGAAATTATTCCAAACTTGCTACGCACGTCATTTGGAACTAGTGTTGATGGAAAACCAGAAAAAATGGAGTGCCGTGACATCAAACAGTTTGGTGATACACTGAATGAAGGCCTTTACAGTGCTCCCAACGGACTGCCAAGACGTATGAGTTGACTCAATTGTTGTTCGTATAATTTCCACGTTAATGCCATTTGCTTAGTAAATCGACGTTAATGCCATTTGCTTAGTAAATCGACGTTAATGCGTCGCTAAAAGTGCGACTGTTTAGCATTCTTGACAAAGACAAATATATCAATTATTATTTGCTGAGATTTTGGTTTACCACTTATTGCTTACGCCCTTCCAGAATCTTAACATCCGAAAAGCCCACGCCTATGAAACTACTAGATCTCCAGCTGAAAGAGACGACTTTGAGGCAACTGGCAGTGAAGTATATGTTTCTACCAAGAAGTCAAAACAAACCTACGACGAATCTACTTCTCAACCTTCGAAAAATTCTACTAGCCCTAAACAGGTAATTCTCACTCTTAGTCCTTTTGGTCATAATTTGTATAAATGTTTGGATTTTTTATACCTTTTATTGGCTCGTGTTTCTGTGTAGTGTGAACGAAATCTATTGTTTACATATTTGTTTTAGTCTAATAACAAGAGGGAAGAAGGATGGAAAGAAGTGGTTCGGAAATCCTCGGTGCAGACCCTGGCTGCTTCCGAGTCCGGCATTAAGAAGGTGTCAGTGCCCCTGAACGCCATCTCGCGAGTGATCGGCAGAGGTGGCAGCAACATTAATGCTATAAGGGGTGCTACCGGAGCCCATATAGAGGTCGAGAAGCAAAGCAAGGGTCAGGGAGAGAGGATTATCACCATAAAGTAAGTCACATTAGTATTTGTGGTTTTTAGTAATATTTTCTCGGACCCAAAGATCAATCTTGCACTGTACAAATTTTCCAAAATTGTCTATTAGCCATTATATACAACAGTTATTTTATCATTTTGCTGGCTGTTTGTGGGAGGTGCTTTTTTAAGTTTAAAGACTTTTTAAAATGGTACTTTGAACATATGCGCTACCATTCTTAAGTTTAGATTCTAAATATCTGTTTTCATTGCAGGGGCTCTGCTGAAGCTACAAAGCAAGCTCACAGTCTGATAGCGACGTTAATCAAAGACCCGGATGTAGATATTCTGTCAATGCTGCCCAAGACGAATAAAACTACCAGCAGTACAACAACGCTGTGGGATAAGACACAAATTGGAGTAAGTCCAGATAATTTTTCACCACTGAATTTGTCTATATTCTTCAGAAATCATATTACCATAACGATTGACAATTGGCTGCGATAAGTTTTAAAATGTTGCCGATTTATAAATTTTTTGTCTACGTGAACTGTACTAAAGAATGTAAACAGTAACTGTGCGCTGGGGACTGTGTACATCCATAATTTCAAGCATACTGTTATTTTTAATTTTTTCGCTCATACCTTGAAAAACAATCTGTTCAATGACTTTCATAACATATACTTAGTTAAAGCATTCCAAATTAATATTCAGCACTGCCAGATACTTTTAACCGGCTATCACTTCTAGACATTTTAAACAACGTGTTTCGCTATAAATTAACGTCTCTCTGTTTTGTATGAGCGTTTAGAAAAACAATTACACAAAAAATAATATAATTTTTTTGGCAATGTCTTTTTTGTATACCAGATATCAGTGTTATCAAATGAAGTGACCCGTTAAAAAAATACAACTCGATAGGACTTTTCGGAGATAAAAAAAACTTTCCATTAAACCCTGTAATTTTTATATGAAACTTTTTTTAAGCCGTCATACAAAGTTCCAGAGAGATCAATTTATAGTGAGTTTATAAAGTTATGGCAGGCAGCAGGCTGGAAGTGTAAGGCAGCGCAAGCGTTATTACCTTGCAATAGCGTTGTACAAAGTTATATAAAAATCAAGCACCAGAATTTAATTCAATTAGAAAATAAGTAATGTCTGGCAACACTGACATCTTACTTCTGTAAGGGAGTACTTAATTTCTCCACCCGCTGTCCAATATTAAAATATTTTTTCTTTGTAGACGAAAAAGAACGCGGGCAAGATGGCCGGCGCTTCAAGCACAAGCAGCACTACAATGCAGTCAACCACGCCCGCCCTTTCCGCCTCCACCGCCGCCCATTCTAAGACGTCCGCCACTTCCGCGGGAAGCCAACAGCAACAACCCGCTACCGGGATGTCCGCCCCCATAGGCAGGTTCTCGGCAACGACTTCAACAGCTGGTACCGCCTCTAAGGCTAGACCCGCCTCCACGGCACAAGCTGCGCGTGGGGCGGCCACAGCGAGGGCAGCGGCTTTAACAGGGCAGTCCGCCTCGATGGATAAAAATAATCAGCAGAAGGCGGCAACTCAGCAGACTGGAGCCACGCAGAGGGCGTCCACTGGGAGCAAGGCCGCACCCGGTGGGCAGACGTTCGCTGCTAAGCTCACGGAGACGTCGCTTACCAATACGCAGGTGAGTTGCGAGGTTTATAGTGGAGTCTTCTTTTTAGTCTTCTGCAAATGTTGAAAATCTAACAGAAAATGTCGAGAGGAATTTCTACAGAATAATTCCGAAAAACGTTCAAATAACGATACATTGATTAATTACCCTCATAACATACATACAAACTTCACTAACTTCAGCGTATTATCAAAGTAGGTTTTCATAATAACTTCTAACTCTAATATTAATAACATTTTTTCTCGAAAAGTAGTTGTCTGAGAAAATTTCTCAATATGAGCGATTTAAATTGAATACTTTATTGAGAAATGCAATAGATCTTAAAAAAGTCAGTGGCGTAGAAAATAATTTTCTTTTCGCTTTTCTAATGTCTTCGCACTAATGTAGTCTCAGGACTAAATTTTTTGTTTGTAATGGCTATGACGACTACTATATATACGAAATTTTGAGTCGATTAACTTAATCCACTCTGAAGACACGAGATCTGTAAATTAAGTGACGAGACTATTGTTTTTATATTCAAATATAGTTACAATTTTATATTATGGATCAACATGCAGAAATCACTTCAAACATTTACAAATATTACCACTGCCATCAAATTATATTGTTGAAGCCCTATGTTATGTGCACAGAAATCTCAACAAATATCAAACCTCTGCAGAAATATACTCTCATACACTACGTAATGTTAAATACCTAAGGAATCCTTAGTCGCGACTGAATATGACTAAAAATAACTATAGATTACATAATTTATCAGTCAATGCAAATAAAGAACATAATTTTGAAAATATGTCTTCTCGCTACTTCTCAAAGATTGATTAAAAAAAGTTGTTTAACCACTATTCAGTTGATGAGTACGTTTATGCTATGATGTCACTCGGATAGTTAATATGTATGTACATAATGTGGTCAACAAATCGTATGGTATGCCAGTCTGTCAGCCTCACGTCAAATCATGTCGATATTTTCATCGGTTCTTGAAGATGCAGGCCTTCCGCGTCGTGGTTCATCTTCAATCGCAAGTGCACTGTACCCAAGTCTGAAGCAAAACCTGATAGTGCACCGTTGCTCGAAACTAAAGTCATTCACTTTTAGAACAAAAGAGACAAAACTGCTTCACAAGAAAAATCGCTACAGACAACCAAATGTGCATCTCATGTTCTCCAGCCTCCTCTCCAACCCGGCGCCTACATTGTTGCAAGATCAAACGTTACGTTGCCAGTTTTCTTACTTGATTTACATACCTTGTATAATTCTAAATTATAATTTCAACAACCTGTATATTGGTAAGGGGGCATTTTAGGATATATTTATATGTTTATATGAACTTTTCGTGTTAGTTTTTAATCTTACACTTTGTGCTTTATGAATATTGCCATTTTTTCTGAAACACACCGTATACATGGTTGCGTTTCCTTGTTTTGGCTGCTTAAACTTGTCTTACCATTAAAAAATTGGAAGCCGTTATTATTCAAAAAATAGGTGTCGTTTTCCCAAAGCTGTATTGGCTGCATTTACAAAATATAAAATGATTTCAAAAATCACATTTCCTATAAAGTTCTTGCATTAATATTAATTGTTTCCTAAACATTATGCGCAAGATGTAAATCTGACGATCGCCACCTACCAATGGTTTCGCCAAACTGAAGACGATAAAGATGCCCGCCCTCTAGCTCAAACTGCTCGACTTCTGCAGAGATACCGCACAACCACGATTGACGCGTCAAATAGTCGGAATACTATACATTCACAGAGCAAACCAGTAATGGGTTTTCTATGCATATATGCATAATATACACGACTAAAAAGGACATGTTACTTTCCGCCTTTTGTAACTATGACCATTAGCTCGATAGATCTTAGGTTTAGGCGTGGAGAGAGACGAAACGGAAAGCAACCTTTTATGGAGAACGTCATTTGAAAACATCGTAACATTGTGCGCAAGTAGATGGAAATCTGACGATCGCCATCTCCCAGTGGTTTCACCAAGCTGATTTTTATCAGCATCCACATAACGATGAGAATGATAGAGTTGTCCGAAACATTATTTTTCTCATTTTCCAGTTGATCATAAATTCGTCCCACGCGGCAAACAGCGGCGCGACAAGTGGAATGAAACGTTCGTTGGCCCCTCCGCAGAGCAATGCTGGCCCAGTATCACCTCAAGGCGCGGGACACATCACATCTACAACCAATGCAATGCAGTCGTCGCCCAATAGGAGTGTTAGACCAACACCGACCTCGTCCGCCCCACCGAATGTGCCCCATTATCAAAGTCCTGGAAAGGTAAGTGCAAAAAATGATTCGCTACTCCAAAAATGAGCTTGTTCAGCCAGAGGTCTAACGTGCCGCGCTCTTATGCTAAAATGCAGTAGCAGTGATATAGCTTTGGCAGTTGGCTACACTTCATCAACAATCTATCAAAGCTAACATGGCCAAGTGAAGTAATTTTTATAGATTCGCCTTTGTAGTTTTGTATGGGGTTGTCCAAAACGGACGCAGGAAAGTAAACGCATATTAAAACAAGAAAGATTGATATTCAAATCAAGTTGGGTACTTTATTTTGAAGGTTCATTTATACCATTTATGTATGAAAAATAATATCGCTCAAATGTTCACCACGACTGGATTTACAGACGTCCACGCGATGGTCGAAATTTTCAATGACATTTTGCAACATGGTCGGTTCTATGGCATTTATTTCGGCAATGATGTTGTTTTTGGGTTCTTGGAGGGTGGCTGGTTTGTTGACGTAGACTTTGCTTTTCAAATATCCCCATAAAAAGAAGTCCAAGGGAGTCAAATCGCACGATCTTGGTGGCCATGGCACATTTCCTCTGCGCGAAATCACGCGATCACCGAAGAAGGACTGCAATCGATGGATATTGACGTTGGTTGTGTGGCATGTTGCACCGTCTTGTTGGAAATAAACATCGTCCATATCCATTCCTTCAAGTTGCGGCAAAAAATAGTCCTCTATCATACGTGATATCGCTCAGAATTGACGGTAACGGCGTCTCCGGCCGCATTTTCGAAAAAGTAAGGTCCGATGATGCCTTTTGACCACAATGCACACCACACAGTCACTTTTTGAGGATGCATCGGCTGCTCTTGATACTCATGGGGATTTTCGTTCGCCCAGATGCGGCAGTTTTGCTTGTTTACCGTCCCATTCAAAGTGAAATGCGCTTCGTCGCTGAACATAATTTTTGATGAAAAATTGGCATCAATTTGGCGGTGTTCAAGGAGCCAATCTGAGAACGTTCGGCGCGAAAAATGGTCGGCCCGACGCAGCTCTTGCGTCATATGGATCTTGTAGGCGTGTACATTCAAATCCTTGTGGAGAATGCGGAGCAAACTGCTTCTCGAAATGTCCAAATCTTGGGATCGACGCGTTGTTGATTGTTTCGGATCGTCTCTCACACTCTCCTACACAACAGCAATATTTTCCGGTGTGCGAACGCTCCTTGGCCGGCCAGAGCCTGGCAGATTTGCCGCAGAACCTGTTGCCTCGAATTTACGCATCAGACGACCGATGGTTGTTTCGTTTGGGCGGTTGTTGCGACCGAAATGTTCACGAAGCGCGCGAAACGTGTTTTTTATTTTTGCACCATTTGTGTAGTGCTCTTGAATAACTTTAATGCGGTCTTCAATCGAATACGACTCCATAGCGATCAATGGTAAACATTCAACTAACAAAATGACATGTCGGTGACAGAAAACAAAGATGGCGTCTATGTCAAATTGACGTTTACTTTCCTGCGTCCCTATTGGACAACCCTATATAATTTGTAGTATTACTCTTTTTATTTGCAGGTGATGCCAATGTTTGGACAAGCATCCCAGGGTAGCACTGGTCACACCGTAGCTGAAACTACAACTGGAGGATTCAGAAGTGTAACACCTAATATTTTGTCATCAGGCAGTATGCAACACAACTTGAGTCAGGTAGGTTCCGTCTTTATAAAAAAGCTTCACTTTCATTTAACGGCGAACAAAAAAACATGGACGTATATCAAGCAGATTTAAGTCTCGTTCTCATGATGTTGATATTTACTCTTCTAAACCGACTTGCGATACTTCTCGTTCCAAGTTGCAATCTATATAGAAAATTGTTCGGACCTCTTTACAAGTTCTACTGATTATCAACAATTAATATCTTATCAAGCAACTCTCCTCCATAGTAGTTGAGATACTCAAAGATTTAGGTTTTGTTTTTGATGAATGCGCTCTCCAGTACATAAAAACTGACTTAACGTAGTAACAAATGCTCCAACTTCAACAGGACGAGCACATGTCAGCATCTACTCACCACCACCACCCTCAACAGCAACAACACCACCAGCATCAAATGCACGTCCCAACTTCTGCAGCAGTGGCACCACCTCAGCAACAACACTCCCACCACCAACAGCACACCGCGTCCACCACAGGACCAACAGTGGCCCAATCTCATTCGTCAACGCCCTCCCAACAAGCTGCTCAACAACAGCCCGCCTCCGAATATTCGCTGTTTTACACGCGCAGCACTGATCATTGGCCGCGAGGGGGTGGTGCATCGTCGGAGACTGGCACAACGCAGAAGCCGGTGAATTTCGCGGCTGTCACTGGGGGCGGCAGTGCGAGTGGCGGTGCGGTGCAATCACAGCAGCAACAACAGGATGGCAGAAAGTTTGTGGAGGAAGCACCCAAACAGGTCAGCTCATATACTGTCAATCTGAATCCCACGCAAAATAATAATTGAAGATATAAGTGTATAAAGGTGTTAACGTTTCTTGCTGAATAATTTTTTTTGTGATTTCTGGCCCCCTCTCATACTTTGTAACTTGTTATAATTATTGATATATTATAAAGGGTTGTCCAAAACGGACGCAGGAAGTAAACGCATATTAAAACAAGAAAGATTAATATTCAAATCAAGTTGGGTACTTTATTTTGAAGGTTCATTTATACCATTTATGTATGAAAAATAATATCGCTCAAATGTTCACCACGACTGGATCTACAGACGTCCACGCGATGGTCGAAATTTTCAATTACATTTTGCAACATGGTCGGTTCTATGGCATTTATCTCGGAAATGATGTTGTTTTTGAGTTCTTGGAGGGTGGCTGGTTTGTCGGTGTAGACTTTGTTTTTCAAATATCCCCATAAAAAGAAGTTCAAGGGAGTCAAATCGCACGATCTTGGTGGCCATGGCACATTTCCTCTGCGCGAAATCACGCGATCACCGAAGAAGGACTGCAATCGATGGATATTGACGTTGGTTGTGTGGCATGTTGCACCGTCTTGTTGGAAATAAACATCGTCCATATCCATTCCTTCATGTTGCGGCAAAAAATAGTCCTCTATCATCACGTGATATCGCTCAGAATTGACGGTAACGGCGTCCCCGGCCGCATTTTCGCAAAAGTAAGGTCCGATGATGCCTTTTGACCACAATGCACACCACACAGTCCCTTTTTAAGGATGCATCGGCGACCGAAATGTTCACGAAGCGCGCGAAACGTGTTTTTTATTTTTTACCATTTTTGTAGTGCTCTTGAATAACTTTAAAGCGGTCTTCAATCGAATACGACTCCATAGCGATCAATGGTAAACATTCAACTAACAAAATGACATGTCGGTGACAGAAAACAAAGATGGCGTCTATGTCAAATTGACGTTTACTTTCCTGCGTCCCTATTGGACAACCCTATATATTGATAATCCTTTGTAGAAAGATAATCTCAGTTGATAAAGGTGGCATCGCAAGTGATTTGCGATTATTTCGGTTGATATGGGACGTAACACGTCTATCAACTAAATAAGTATCTATGGATGAGTTAGGTGGTCGTGACATACCACCTTTTAGGTTATGTTTTGCAAGTCTAGTCTACCTATTGAGTGCTATAGTGTGTAAAAAGAATATGGAGAGTAGAGGTGAAAGAATTCTCAAACTATTAGCAGAAAAGGTGAGGCACTCTACATGCAGGAATTCAAAGTGACAAGCCGATCTCTGCTGGTGAGCTGGAAAAAAGACTAGCAGCGACTTCCTCCTTAACGAGAGAGACATGGAGGTTATCACTGCTTGGGGACGCAACAATGTGTTAGTTCTCCCATCTGATCAAAAGCGGCAGCTGCTGGGAAAAAGCTAGGATATTTGTTTGGGTCTAAAAAATCCTTTTCTCCACACGACCTTTTCAGTCTGTGCAAGGCACAGCTAATACTGCTCAGATTCTCGGGGTGCTGCCGCCCCGACTGCATTATCCATGCTCGATGCTGTTCAGAGAAGGGTTGTTCAACTGATCTCTAACGGACAGTCTTGAGACCATTTCGCACCGGCGGGCCGTCTTCGATCTAGCTCTCTTTTGCTAGGCCAAAGGGCTTTGCTCCTCAGAGCTCTCCTCCATGATGCCGCCGCGCGATGTGCCTTCCAGATAGACCCGCCTAACTTAGGCCTCCCGCCTTAAGCGTGTCGAACTCCGTACATTCAGAGTTGGGCGATACGACCGCTCCTCTGTCTCTAGGGTATCCATATTGTGGAGCAATCTACATGATGCTTTTCTCAGTTCTACTGAGCTCAAGCAGTTCAAAAATCGGATTATACATGAGAACTTACCACATCCAAAGAAAAATAATGATACTTTAAACACGTATTTTTTAATATGCACACTTTGTTAATATTATCTGTTTCAAATAATAAAGTCTTTGATACTTCTTTAGACGTATCTGTTGTTCTAACATAGTTAAATTTTCAGTGGATAAATGAGTTACGTACATTTTTTCAGTACCCTAAATCTAATACAATAAAAGTACTATACTTCAAGATATCTAACAAGTAATTTTAATCAGAACCGTAAAATAGAGGGATAACTTGATGTTGTATGTTGTTTATGGCATCATGCACCAGATCGGTGCCAGATCCAACGGTCGCATCGCTGGAGCTGGTTTATTCAATAATCAGTTGCCAACTCTGGCTTGCAGAGTTATACTGTGTTGATACTATGGAGTCGGCAAAAAGGGCCAATGGTGGCCCGGTTGCCAGGCTTGGCCTTCACACCTCTGCTACTACTAAACCTCACTTTCTCCACATCAAAACAAACGTGAGCTGTTTGTTTCTATTACTTGTCGCTACATGTCCAAACATTTTATGGCCCGCAGGCCCTAGAAGGACGCAAATTTGAACGTTGGGCATTGGTGTTTGCTTTGACGGGGAGTCGAGTAGTTGGATAAATTCTCTAGCATTTAGTACTGGTATTTCTAGAGCAACGTTTCCACATTCACTTATCAACATTTCTATTCATTAGTTGAACTGGGATACGTTTTACATTGACTGAAAATGCTTAATTACTTCGTGAAATATGCGAATAATAAATGTCATTTTATTCTCTAAGGGCACTATTTAGTTTAGTTTCAGCATTTGATAGTCGGTTTAGGTTATTTTTTCAAATATAAAAGAAGTAGTTTCAGTTTCAACTACCGAAAATGAATTCGTTTTTTTTTATTCAGGTGGATGCATCCAAAGCACCTGGCTACAGAGGTGGAGCTATGTGCTCACCACCTGTCGGTAGTGGAACTAAGTCTACAGGAGGTGGAGCTAGTTCTGGTTCAACACCTAGTATTGGCACCAACGGATTTCAAGGTTAGTTTAACACTCGAGTAATCATCAATTTGACATTCTTATTTGCCTTCTCCTTCCCTTCTTTACCCTACCTTTATCTGGTATCTGTATCTCACTATAAATCTATAAAAGCTACTACATAAAATGACAACTAGATCAAATTGACAGTGAAGTGTATTTTTAACAGTAAGTTGATAAATAATTTTGAAGTCATATTATCTTTCCAAATACTTAACCATTTCGTCAGTTAGCATTTTCGGTTTGCATTATTTTTGTAATTTTGCGAACTTTGGTTTTAGATACGATTTTTTTCCATCAGTACACACGTTATATCGATTTAAAATTTTAACTCGTGTTGGTTGTAGGTTATAACGACCAGTCGAAGTCCCAACAACCTTTGGCACCAATTGGGAGCAATGTGATTCACTCCAGCAGAACAACAGTGTCTCAAAGCAACGCCGATTACTTTGGTGAACTATTTAAACCTGGAGTTTCGACAGCTAGCATCCCTAGCATGCTGGGATTGAATGATGGCCATCTGTTACAGTCTAGCTACAATCCAATACAGGTAATTTAAAAAAATATTATTCTTATCGACATACACAATGCTTGGAGATATTTCAATTTGTCATCAATCATTTCACAACACAACACATTATAAATAAGCCTCGCCCCCTTTTTTCTGATGTGTATGTGATGGCATTTCCGGGCTGTACTCAGGCTATGAAAACAAGAATACCCTAATAGTATGTGAAGATCAACTTTCTAGACAAAAAGTGCCTTCGAAGCTGTACGAAATATATCGAAAATTCTAGACATTTAGTTGAAACAGTTTTTCGGCAACACAGGTCGGGATATTCTAACATATGAGATACATGACATTGACATATTTGGATTCACGGCGTGATCTGGAGTGATGGAGACGATGGTTTTAATAACTGCCTCTGACATTGGCCCTTTTAAAGTTTTAATTATATACAGTAATGGTCAAAAGTATATAGTATATATTGTGCTGTATTTCTTTTTTAACTTGCTTTATTAATACACCAACCTGTATACATAATTCATTATAGCATAATACTTTCTTATACATAAATTAATTCGTTAGACTCCCTTCAATAAAAAATAATTGAAAAAACTGGAACTATGAGGACAAAAATATATAGACAAAGCAAAAAAATTATAGAAAAAAGAAGCAAAGTTCATTGAATTATACAAAACCAACGATGTTTGTGTTAATATTTTGTAGTATAACCATTATTACGAGGGATGTCTTTTAAATTTTGCCTATGGAAATAAAACAACACAGTAGGTAGTTTTAAATGACTTTATTGTTTTTCCAAGTATTCTCCACGAAAATTAATACACATCTGCATGCGCTCGAACCAATTTTCGAAGCACTTATTCCACTCGTTTGCTGGCAGATTCAAAACGGCATTTTTGAATACGTCAACTGCTTCTTCTGGTGACTGGAACCTTTGACCACGCAGTGTGTTTTTAATTTTCGGGAAAGTAAAGAAATCGTTAGGACTTATATCGGGACTATATGGAGGATGATCCAATAATGGTGGTATACCAATCCGCAGTAACAGTTCATTGCTCATTAAGAGGAATTGTTGCAATATGACCCGCTTTTGACACAAATGTCGCGACCATCTTTTTCGAAACACTTCGAGAACGGATGACTTTTGTTGGCTTTTCTTCACCTTGGAACACCCAAACAGCCGACTGTAGTTTATTTTCTGGTTCCTAACAGTAAATCCATGATTCATCACCACTAACAATGCTGTACACATTTTTTGAGTTTCCGGAATTGAAACGGTCAAGCGTTTTTTGCCACCAATTAACCCTGGCTGCTTTCTGCTCTTCAGTCAACAGGTGGGGTATCCAACGAGAAACTAATTTTCTTACTCCTAATTCTTCATGTAAATTTTTTTGAATTGAGGTCTTTGAGATCTTTGAGATCCTCAAGGACACCTCAGTCTCGCGATATGTCACATGTCTATCTTCAATTATGAGTTTGCGCGTAGCATCGACGTTTTCCTGGGTGACTGACAGTTTTTGGTGCACCCACCCTGGAATCGTCGCTAAGACTCACCCGTCTACGTTTGAATTCCCCATACCAACGGGAAATTGTCGACTGATGTGGCGCTTCGTTGCCGAAAACAGACAGTAACTCAGCAAGGCATTCTTGTTGCGATAGTTGTCTCTGAAAAATGTAATAAATTATGGCGCGAAAATGATCTCGGTTGAGTTCCATTTTTCTAATGACTTGGTGACACTTAAAAATTCACTGTAGTGAGAACACTGCACGTATTGTTGTGAAACTTTGAATTTAAGTTTACTAAAGAGTGAGGTTAAGATTCAGTACTGTCGTTCGATCCGCGCGGCCTACTATGTTTCTATATGCAAAACTTAAAAGACATCCCTCGTATCAATCACCGCCTGGCATCGTCTCGGCATAGATTGTAGAAGTTTCTTGATATAAGATTCATCAATCTGTCTCCACTTTTGCTCTAGAGTTCATCCTTGTTTGGATAATTTTTATCTCGTATTTGCTTATCTAAGTATTCCCATAGATTTTCCATGGGGTTTATATCCGGAGACTGTGAAGGCCATTTGAGAACTGGTATTTTTTCATTCAGAAAGAATTTCTTTGCGAGATTTGAAGTGTGCTTCGGGTCATTATCTTGCTGGAAGACTGATCTTAAGGGCATATTGTCTTCCATATAGGGTAACATGACATGCTTTAGTATGTCTGTGTATATAGACTTATCCATCCCAAACCCCGAAAAGCACCCCCAGACCATAACAGACCCGCCTCCATGTTTGACAGTGGGCAAAGTGTACTTGGGGTTCAATCTTTGCCCACTAGGAAGTCTAACGTAATGAACACCATCTGATCCAAACATATTGAACTTGGATTCGTCACTGAAACATACCCTCTTCCGGTCACAGATGCTCCAATCAGGATGCAAACGTGCAAATTGTAATCGGTCCTTACGGTTTTTGCTCGAGATTAGCGGCTTCTTACTTGGCCGAGGTGCAAATATGTAACTTCAAATCATTAAATCTTCTACTTATAGTTTTCGTAGAAACACTGACAATTCCTTTTGTCTCGACTTCGGCTTTTATTTGTCTTGGGGTTTTAAACGGATCTTTTGACGAAATTACTTTTATTAATATAACTGATCTAGCATTTAGTTTTCTAGACCGACCACTTCTCTTAGAGGCTTCCAAGATACCTTTTTGTTTATATTTGTTCAATATTGCCCAAACTGCTTTACGCTTCAGCTTCAAATTTTTGGCAATTTCGACTTGACGTTGACCATCTTTGTATAACTCAATGATTTTAGTTTTCACATCGAATGAAATTTCTGGACCACGCGGTATGGCCTTAAAATCACTCAACTTATTCCACAATTTTTGATGAACACAAACTAAATCCTCTTCTGACACGAAACTGTACTAAACTAATGTTGAAAAGAATTTGTCTACATATTTTTGTCCCTCATAAAAAGTGCTTATATTCAGACTTGTATTGTGTTCATTGCAGATAATGTAAAAACAAGGAATTTAGTTTTTCTACTAATAACGGATTTGTTTATGGAGCAATGAAGTATGAATTCGTTTTCTAAAGGTATTTAGGTAAATATTCATATTTGTCTATATACTTTTGTCCATTACTGTATGTCAGAAATGATGAACCAACCATTCTCTGTTGTTTGATTTTCGACACTAAATAGCATTGCGTTAGCGTCCTAAGATTACGCTAGTATGTTATGAAGCCATATCATCGTATTGAAATGTTCTGCAAAGAAATACATAGTTTTTATGGTCGCGCAGATAACTGAAAGTTTCTACCACATCAGAGTGATGTTTCTATAAGATGTTTTCTATTTCAGAACCTGAGTTTCTCTCCTGCACCATCTCAAGTCAATCTACAGCAGCAGCAACAACAGAACGCGAGCCTATCTCGATTGAACCCGAAAGCTCCCGAATACTCGGGCTATTCTATGCAATCAAAGCCATCTTCGACTCAGCCAGTCTATAACGGGTACCAGATGACATCTGGGCAGGGGACTGCAACAGGAATGTATATGCCTCAGACGCCTTCCAAACAGGTACTCATTTTTAGAAATCTACTAAACTAAACCCGCGGCTCCGCTCGCGTGGAAGTAGTCTAAAGTATAGTAGATTCGTTTCGCATTAGTGTGAAGGAGATTGAATTTGGAGAAAGAAAATATTAATTCAACAGTTTACTTGGAAATTTATCTGATTTTAAAATAACCTTGAAGGTCGGTCAGGTTCATAGGCAAGGATATAGTTAAACATGAAATTGTCCGTAATTTGCATATCTGAATCTTTTTAATCCTTACAACTTTGTTCTACAGCATTTTTCTCTAGGAACTGTATTTTTCGAGATATTTTGATCTATCCATACTTTTGAACACCCTATATATTTTTGCCAATAAAACCATACCTATGACCTTCATCAGGTTTCAGTTAGTAACTTTTACGTCTATCATTGTGGTTCAGACATTATGCTGAGAGACTGGACAGTTTATTATTAACATTGCGTTGGGAAAAATGTTACCAACAAAAAATCAGATTTACAGAACTAGAAAAAAGTGACTCTACTACCTAGAACATGACAGCATAATAAAATTCCTAGAATAAAGATGCTTACTCATATATGTAGGATACTTTTCTTCTGGAATCTTCTTATATTTGTTTTCATGGAGCTACAAGTATGTTTTCTGTTCAGATGGGAGCAGAATATCACAGAAGTGGATTAGCACAGAATCGACCGCCATTGTGGATGCAGATGCAGCCACAGTTCACACAAAATGATCAGCTGATCAGCAGCATGGCGGGATTGACCATACATAATCTTGCTAAATTTACTGGTAAGTATTAATTCCAAGGCGTTTTAGGATCTAGAAAAATAATAAATTTGCTTGTTTAGATTAATTTTCACAATCAAAAATATATTTTCAAAGTTTCACGGATGTTAACTATTTAAGCCCTACTTAAAAAAGTCTCAACTAGCCTATTATGCACACTTATTAGATATACAGTAATAGACAAAAGTATATAGACAAATTAATATTAGTATAATACTCACTTATACATAAATAAATTCATTAGATTCCCTTCAATAAAAAAATAATTGAAAAAACTGGAACTATGAAGGACAAAAATATATCGACAAAGCAAAACAATTATAGAAAAAAGAAGCAAAGTTCATTGAATTATAGAAAACCAACCATGTTTGTGTTAATATTTTGTAGCATAACCATTATTATCAATCACCGCCTGGCATCGTCTCGGCATAGATTGTAGAAGTTTCTTGATATAAGATTCATCAATCTGTCTCCACTTTTGCTCTAAAGCGGCAAAAAGTTCATCCTCGTTTGGATAATTTTTATCTCATATTTGCTTATCTAAGTATTTCCGTAGATTTTCAATGGGATTTATATCGAGAGACTATGAAGGCCATTTGAGAACTGGTATTTTTTCATCCAGAAATAATTTCTTTGCGAAATTCGAAGTGTGCTTCGGGTCATTATCTTGCTGGAAGATTTATCTTAAGGGCATATTGTCTTCCATATAGGGTAACATGGCATGCTTTAGTATGTCTGTGTATACAAGCTTATAAATTTCTAATCTATGTAAAGGTCCCATCCCAAACCCCGAAAAGCACCCCCAAACCATAACAGACCCGCCTCCATGTTTGACAGTGGGCAAAATGTACTTGGGGTTCAATCTGTGTCTATAGGACGTCTAATGTAATGAACACCATCTGATCCAAACATATTGAACTTGGATTCGTCACTGAAACATACCCTCTTCCAGTCACAGATGCTCCAATCAAGATGCAACCGTGCAAATTGTAATCGGTCGTTACGGTTTTTCCTCGAGATTAGCGGCTTCTTACTCGGGCGACTTGCAAATAACTTCAAATCATTTAATCTTCTACTTATAGTTTTCGTAGAAACACTGACAATTCCTTTTGTCTCGACTTCGGCTTTTATTTGTCTTGGGGTGTTAAACGGATCTTTGGACGAAATTACTTTTATTAATCTAACTGATCTAGCATTTAGCTTTTTAGGCCGACCAAGATCAAGATACCTTTTTGTTTATATTTGTTCAATATTGCCCAAACTGCTTTACGCTTCAGCTTCAAATTTTTAGCAATGTCGACTTGACGTTGTCCATCTTTGTATAACGCAATGATCTTAGTTTTCACATCGAAAGAAATTTCTGGACCACGCGGCATGGTCTTAAAATCTCTCAACTCATTCCACAATACTTGATGAACACAAACTAATCCTCTTCCGACACGAAACTGTACTAAACTAACCTTGAAAAGAATTGGTCTACATATTTCTGTCCCTCATAAAAAAGTCCTTATATTCAGACTTGTACTGTGTTCATTGCAGATAATGTAAAAACAAGGAATTTAGTTTTTCTACTAATAACGCATTTGTTTATGGAACAATGAAGTATGAATTAGTTTTCTAAAGGTATTTAGGTAAATATTCATATTTGTCTATATACTTTTGTCCATTACTGTATTTCTCGCACCATAGATTTCCTCGTGCATTTGCCCTTCAAGCTTGAGAGTGATATTTTCAACACACGCGTTTCTGGGTATACGTAGATACGTCGCGGTCTTAACAGTGGATTGTTGCCGCGGCTGACGAGAGACGAGGTCCGACATTTCTAAATCGCAACGTTCTCAAATGGGTGGTATTGTGGACTAATTACATACAAATACGTGTTCAACTTGGCGTCATTTTTTTCCTTAAATTTAAATTTTGAGTAATTGCACTGTTTGCACTAGAAGCTGAAACAAAAAAGGAATGCCGAAAATCAGGGTAATACCATGTTTTTTACTTCCAGTATTGTAATCGCGAAAAATTTCAAAAATGAGATATGTTTTTTGGATGTTATATGACATGTACATCACGGAAAACCAAGACACTTATTTAATATGGAAGGTACTTCTTGGATTTTTATGAAATCTTTGAAAATCGGTTCAGTGGCGGCGAAACTATGGGCAAAGAAGTAAAAATCGCTCAATCCTGGTTTTTTGACGTTTCAGAGGCTCCAAATCATTTTCAGAAAAACATTTGGAGATGTTGAAAATTGGAAGAGTATATCTGTTTTTGCCTTAGTATATTTAAACGCTTCCAACCCTGGTAATTCTACACATCTATTAAAGATATTTCATACATCATGGAGTATCCGTCTTGAAACTTGAATGAGGTATATTTTCAATATACACGTCGCGTACGAGCGTACGTCTAACTGCTACAAATGCTGAGCGATAACTGAACGATGATGGGTGTAAGTGTACCCAACGTCGTGTCGATCTGGCTTGGCAGGCAGACTTGCCACGTTGCCGGGTGGGTGATAGGCTAGATTGCAATGTTGTCAAATCTGTCGGGGCTACGGACTAATTATACGGGCTTATTTGACTGACTTGATTCATTTCTCATTCAGGTTCTTAACTATTTTCTAAAAGGGACTAACTTGTGTCGAATATAATCCTTTATGAACTGATAGCGTTGCGTGAGAAGTTAAGAACTTACTTGACGTCATTTTCTTTTCTCTAAAGGCAACGAGGTGCTTGAGAACGGCAGTGGTGTGTCCGGTGCCGGAGGTGACCTAACCGGTCTCGGGGGCGGTCCGAACTCACCTAGCGGCATGTCCCCGAACCTGCCAGCAGCCGCGGCGGCCGCAGCAGCAGCAGCGGCGGCGGCAGCTGCGGCAGCGGCCGCAGAGGGAGGCGGTTACGAAGAACGGAAGCCGCCCCAACCGATCGGCACAGGTCGGAAGGCCGCATATCAACAACAGCAACAGACTGGTGGGGGTATGGATGCGTGGAGATTGCCCGGTACGGCCGCCGCGGAAAAAGATTGGCTGGCGGCAGCCGCCGCTGGAGAGTATGCGGCTATCAGGCATGCCACGGCAGGAGTTTATGGGGAGGAGATGCCGCCCATGGATTATTCGGTGAGTTTTTAATGACAATTAACATTTTCACATTTTATTATCAATGCAACTGGCAACCTGACAAAATGGACAGAAAGTGCAACTGACATCGACTTCAGTTTCAGTGACAATGTGGTAAGGTATGTGGTTGGGTCTTTTCGCTCGGTGTTGATTGAAAGGACACACCGTGATTTCGTGAATTGACGTGTTTATTTTTTTTTTTTTGACATGACATTTCGCGAGCAACGTCTTGTTTTGTTTTATCTTCCAACTTGCGATGATGAATCTTGTCTGGCCGCGACGTTGCCGCTGTTAAACAGTATGCTCTACAAATGTTCATATTTAACAAGTGTCAGTGTGGTGTGTTGCCAAATTCTCAACTTATCACTATAATAATAAACAGGCGATATTTTTACTAAAAATTTCTTGTAATTGATTGGATTTGGGGTCCAAATAAACACATTCCTATTACAAAATTGCCGAAGTTGAACTTGAAACACAATTTACATGTACATTAATTAACAATTTAAACTATAAAATCGATATAAAAGATACTTATTTTAATAATAAGACGAACGAAAGATATATGACTATACTTATTTTAGTTAAGACATTACATAAAATGTACTATCAAAATACATCCCTGAATCTCATTAAAAACTTAGCAATTACCAACATATACTCATATAAAAAATACCAAGATAAATTTATTAGTAATTTAGATAGATATTCAAAACGAATGAAAAGTTTTTTTTATCATTTTAACTGCATTATCTAGCTGCAATAGAGTGGTCAGCAACAGACAGCGGTATTTGGCAGTATGGCCAGGCTATATTGCTACACATTTTTGATGTGTAATGTAATTTATCGCCTCGCGTACATTTTCGTCAGTAAACTAATAACAGCTATGCGCTTGCCGCAGTGGTTGATTCTGGTGTGACAGATGGCGCTCTGCGCTGTAACCTCACAAATTTTTGCGAATTTTTCTGCCAGGTTGCCAGTTCTACCTCCTTGTAGAGGTGGAAAGCTAGCGCTTCAGCTGCTACTGTTCTGGGCCAGTTTTACAGGGCAGGCATAAATTATCATAATTGAAAATATACAGGGTGTTCCTTAATGATATGCGAATATTTAAGGGTGTGAATCTACATGAAAAATTAATGTTAGTTTGCTTTATAAACTATGGTCCAAAAATGTTTCCACAAACTCGGGGTGTTGAAGTTTTAGGAAAAAAATGGAAATTAATTAATATTTTCAGAACCCCTTCAGATATTTCACTGATATTTAGTACGTAGTGAAAGTTTATAAAGTTGCATATTGTTCAATGCAAAAATAATTTTTAGCTTTAACAGTGTCGTGCGTACGGGTATTGACTTCGATATTTTTTAAGAAAAAAATGGTACGCCAATGGTTTTTTGCCAAATAAAAATTATTCTTGAATTCCCCGTTCAGTTTAAAACAAATGATCTCTCTTGAGTTGCTTTCCTTCGATGCGCCATTTTTGAGTAAAAAAATAAAATCCGTTCTAATGTCCGAGAAAATTAATGATTGAAGAATGCAATTTAGCAATAAATATCTAGTTGCTCTGGAATATGTCACCGACTTTTGACATCTGACAAGTCTCTGTTATTCAAATCTGTTCGCTGTGACATCTTTTACATTATTTAGTTTTTACAATCTTGTTAATAATGATGAATTATTCAAATGCAGAAATGGCGGAAATGCATTACGTATATGGCCTTGCCGACGGTAATGGTGTGCCAGCCAGACGGATTTATCACCAGAGATATCCCGATGGTACTTTGCCAGATAGCCGAACCTTTTCTAATATTCATTGTCGTCTTGTTGAAACTGGTTCTGTCCGAAAAGGAGCATCTGAAGGTAGACCTCTAAGTGTGAGAACACCTGAAATTGAGGAAGCAGTGCTGTGCTGTACGAATTCAAAGAACACCCTGAAACAAGTACGAGGAAGATCGCTAGACACTTAGATATTTGCCATCAAATTGTTTGGAGAATTTTAATGGATTTTTTGTTTTAAAATTACACAAAATCCGCAATTGAATCAATGATTCTGTTCACGGACGAAGATAATTTTTCTCGAAATGCCATTCAGAATTTCCACAATAATCAGAAGAAAATCCCTCTGCCGTAACCGAAACCCATTTCCAACACCAATGTTCGGTTAACGTATCGGCAGGAATTATTGGCAACCACGTTATTGGCCCATTTTTCATGCCGGGACGACTTGACGGATAGAGTTACCTCAATTTTCTTCAACTAAGTTGCCTTTGCTGCTTGATGATGTTCCGTTACTAGTAAGAAACAATTTGTGGTACATGCATGATGGTGCACCAGCGCATTTCAGTGTAGTGGTTCGTAATTATTTACAAACTGTTTATCCAAATCGTTGGACTGGCCGCGGTGGGCCCCAAGAATGGCCACCAAGGTCCCCGGACCTCAACAGTTTAGATTTCTTGTTGTGGGGCTATCTTAAGACACTAGTGTACACAAGTCTCATTAACACTGTAGAGGAATTAAGAGAAAGAATACTTGCAGCTTGTGATAGAATAAAAAACACTCCAGGGATATTTCAACGAGTGCGCAATTTCATGAGAAGGAGGGCGGAAGCATGCATACTAAGTGAAGGGGGTCATCTTCAACAATTTTTGTAATCATTTCCTTGGTTTTAATATTATGTTTATGTTGTCAGTTGATGTTGTTCATTACCCCCAATGTGTTTAATTTTTCCAATTACATTAATAATAATTCTGCATGTTAGACAATAGGACGGTTTTTATTTTTTTACTCAAAAACGGCGCATCGAAGGAAAACAATTCAAAAGAGATCATTTGTTTTAAATTGACGGGGAATTCAAAAATAATTTTTATCTGACAAAAAACCATTGGCAATATGCAACAATATGCAACTTTGTAAACTTTCACTACATACTAAATATCAGTAAAATATCTGAAGCGGTTTTGAAAATATTAATTAATTTCCATTTTTTTCCTAAAACTTCAACACCCCGAGTTTTTGGAAACATTTTTGGACCATAGTTTATAAAGCAAACTAACATTAATTTTTCATGTAGATTCACACCCTTAAATATTCGCATATCATTAAGGAACACCCTGTATATTGACCTAATAGCGATACCGTTAGAGCCACTCACTCGCATTTTCATGATATCTATTATGAATGATTCGAGAGTAATTTTTACCATTATCGTAATTATAATGATTTGTTGGATTATCCTAATATGAAAAATTTTAACAGCGTCCGATGCGATTGGACTCCCACAACTTCATGAACGGTCCGCCGTATTTCAACCAACAGCAGACGCAGTTAAACGCCATGCGTCATGACTTTATGAAATCGCTGCCCAAGCTGGACATCATGTGGGATAACGCCCAGCCTATCCCCGAATTACAGCAGGACAAGCAGCATGTAAGTGCCAACCTATTAATAAATCAGTAATTCAGTATCGGAGTATTGTTTTTCGTGTTAACTCTTTACGGTTTCTGCGTTGACAGCACAATTAACCAATCCGACATAGTTTTACCTTATTATGTTGTATTTGGTCGGTTGTACGCCGAAGCCTAAAAGAGGATGGGTGGCCGGACAAGTTGATCCAAAGAACAATGGCAATATTTTTTGTCAGAAAGTAAATAAAAAATAATACGATAAGTTCATATAAACATGGATCATAAAGTTGCATTCTTACCGATATACTGGGTGTTTAAGTTGTAATTTCAGAATCAAGAAAAAATGGAATATCCGGGGCAAACTGAGGTATCGACTTAAAATATACATGTAAAATTAATAACACTTTGAATAATACATAAAATCATTTCTGTAACTAAGGTTACATTGAGGTTAGTAAATTTTGACCAGTGTAGAAGAAAATCTATTTTCTACGCCTCTAATTTCTTTGAAACACCTATTGCATTTTTAAATAAGGTATTCTATGTTACATGAATCGTCTTTCTTGAGAAATTTTTGTCCTAATTCAGTCTCATCAGTGGCGTATACATTTACAACATCCTATATCTTTGTAATGGAGGAACTTTTCACGTTACTTTTGTACTTTGGTTTTGTCTGGTGGAATATTTTGAATCCATGCTATAAATGCCTTGTTAATTACTACCATCATAATTTTATTATTTTTTGCAGGTTTGGAACAATAAGTGGAACTAGTAATCTTCATACCGGAATACACATGTGAACTATAAGCGTAAATATTTTAAGTCCAAAACGTGCGAAATTTAGCTTCTATCTTTGTGATTTTCGGAATACAAGTTTTTGCCCGTAGAAACATAGTTCTAGTTTTTATTTTCATTTTAATTCGTTAATGGTACCATGGCCCAATATACAGGCCAACAACCGAGTGTTTATACATATTATCCTACTGTGAGTCACTTGGGTGTACAGAATGTTTAATCCTTTCAATGGAGATATTCAAACAGGTTCCTAGTTATACGAGTGATTTAAAAAGAAATGTGGATTTAGAAGAGTTCTATGGATAACGAGAAAGTAGCTGACTTGGTTAGATGATAGATTATTATTGTTTATTTGTTATGTGGAGTAGGACCTAGATTAAAAATTGAAGCATAATATTTGTTTTTCTTATTTAAATTTCAGTTTTCTTATTTTAATACCTTTTGAGTAAATAACATCTCTATTGATGATCTCTGAAGAAAAAATGATATCTTGAGTTTTCAGCCTTAGTTTCCCCGACTTCAGTACTTGTTAAATTATAATATTGCCAGATAACATTTGTAAAGACAATTACACCGACATAGTTTGAATTTACAACAAACGATCAAAAACCAATGTTATTTATGTCAGATGAATGAGACTTTTATGTTCTGATTATTAAGTTGGAATTTGGCACACTTGAGGGCTGCTCCTTAAATCTTATTCTCATTCGTGTGTTTATTGAATATCCTTGCGAGGAGTTTTGATCTTCACAAATTTCTGACAGCTAAAATGCTATATTTATTCATTGTAAGCACATTTATATGAAACAAGTACGTATTTAACAAGGAGAGCGTCAATCATATTTATCATGGAAGTGCGACACATAACATTTGAGGAATCAGTGGTATTTGTAGACTCAAAAATCACTTATTGAGTATCTCCATTTTACCACCGGATTTTCTGTATTAATACAGTACTTGGGGAGAATATTAACATCTGGTTGAAATTTGGCAAGGAGTTAGTTTGTAGTGCCAGGAACAAAAATCAATCCTTGCCTCACTTGTAGGAACTGTCGTTCTAAAAATATTATGGTTTGGATGCAAAAATATTCTTTTTTTATATCTCGATAAATATGGAAATATAAATCTGTATTGGTAAAATGAACGCTGGGGATCATTCAAGTATTCCTTAAGCACTGATGGGGGCGGGAGGTTTTCACTTTGCTTAGTTTTGATGACATGGGGGATGGGGAGGAGGTCGGGATGGTGATTACGTCAGCATTATTTATTTTTTTTACTTTTTCGGATTTTATACAAAATTTAGTCGATTTTGATTTGAACACATATGACAACCCTGATTGTTTATGTTCGAAATCGAAACGACTCTTCAGGGAGAGCGTAAAATGGCTAGTCTTAGTCGGGGACTGTTGACGGTTATTATGTTACTGCAAAGGATGTTGGGTCGGGCGCGCCAGATTTTCCTATTTTCCAGAGATTAAATGGTATTCAGAACATGTGCGTGAAAGCCAAAACTTACTTCTGATTGTAAAATGTACTACAGTGTTTATGTATATATGGGAGGGTGCTAAGAGATTTGCTTACTTTTGCTGACAAAGCAGAGGAGGGTTCAATCATTGTAAAAATCTGCTTACGTAATACTTGAACGCCACCTTGGGAAAATTTACTATAAGAATGGTATTTTACAATATTTGTCTCAGTTTGTTAGATTTTGCGAACACATGATTATGTGTGGTTTGGTGATTGTCCTATGTTGTCATGCCACAACACGCTGCAAAACGCTGAGAGCGACGGAAAATTCGGTCATATCATATAAGCTCACTAACAGGAAACATATTTGAGGGATTAAGTTGGAGTAATACTTAAACATTAGTGATACTATTAAAACAGGTTTCTTTAAAGCCCTGTTCATACAGCTGTCGCCAACCTGTCAATGATCGTTTCCAAGATCCCACCACACATATTCCGTTAATTCTGCTATGCTAATACAGACAGAATTTACAAGGCTGGGTCCCAGACATAGTCACTGACAAGTCACCGACTACTGTACGAACAAACCATTAAATCTTGATACATCAATTTTTCACCGAGATATGTCCAAATTTGTCCTTCGCTCATAGCTTTAAGTAAATTTTTTCAATCCAGGATAGAGATTTTTGAGATTTTGCATATGTTTCGAGATATCATGAAAATAATATTTTTGCTATGGAACAGTAATATCTTTGCTATATTTATAGTTTAATGTGATATGAGGATTGAACAATGTTTCTAGTACTAGTAACACCATTGTTTCAAATTTTTCAACCTGTTGTTAATGTTTCTGACCTCAAAACCCCTGAGTATTTGACTATAAAACAAAAAACATGGAATCCCTACACCCCATTACAATGTAGTTTTATTGCATATTTTTTTCTTTTCTTTTGTAACCGCTTATAGTTACGGTCTCGTTATATAATGTAGCAGAGGACAGACGCAAATGGATGGATGGAAGAGCTATAGACATATATAATTACTAAAGAAAAAATATACTAAACGTTATGTAAAATGTAGTAGTTGCGCAAAAAGGTAATAAGGGTTGGCGATTATGGGACAAGTATATACACTTGTGATTCTTTGTTCTCTAATCGAATATTATATTCTTTTCCTACATGCTAAGAGAGAGTTAGCGGCTACGAGGTATGCCGCATCGCGGGACACGCTTAGTCCCTGAACTTTTAAGTCTTAGAATTATTATTATTACTATTATACGGAATTATGTAATATTTGCTTGTACATGAAGACTTAAATATATCTTTATGCACTGTATTGCCTTTTTCATTTTCCAGTATTCCTTTCACCCTGCCTATAGTTAAAGGCCCGAGTATAAAATTCAACTGACATAGGGCAGTAGGTTGAAAATCTTCGTTTAGGAAGAAAAACTGTTTCTGAAGACATTTGAATTATCAGCCCAACAAAACTGGAAATATTCTAAAAAAAAAATATCCGTCAAACAAATTATCACACAATATGGAGGTCATGTTTGAATGCCTTGGTCAAACTTACGAGGTCTGTAGATTAAGTGACGAGACTATTTTTTATGCAAATATAATTACAATTTTATATTGTCACCCTCGAAATAACTTCCTTCTGAAGCTACACAGTGCTGGAGACGGTTCTTGCTCTCGTCATAGCAGTGCTGGAATTCCGATACTGGAATAGCCTTCAGCTGGTCAGTTACAACCATGTGAATGTTTTCGACTGTCCCAAAATGAGTTCGCTTAAGGTGAGTTTTCAACGTCTGGAAGAGAAAAAAGTCACGTGGACTCAAGTAAGGCGAATAAAGAGGCTGAGGAGCCACAGGATTGTTTTTACTGGCCAAAAACTCTTTTACTGACATTGTGTGACAAGGAGCATTATCGTAAAGCAACATCCAGCTCTCCTTGATCTAATGAACAGTGGTGTGAGTCAAAGTTAACTCTTCCCCCATCACCCTGACTGTCAACCAGCGATCTGAATGCACAAGGTCCCGGATTCTGTCGATATTTCCACCGGTGCTTGAAGATGAAGGCCTTCCGTTTCGTGATTTATCTTCAATCGACTTCTGAAAATACCTTAAGCCACCGAAGAACCTGGGCCCTTGACATTACACTATCTCCACAGGTATCCTGAAATGTAGCAACTGTTGCACTGAGCCTAAGGCTACTTGCACTCACACGGATTTTGGACGGCCGAACACATTTTAATAGTAAACCATTGGAGGGCATTGAAGCTTGTACACTGGCCGACCACCGACCTGCACCGGAAAAAAACTCGGTTAGCAGCCAGACATTGTCACTGTGATGCGTCGGTACCGGGAATATAGAGGCATACGTGTTTGAATAGGAGCTTGCACACTCACCTATTATTCAAAGTCCCGTGATGGATAAAGAGATGAACATCGATAATGACATACTTATTGCGCTAGTGGAAACAAGACCAGTTTTATGGGATACAACTTTTGACATATTTAAAGGCAGAAACGCTACTAGAGAAGCATGGAGCCAAGTTTGCTGCAAACTAAATGAGGAGATTTATTTAAAATAATATTGGAAATCAGCACTGCACCGGTAAAAAACCGGCGCGTGTGTAAGCAGAGCCTACCTATAAAAAATCGGTCGATATTTTACTGGCCGTCCAAAATCGGTGTGTGTGCAAGTAGGCTAAGTCTGCTAGCCTGAAAATCGCTACGAACAACCAAATGACTCGAGAGTGTTCAAACTTGAGGCCTATTTGACTAATTGAAAGGCCCCAGTCTAAAAATCTTGTAGGGCTATACGTTACACCTTTGCTTCTTCAAATGTTTGTCAGGCCGCTAATTGAAACCACATATGTTTGAAATACTGTTCACTGACGACGACGTTCCGACAGCAATGGTGTACTTTTTCAAGTTCAATTTGAGAACTATAACAACATATTGTGTCTTCCAGGTGAAACTTCGTTTGTACTATACAGTGTTACTATAATAGTATTATGAACGGTCATGTAACATGCTGAGATTACGCGGAATCTCGGCGTGTTTCAGGACCGTTCAGACTATTCTAGTAACACACTGTATAGGAATGTGAAAATGAAAGAAAAACAAACCAAGTGTTACTTGTAAGACATATATACAAAATATATGTTCGGAATTCTCAAACTGTACTTGAAAAAGGACACCGTTGTAGCCAAAACGGCGTCATCAGGAAACAGTATTTTAAACATATTCAATATATTCGATGTGGTTTGATTTAGTGGTCAAACAAGGAGGGTTCTGGTCATGAATACCACAGGATAAGTTTCAGGTGTTACATTAACGACTTTTTGGATCGCATTTTGAAGATTGTATGTGAGTTCGTTCCTATCAAGACAGGAAAAGCGAGAAAATAAAAAAGTTGCCAAAACGCTAAATCTTTTTGAACTTCCAGCGCGTCTAAATAAACAGTTAAACCCAGGACCCTGAAATTTTACAAAGCTTCATACCTTCGTATGTAGTTTCCAGAAAAAAATGAGCCAAATCTGAGAGATGATTCGTCAGGTCAAGTTTGCCCACAAAAGTCAAACTGTTAGCCTGTATTGTATAGCCTCTGAAAATAACGTTATTTCCCTCACATTTCACATCTTCAAGGTCAGAGGTAGGATCACATTCTAAGGACAGAGCATAGGAAAGTCTATTACGTTACTCTAGAACTTACGTCACACTTTTGGCGCAAAATTCCTCGTTTAAACTTAGAGCGCGTTTCGTCGCGTCTCATTCATAGAAAAGGGATTCAAAATGTTGATATTTTATTAGCATAAAATTTTTGGAAATTCCCATCCGGTATGATTTTTCTGATTCTACTATCAATAGGCAGCGGCGGTGGCTTAGTGGTAGACGTTATGGGTCGAACGCGGAGGTACCACCCAGAGGATCTCCAAGGCAGGACCAGAATGTGTGCATGCACACGTGTTCCTTTTCCTCGGTGAGGCGTATCCCCCTTTCCCTTGTATCCCCGTACAAAAAATTAGAAGATCATTCTAACTCGGGGGAAAACAAAGTCGAACGACAAAGCCACACCACCCCTGGTTCTTCAAAAATAATTTTTGTAGACCCCTACCTCTAGTTACAATATTCCTGGGTAGATGGTGGTAGATATGGGTTTGCCTAAGCTCAAGCAATTTACATTACAAACGTGCTAGATGAGTTGCCTGTATGAGTAACGGCATGTAACGGTTAAAAGTTTAAATGCCAACTGACAACACAAAGCCTGGAATAACCCTAAATTCAAAGTGTTGAAAAACTAAGAAAATCTATAAAAAATTGCAATTGCCGAGCAAAAAACGTGTCACATTCCTGATTTTATTTTTTGATTAATCCTTGTAGTGATTGTAATGTGTTCATCAAAATACGTGTATTTATGTTTAGTGATTTTTTGGTAGATATTGACTAATAAATATTCGGGCAATAATATAGGACTTTCGTAGTGGAAAATGCCTCACCGGAAGAGGTATAGAAGATATCGAAGAAAAAAACAAACATTTTCAGACAACGCAAACCATGTAGAAATAGTTGACAAAATAACTAGCCCCTTACTAGAAAATAATTCCGTACTGGAACCTGACAACTCTCCTCACCACAGGACTGTTATAGAATCTTTAAAAACCCCTGCACATCATACAGAGACCACAGACAAGCAGTGGAATAACGAAATAACTACACCAGTTAATAACTCGAACTATCAAGAGTCTAATCACAATGCCTATAATACACTCACTACCCCAGTCAATATGAATTGTGCAGACACAACTCCAACAAATAAGGACTGCACACCAAAAAGGAGGCATGGATCCTTGAATGTAACAAATCTGAATGTACTGTTCACGTCAAATGTAACATATAATGATTTAGGTAAGTTGTGGAATATCAAGATTTTCTTATTTCAATAACTAAATTGTCGATAACCAATAGTTTGATAATATGGGTGTTAACAATGAGAATATTGAAGACCTCTAATAAATGTTTCTACAAAGGACCTGACAACATGCATATGAGAAAAGTGGTTTCAGGTAATTTCACTAAATTTTTCATATGTAATGCACCTTAGCATCTTTAACAAATGTCTCAGAGGGCACAGGTCCTCTCACACTCAACAGGTACTAAGATATAGGCAGTGCACGTAGTATAATGGGATATCAGTCCTACTTGGCTGTCTGCTTTATGAGGAAGAGTGTTTTTGGTTAATTTACTGCATGTTGTGTGTTTCGACATTGTAAACATGCCTTACTCAATGGGTCCCAAGATATAGGCCTGTCCAAGGCAGTATAATAGTGTGTCTATTTTACTCAGCTATCTGCTGTTTCTAAGAGAGTCGTTTTGGTTAATGTGACTGAATTTGAGAAATATCATGTATGTTGGGATCCTGAACAAATACCTCAAGGTCCACAAACCCCAAAACGCAACAGGACCCAAGATATAGGCCATTTAAGGAATAGAAGTGTCCCTTGTGGAACTCATAGTACTCTAAGTAATACTATTGATTAAGGTATTTCTTGAATATGTTAATCAATAGTAATATAATATTTGATAAATTCTACTACAGAAAGAGGGTTTTGAAAAATCAGTAAAGCAAAAAATTAATTTTAAAACCATTTGCAGATTTTATTTTTATTCCAATTTTTTAACAGATTTTTTACTTTATTTTTACAAATATAAAATCATCCCAAAAATATTGAAGCATACATAAGTGTGACCCAATTTTTACCTCAAAGTGGGCCGCTCAAAACGATTCGGTTTTTTGTCAATACAACCTCAAGCTAAAATCTAGTACTTTTTTCTCTTGTATAATAAATAATTATTGTTTATCTGTCTTCCAAGTGACAATTCATTTATTTTTTCTTCTCTTCATCCATATGCAGTGTGTTGCGACAATAGACTGAACGGTCCTGAAGCATGCTGACATCACAGGAATTTTAAGTCGTACAATAAACATATAATGTGGTTTCATTCAGCCAGATAATGGGGTCCTGTAAACATTATCATATTTTAGATCAATTATATGAGACTCCTACATTGACTAAGAATATGTGTCTTCAAAATCAAGTGAATGAAAACATTAGTATTCGAAGACGTTCAAGATCATACACCCCTAAAGCTCACTGCCCTGTCAAAGAGAAGTCTATGCATGTTGATAAGGGAACTCAGATAGACGTAGTGGAGCCAGAAGCAACGGGTCAACTGCTTGAAAAAAGGTGCAATGAAGTTTTCGACACGCCCAAGCATGCGAATCTACCACACTTTTCGAGGCTGGAGAGGTCACAGAGCAATATTGACAAAAAGGTAAATTGTCTAAAAAAAAAATGATACTCTGTGAATTAAATAAGTGTTCTGCGCCACCAGCATTTCGCCACTAAGAAAGGGCTAGAAAATATTTATTTTTCGCCTAACGTCAAGGATAAATAAATCGGCAACATTGCTACTCAGTGCGACATTTAAAAATAAGTAATTCTTGATGACAAAGCTAACTTAAAACAACTATAACAAGTTAAAATATGTGGATTTCAAGTAAATGCATTTTAGAACTCATAAAAGGTATAATATGGTTTATTTATTGAGATGTGTTTGAAGCATCAGGAAGGCACATGCCAGTTTTCAGACAATGATAAATTATCTAAATTTTTACACGTACTGATTTAAGTACTATTAATTACTTAAGATATTCTTTTGCCTATAGTAACTTATATTTTATGTTTCTAATTTCAATTGATTTTTAAAAATAAGATGTGCTGTTTCTGAAATGAACAGTGAGACAGTATTATTTCAAGATTTAGAAACAAAGGCTTACATACAGCTCTAGGAGTGTTTTTAGTTGTATATCTAATAGGTCGTTTTTGAAGTGAAAAATGAATATAATATACAGGGTGTAAACGTTATGGTAGTCATCATTGAGATGAGAAATACGGGGGTCAAAACAAGTCAAAAAGTTCATATGACCCATGGTCCAAAAGTCAATAGATTTTTGTCTAAATGGCTTTATAGTTTACAACTTTAAGTGCTTTATATCGACCACAATCACAATCTTACTAATTTTTATAATCTAATCTAAAACGTTTTTAAATTGGATAATTAACAAATAAATGGCTTTAAGTTTTTCTAAGTTAAGTCAAAATCTGTAGTCAGTAAGTAAGTTTCATTAAATTAAATATTTAAAACACAACAGCGCGTCATCACTCTTATCGAATCGGCAATAGATCGCAAACGGTAACAGTGGTTAGTTATCGGGCATCGGACGTGTTTGTTTTTGTTCGCGTACGTCGTCGTGTTTGTTTACAATGTTCTCGAATCAAGAGTTCGCCGACATGTTAGTTTACGGTGAAGCTCGTCAGAATTCAAATCTTGCAGTTCAAATTTATTGCGACAGATTTCGCCAACGGGTACACCCAGACAGAAGGACATTTGTGCAACTGTACCAAAGACTTCGAGATACAGGAAGTGTTGAGCCCACTAATATTCGCACTCGTGAAAGACAGGTTACTGTAGAGCAGGAGGAACAAAATTTAAATATCGTGGAACTCAATGCAGAAATCAGCACTCGGGAATTAGGCCCCCTCGTAGGACTATCGCATACCATAGTCCATAGAATCCTACGGGAAAATTTGCTTTATCCCTACCATGTACAACGAGTGCAGGCCTTGCTACCAGAAGACTATCCTCGCAGACTAACATTCTGTTAGTGGTGTTTGCACAAAAACGTTGAAAATCCGGATTTTTTAAAAAACATTCTAACGGCGGACGAATGTACTTTTACGCGAGACGGGATATTAAATTTCCATAATACTCACACGTGGGCCCAAGAAAATCCTCATACCATTCGTGAAGGTCATTTCCAACAACTTTTTAAAGTAAATATTTGGGCGGGCATTCTTGACGATCAGGTAATTGGCCGTTTCGAGTTACCCCCAAAGTTGTCAGGAGAAGGATACCTTAGCTTTCTAGCCAATAACCTACCAGAACTTTTGGAACAGACTTTAGATAACATGCCATTACAACAGAGACAGAATTTGTGGTTTCTTCACCACACATTTTTAGAGGCGTCATTCAGTATTTGAATCAACATTATCCAAATCGCTGGATCGGTCAAAATGCTCCTGATCCTCGAAAATGGCCAGCAAGGTCTCCTGACCTCAATCCGATGGATTTCTGAAATAATAAACGGACAACTTTGAGGGCCTAGAGTAAGAAGAAACTGGGTTCGCCGTAATGAAGCTTGTGTGGAAAGTGGAGGGCGACATTTTAAAACCTTCTTTAAATACAAAAAAATGCAGTGTGAGATCTTAAAAGAAAAACAATGTATGTATCAAATTTGTAGTAGTAGTTGTAGAAAGATTTATTTAGCACATTTGGCTTCATAAACAGAACAATTGTAAACAACTTAGAACTAGTAAATTCAAGCCATATGGTGTATGATGTAAATGCTGGGCAACCTATAATTGTAGATTTAACAAGTGATTTCTCAATTTTACTTTAAATTTTGTCAAAGTTTTCTGGTCTTTTATCTCCGAGTATAATTTATTATATTCAATCAACCCTTGATGGAATACAGATTTGTAGCATATGTTATACTTTTTGGTCATTAAATGGAAGTCATCTTTATTTCTGGTATAATGTAAATGATGGTCGACATTTGATGATGTTAAATTAGTTAGACTTGATGGAAATATATTATTTTTTACTTTATAAATGAATATCATTACAAGATATTTGATAAAATTTTTTACATTGCTAAACATTTGCCTAATTGGAGTATATTTATCTTTATTTAGTATTATTCTCATGCACTTATTTTGTAAAATTTGCAGTCTTTCAAAAATGGAATTATTTGCTAAATATAGAATAGTCGAACAGTACAAGAAATTTGGAAGAATGATGGTATTACAGATAATTTTTCTGCTATATGAACTCAGACATCCAGAAACTCTCGATAAATATCCCACTTTACTACTAATCTTATTTATAACTTTTTCATAATGAATATCAAAAATTAATCGAGAGTCAACAAAAACTCTCAGGTATTTAAAATTTTCTACGAATTCAATATCTTCACCATCAATATTCAGTTGAACATGTGTACATTATTTTTTTCCGATTAACAAGGCTTTCGTTTTACTTGCATTTAATTTTAGTCTGTTAGATGCTAACCATTTTGAGACAAGCTTCAAGTCTTCATTTATATAAGAGATACCAGACTGAATATTTTTAGTACTTATATAAATCATACTGTCATCGGCGAAAATTTGAATTTTGCATTTTTTGACTATGGCAGGTAAATCATTTATGTATAAAATAAAAAGAAGTGGTCCCAGGATACTGCCCTGTGGAACACCCAACGTATTTTCAATTTTTGATGAAGTAGTGTCATTAACTTTTGTAACTTGCATCATTTTAGACAAATAATTTCTAAACCAATCTAAAACACTTCCTGTTATACCATATGCCTTCAATTTACCTAACAATATATCTCTATCAATCGTTTCAAATGCCCTCTTCAAATCCAAAAATACTGCTATGACAACTTCTTCTGAGTCTATGGCTCTTCTCCAATTCTCAGTTACCAACTGGAAAGCTGTTTCTGTGGAATATTTTTTTTTGTGTTCCTTATTTATAAGTGGATTTTTTAATACGTTCAATAAACTTTCACACACCAGGTGAAGCGCTGATACAGTTAGTGGTAAGTCCCGTTTTTTTAATTGTTTACATTTTACGAGTACATAATAAAATAATGAAATAATACCTAAGAGCCAAAAATAACAAACTCCATCTTTATTTACACTGCGTTCCGTCGTAATTTGCGTCTGGCATTGCGGCGTTGACAGATTTTATTTTACTTTAAAGTCGCTTTTCTTTAAAAAAATGCCGCTTTGACCCCCATGTTATATGAAACTTTTTGCTTCTTTTAACCCCCTCTATCACCTATTTAGCTATCATAACATTTACACCCTGTATAAATGAAACACAAATTATCGTTGGCCGCGCGATAAAAAAATGGCGTCAGGTAGGTCGCCTCTCCAGTTCCTGAGCAACGCCGTCATCAGTTCATAAAGAATTAAATTCAGCGCAATTCAAATAAAGTCACGAAAATGTACAACAGAGAAATTAAACGGATTAAGTCAGTCAAACAGGCCCATACAAACAGACAAACATACCAACGGAAATGGGTGACATGGTTTTTTGTGATGTACATGTCATATGACGTCCTAAAAATACAATATCTTGTTTTCGATTTGCGATTCCAATACTTCCTCGCCCAGTGGCGTATCAGCGAAAACGAGGACAAAAACCAATTCCTTATTGCCCTTTTAGTTTTAGATCCAAAATATAGATATTACGCCGAGAAGAACTTTTTTAAAAATATCCAATTAGGCAAAATTTTCTCTAGATATTTTTTTTAGCAAGTAATATACGGCAGCGAGATAAACATCAATCCTTACTTGAAGAGTGTGGAAGGCTACCTGGGGAAGAATGTTGATAGTAGCTTTCCAGAGATATTCTTTTCGCCGAAACTGCTGGAAAACAAATTGTCATCAACTCCAATCGAAAGGTCGGCTCAACGCAAACCAGACATCGGTGCGGCTGTCGTAGACATTAGTAATGCCATGCGTGACTTCACTGGTCACATTGGCAGTCCAAATCTGAAGATAAACAGTCTTGTCGGAGATAAGGTAAGGTTTTATCCGCGAAAATGTTTTTTTTTACTCCAACTACCACAAAGGCCTAAACACCCATGAGGTACAGTGGGGCTATAGGGGGATAGAGGGGAAAGGGGGAACGCCACACGAACTCTGGCGACACTTTAATGAAATACTGGATTTGAATATTTATATACATACATTTGCACTTAATCTAGGTGAAACACAAAGAAGACAGTATCCGTGACTTCCGCCTCAATGTGTCTAGGAGGAGCTTCACTCTTTCACCAAAATCGCTAGCAAGAGTCTCAAAATTGAATAGGTCTAGGCGGTCCACTGAACTGGGCACCCACGTGGAACGTTCCATCGGTTCAATTGAGAATCAGGAGAGATTCTTTACCAAATTGAGACGTTATGGCAGAAACACTAGGTCTTGGTCGTCAAGGATTATCTCCTTGTGTCAGAGGATTGGCTCGGAGTTAAGGAATGTAAGTACAATGATTCGAAAACAAACAAAAAAAACACACACACACACCATCGCTCGTTGCTTAAGAGACGGGTACCTCGCTAGGCACATTTTACCTCTCAGGCGGAAGCCGTGGGGGCATATGACCCCAGTTGCCCTCCTTAATGGGCGCCCATGCTTATCGCATCAGTTTTCTCTGTGAGACGCTTATCACAAAAAATTCAACGCAAGTCCTATCTCAAACTGGTTCATAGCAGCAAAACCTTTTTCTTTTCCAGGGTCTTCAATCGCTGTGCAACCTTTACAATCCCGGCAATGTAACTCTTAACCTTTCTGTGAATAGAACTAACAATGACGAAATAGTTGAATGCAACAAGTGTGTGGAATACAAAGTAGAACTTGATAGACATGCCAGGGAGATCGAAAATAATAAAAGAGAGATCGAAAATAATAGAAAAGAAATTGAGAATGAGAGAAGAGAGAAAGACAGACTGAGCATCAGAATTGAACAGCAACAGGATGAATTGGTCAAGGTAAGTCGACTTGTGACTATGTTCGATAATTCGTAATGTGATCGTCGGCCAATGCAAAGTTGTGTCTCGGAATAAATGACTAATATCTCTGGTTCATGTGGAACATTAAAAAATGATGTGATTAAGTTATTTTTCAAATATAACAGATTGCAGCCACATATTCCGGGCGTATGTTGCGCAACATGTGCCTGCAGCTTTACAGAAGATCCATACAAAAGTGCTGGGCATACGTTGCGTGTTGCAGTCATTTAACGCATGTTCCTCCAATATAAAAGCATTTTTATATTAATTATGGATTTAACCAATAAATCAGCTGTCTCCGTCGAGTAAAAATAATTGAACAAGGATGATAATTATGGCCATCAACCAGCATTAAATAATAATATTTAATTCGAGAAAACTTACTTGTGTAACATTAAATAAACCAGTGTACTAAGATATAGAACAATCAACCTCTCTTGTGATCCTAAGCCGGTATTACCTGTCAGATGAAGCACATGAACATACGTCACACACTATTATCCACATGAGCTTATGAGCAGTCGATCTATTCATTCCCATAAGCAACTTTTCTGTATAGTGTTTACTGCGTCAAACGTTACAGAATAGTTCCTTAGCTTATTCAGCTACGGTTCTCACGATCTGGAATGATCTGACACGCAGTATTTACCGTGTTACGTTAGCATTTGTGGCAATGTCTGTTCTCTTGTTTCAGCTAAAAGAAAACCTGAAGGAGATCCAAAACCGAATTCGATCTTGTCCCCCTCCACCGCCACCGCCTTGTCCTACATCATTTCCCCCACCGCCGCCACCTCTTCCTAATCCACCCCCTCCACCGCCGCCCCCTCTTCCCCCGCTGTCATTAACCGCGCCCAGTTCCACTTCATTAAAGATCACTAAAAACGAGAAGAATGGTGGGGGTAGGACTGCAGCTCAACCCAGGCCGGTGATATCCTTGGAGGATATATTGAAGGTCAAGCTGAAGAAGGCTTCAGTGGGTATAATTGTTTAAATATACAGGGTGATTCACAAGTCGTGACCAAAAATAAAACATCATACACAGGACCGCATTTTAAGGGGGTCTTCTATTTAACATTTTCCCCACGAGTGCTTCATTAAAAAGATACGGGGTGTTGAAGTTTTTGATTTTTACTTTGAAAAAGGGCCACCGAGGTGGCCCAACCGTCAGCAAAGTTATATCTAAATTTGTGGTTTTGTTTCTTGTTCCAGGATCGTTGCGGCTCGACACCAACCGGCCGCTTCGCCGGCACCCGTCGCGCTTCAGCCACCGTGCCACTAGAAACGCTGGAACAAGTTCGCCTGAGGCCCACGCCTCGATTGGGCGGTAACCTCCCGTCGGAGGGTGGTCTGACCACGCCCACCACCGGTGACCCAATCCCCACCAGCCCGATGACAGCCATGTGCAGGATGCTGAAAGCAGACTCGGCAGCGGTGCATAGGCTGAAACGGCTGCGAAGGATTGGCGGTTACAGTTGCGATTCTTTTTACAGGCGGAGCTCTAGCGATTGGCGAGAGAGGGAGTTCTAAGGAGGAGGAGCCTAGCTGGTGATGGGAGGTGCAATGCTGTGATTTTGTTGTTAGGGGCGGAGCCGAGTAGGTAGATGATGGTTTTAGTGGTTTGCAGGAGCAAATTGGTTTATACAGTATGGTGTAAATTCGAAAATGGCGAGGCATAGTCTAAAAAACTCATTCAACATTACAAACTCAAAACTTTTCAAATAGGCTTTGCAGAAATAATATAATAATAAAAATAAACGACTTTTATTTCAGAGAAATAATATGTTGAATAGCTTTATGCAGAATGTTAAATTATGAACTTCCAGTAGGCTAAATTTAAATGAAACTTCTAAAGTTTTTTTAGTAAAGCAGTAAGAGACAAAGATCTGTTAAGGATCAACACAAAATTGCGGTTACAAGTTTGAGATGGTGAGCTGTAGTTTTATAAAAAAGCATTCGACAATTTTTGAGGAAATAAAAAAAATTACAAACAAATGAAAAATGATAAACAAAATTTGAAAGGTCTATTAAGGATCGCAAAAAACTGTGGCAGATGTCCGGAATACGTAAAGTAAAGCGGCGGATTTAAAAATTGATTGCATTCAAATATAGGTGTATGCATATTTTCATATGAACACATTCAACTTTGAAGTAGGATCTATAAAGACAAAGATCTCTTAAAGATCACATACACGATTAATCGTAAAACTAGCTGTAGCATTACTATGATGAAAATAAAATATCGCAACATCATTATCTTTAAAACATTTTCGTTATTGTTTCATTGGTCTTTAGCTTGAGCATCTCTCCACATCCTAGTTATTCTAATTGTCAAATGTTTCAAGTTTAGCGTTATGTCTATGCCAGAATTTGAGCCAGTATGTTGGATAGCATAATAAAAATAGAATTTCCTCCTGCAAACATTTTAAGGTTTGATTTTTTCGTAAGACGATGATAAAGTGCTGGGTGCTTTTACTTTATATACATATTTATTCGTATTATATTTTATTGCTTTATATTAAATTTTATCAAATATTGGTATTTCGTCATCTACTTATGGAATATTTTATTAAACGCGATCAAATATAATTTGGTTTACATAGTATATTTTACCTGTTAGATTTGAACCATATCCCATATCCTTTACATATAGACATTGATCAAGCGCTGATAGCCAACCTAATGCGATATTCCGTGTCCAAAAAATTATCAGAGACAAATTGAGATGCAGTAGCGACGTCTATGAGATTCTGTCACAGCAGTTTCTCAAGTCACTATAAATACTATGGCAAGGTTAGTATCTCTTAGATGGCGCTGTCTATACGAACACATACAAGCATACATGAATGAGACACTAAGTTTTTCAAAGTATATGCGGGTGTTTCAAATTCGACCCTCAAAATTGGGGACAAGTCGCTCAAATAGGAGCAACGTTGCGTATTTAGGTGTTTACAAAATGCTGCTTACAAAGTACTTACGGGGAAAATGGAAAAACCCGGATTTTCCCAAAATCGATTTAATTTTTTCCTGACTTTGTACTACGGGATTTCAAAGTAAATTACACATTAGATTGCCACTTTTTCTCCTCTACAAGATAGCATAATAAGAATTTCAATAGATCGTTGCGTCCGTAGTCTACCAGCGTCAATTTTATTTTCTATTATGTACGCCATATTGGATTTTTGCACAGATGAATGTATGACATATTATACATTTTTGAGATCATAATTTAAAAGTAAGAAAATGATCAAAAAAAACGTTCTGTTTTTGTACGTTTTTTAACATTCCTATTTTCGCTTGCATGTTTATCAAAGGCAATAAAGAGATAGTTTCATGTACATCAGTTTATTCAAAAAATAATCGGAAGAAATACGAGTACAATAAATAATACTTAAAAACTAATTGGTCAGGTACAAAATGCATTAATCCTAAAATTGCACTCGCTCATTCACTCATACGATTCGTTCGGAAAATTAAGTTAAATTAACTAGTTTAATTTAGAATGTATAGGAGAAAGATGTTCACTAGGAACAGGCCTACATTAGTTTACAAATGTTTTTTCCTATCACATTAAGGTTTTGACATCTATTTTTATTGGAGACTAATATAGCGTAAATCTGCTGTGAATGTCGTTCTTTTTCTAGGATTTAGGCACCATTTATTGCTTGGAATTATTCATTCTTCAGTTACTAGTTACATACACACGTTTCTAGAACGTGTCTCGTATTACGGTTATGTAGACCTGTTTCCTATTATACATAACAATAAAATGCGCTGAATATTTTCATCAGTGAATAGTCACAAAAACGTCTAACTTTACAATGAAATAGAAACAATTATTTTGCACAATTTATACAAGTGGCGAAAAATGTTCATACACAACTGTTATTGCTTATTTAAATTTAGAAGTGATGATTCTTTTTGAGGTGATATCTTGGGTTGGAAATTACGGTTTTAGATTCATAATCTTCGTTTATGTAGTGGAATTACAAAACAAAAGCCAACAAATTTGTACGGAGTTACTTTATCCAACATATTTCAGCTATGAGATAAAGAGGACGTCATGAATTAGCATGTTTTCTATTCTCAATTTAATGATCTTCAATCGGAATTTTGAACTTTCCATAACTATTCAACCTCAGTACAGGTAGCTACAAACATTAAAAGGGCTCGTAACTCTTCTACTCTACTAGAAAATAAGGTGAGCGGTATATAACATGTTTTAGATTATGAATTGCAAGTTGTGAATTGAATCAAAGAGTTCGAGAAAATCCTCCTAATATTACGTGTACATGTTATAGGAACATAGCAGTCATGGTTTGCATGTAAACGTAAACGAAAAATGCCCTAAATGGAAAATAATTTACAAAACAACGAACGGCTTTTCACTTTACACAAAAGCAAGACTTGATTTGATTTTGAGTTACTAGTTACATACACACGTTTCTAGAACGTGTCTCGTATTACGGTTATGTAGACCTGTTTCCTATTATACATAACAATAAAATGCGCTGAATATTTTCATCAGTTAATAGTCACAAAAACGTCTAACTTTACAATGAAATAGAAACAATTATTTTGCACAATTTATACAAGTGGCGAAAAATGTTCATACACAACTGTTATTGCTTATTTAAATTTAGAAGTGATGATTCTTTTTGAGGTGATATCTTGGGTTGGAAATTACGGTTTTAGATTCATAATCTTCGTTTATGTAGTGGAATTACAAAACAAAAGCCAACAAATTTGTACGGAGTTACTTTATCCAACATATTTCAGCTATGAGATAAAGAGGACGTCATGAATTAGCATGTTTTCTATTCTCAATTTAATGATCTTCAATCGGAATTTTGAACTTTCCATAACTATTCAACCTCAGTACAGGTAGCTACAAACATATAATGGGCTCGTAACTCTCCTACTCTACTAGAAAATAAGGTGAGCGGTATACAGGGTTATCCAAATTAAGTGTCCACCATTAGTAACTTTGTTATTAGTGAAAATACAAAGTTGTTTGAATTAGCAAACTAGTAGCATTTTTAACGCTGGTAAAAATGAGAAATAAAAAAAAAACAATTGAGAGTCGTTATTTTGATTTTTTTCAGTAAAATAACATTTTTTTAAATGGAAACCCCTGTATATTATATTTTTTTCTGTTAAAGCATCAAATTTTAAACAAAAAAGTTCATAATGACTTTTCCGCTAAAGTCAAAAATAAAGTCAAAATAACGATAAATATTTTTAATTATTTGCAGTATTATAATATTAAGACGGCTATGAAAACAACATGGCGTTCGCGATTTGACAGCATTAAGATAAGCGACAAATTGTTAAACTGGACATACTCGCAACTAGAAGGCTTTGGAAAACAATGATAAAATCAAATAATGTCAAACATTAGTGTAAATACTTGTTTATAAGCTTTATTGTGTCATTAATTTAAAGAAAAATGTTCTCCCATGAAGAAAAGTGTGATATGTTAGAATGCTATTTAGTGTGCAGAAAATCCTCCTTGAGAGCAAGAGAATACTACAGTGAATTATATCCCGCTCGCATTCAACCGTATGAACGATATTTTCTGAGACTTTATCGAAAATTTAGGGGCAACGAAAATGTTTTTGCTAAAACAAGGGCAAAAAAAGAATTCATAATAAGCGAGGCCACGGAAATTGCAGTTATTGGATATTTTGAAGCTTATCGTGAGAATTCAATAGCAGATATTCTCAAGGACTCTAATTTCAGTTATGGTACTGTTCAAAGGATTTTAAAAAAATACAAATTTATTCCGTATAAGTACCGACCAGTTGAAACGCTTTTGGCAGGGGATCCAGAGAGAAGACTTGTTTTTTGCCATTGGTATCTTAGCTTCTGTCGCCAAAATGTAAATAACTTTCGTTACCTTTTATGGACAGATGAATCAAATTTTTCAAATTCTGGAATGTTTAATAGATAAAACCACCATTATTGGTCAAGAGAAAATCTTTTGTTAGTACATCCAAGAGGCCCACAAGTCCGTTTCAGTTTCAACGTTTGGTGCGGTATAATTGGTTCAAAAATTGTTGGCCCGTTCTTTTATGAGGGAACCCTAACTGGTGAAAGATATGTGGAATTTATGTCAGAAATTCTGACTAATTTCTTAGACGAATTGGATCTTATAAGTAGACATCATCTGCATTTTCAGCAAGATGGCGCACCTGCCCACAACTCCAGAGGTACTTATCATTTTCTAAGTACTACTTTTAATGATCAGTGGATAGGAACAAATGGCCCAATACAGTGGCCTCCCAGATCACCAGATCTAAACCCACTTGATTACTTCTTGTGGGGTTACTTAAAGAACCAAATTTACAAGCGAAGGTACGATAACCTTGACGCGTTAAAGACTGCAGTTAGGAAAAGATAACCCAGATAGATGGTAGGACCATACTTAAGACAGTTCGAGCAGTTGAAAAACGTGCCCAAAAATGTATTGAAGAACAAGGTGGTGTTTTCGAGCATCTTCTTTAAAAAAAATTGTTATTGTATTTTGTAAGATTATAAGTTGATGTTGAAAATAAAGTTTGTCGATACAATTTAATTGTTTCAGATTGGAGGCCATAACTTCAACAATTTGTAACCTAGGAGAAAAGTTATTGTAAGCTTTTTTGTTTAAAATTTGATGCTTTAACAGAAAAAAATATAATATACAGGGGTTTCCATTTAAAAAAATGTTATTTTACTGAAAAAAACCAAAATAACGACTCTCAATTGTTTTTTTTTATTTCTCATTTTTACCAGCGTTAAAAATGCTACTAGTTTGCTAATTCAAACAACTTTGTATTTTCACTAATAACAAAGTTACTAATGGTGGACACTTAATTTGGATAACCCTGTATAACATGTTTTAGATTATGAATTGCAAGTTGTGAATTGAATCAAAGAGTTCGAGAAAATCCTCCTAATATTACGTGTACATGTTATAGGAACATAGCAGTCATGGTTTGCATGTAAACGTAAACGAAAAATGCCCTAAATGGAAAATAATTTACAAAACAACGAACGGCTTTTCACTTTACACAAAAGCAAGACTTGATTCTTTTATATTTAAATAATAATAATAATAAAAAGATTGGTAGCAATATTCCATCAGTTCCAAAATTGGTACGTTTCAACTTTTATATTGATTCGTAATTACTTGGACGATTTTTGAAGCCAATTGGATGGAAGTTAGCATTCTTTCAAACATTTGCTTTTTGATTTCATGAAAAGCTGCCACTAAACGCAGATTATACAAGGTGTTCTCAAAGATGGGACATTACAGAGCATACAGGTTTTTCCTACCAACACATATACCAAAGCCTTGAGATGTCTGAGACATTAAGTTCCGACACACTCTAAATAAGCCACTCAGACCTTGGTCTCCCCCCCCCCCCTACATCAAAGTGTAGGATGTTTCGTGACTGTGACTATGTGTATCCACGTGGTGTGTAGATTAACCAAGTTTATAATATGAAATATAATATAAAATTGACACACTCCTACAACTATAATGTAGTTGTCCATTCGATAGTTCACTGTGAGCATCTTCAAGATCCTATTGATACTTCGCGAGTGTATACGGATATTCAGAACGACGCCGTCATACTCGAGCTGCGTAGGTTTGTTTCTATTGTTCAAAAGCCGTTTAAGTGACGTAGACAGCAAATTGTTGCAAATTTAGGAAGAAATAAACCAAGTGGTGTTTTTGGATTGGTCAGCGACAATTTCAAGCAGTGATTACAAACAAAACATGTCTAAACTTTTAGGACACCCTGTATAACTTGAACATTTCTTTCAACATGATTATAATTTTTCTATGCACTCAAAGAAAATATTATGAAACTAAAAGGAATTATTTTCACTATAAAAATCAAATTAAATAAGTGAAATTACCTAATTGATAAATCTAACTCTGTTTCTCATGCCCTTCCGCCGTGGATTTTCAACCAATTTAGAGTAAGTACAGTTCTGTTCAAGAAATTCCTTGGACTTTTGCTACTTTTATCTTCATGAAAATAACTCGCTCAAGCGAATTTTCGTTGTGGAAGGGTATGGAAGAGAATTTAGCTAAAAATTTCACTAAAAAAATTAAAACTATAAAAAACTAGCTGCTCATCGAAATGCGTTTCGTTTAAACATTGAATGTCCATTTCGATACCTTCTACCATATTGACCCACCAAGACAGCAAAAACATTCTTCAAACTGCGTGATAAAAGTTGCAAAATACTTGCCTATTAGCATAGAAGGTATTGAAACGGACCAAATATATACATCAGCCAGTCATACGCGTATTCCAATAATGCTTATTATGTTTCATAAATAAATGTGTATCAAAATTTACCTACTTAATACCTACATGTATATGCTTAAAGTACTCAAAATTACTTATAAGTAATCATATCACAGCAGTTATTTATTTTCAAATCGCTAGCTGTACGAAAATGTCGCACGATTTAGTCCATGTCCAAACCATGGAGCTCCAATTTTAGGAGGAAAACATTTTTGGGGAAATATTTTGGTTTTAACAAGTTGGGTGGGTCGACTACATTCCAAATCTTCATCAAATTAATTAGGTCAAGAAGTATCTTCACACTCGCTCCGAAAAATATTGATTCGGTTTTTTGCATATTTTGCATTTTTTCATATATTCAATAATTGCTTATGTCTCAACTTTACAATAAAGTTCTTAAGAATCTTTTTTATTCAAACAAGTTTTGGAATTTGTTCAAAAAACGGTTCAATTTTTGACGGAATTTTGGTGCTGGCAACATGAAGATTCGTTAAAATGGGTCCTCAAAAAAACCGATTTAGAATATGTTTCCGGGCGGATTCGAATATATACATAGTCATGCCATAAGTTCTGTCCCTCGTTTTCAAACAAGTGTAGACCTGTTAATACTTGTCCGATTGTTTACATTGTGGTGTCAGTTGATTAAGCGCTTTTCGGGTAATTACATATACCTCAGTTTGTATTGATCTCTCGAAGCATAACGATGGAGTGGGGCAAGGCAGAGAACCGTATTGCAGTGATAGCTTTACATAAGTGTAATCACAGTGCTAGTCAGATTTTTGAACTCTTACGCGGCCTTCAAATATCGCGTAAATTTGTGTCTAGGACCATTCAGCGGTACAATGAGACGTCCTCTGTTGATGACAGGCCAAGAAGCGGAAGACCTCGTCAAGTAAGGACTCCAGCAGCCATCAAAGCCGTAAAAGCCAGGATTCAAAGGAATCCACTCCGGAAGCAGAAGATCCTATCCAGGGAAATGAAGATTCCTGTCCGGACGATGTCGCGCATCATTAAACAAGACCTAGGGCTAGGGGCTTACCGGAGACGTACGGGCCAGCGACTTACGGCCACCTTGCGACACATCAGGGCGACAAGATCCAAGAAGCTCTTGGAGAGGTACGCAGCTGGGGGATTCCGAAAGATTTTGTTCACGGATGAGAAAATCTTCACCATAGAAGAAAAATTCAACCGACAAAATGACAAAGTGTATGCAAGGAGTTCACAGGAAGCTTCGGAGATCATTCCGAGAGTTGAGAGAGGCCACCACCCTGCGTCAGTCATGGTTTGGTGGGGGGTGTCCTACGAAGGGGTCACTCAGCTCCATTTCTGTAAACAGGGCGTGAAAACAAAAGCGGCAAACTATCAGAGCGACATACTGGATCCTATCGTCAAGCCTTTAAGTGGTACATTGTTTGCCAACCAACACTGGGTCTACCAGCAGGATTCCGCCCCCGCTCACAAGGCTAAGAGTACGCAGCGCTGGCTGGAAAGCAATGTGCCAGAGTTCATTGCTGCGGAAGATTGGCCCTCAGGGAGTCCGGACCTCAATCCTTTAGACTACAAGTTGTGGGACCTGCTAGAGCAGTTGGCCTGCTCCAAAGCCCACCGTAATATCGAGTCCCTGAAAGCGGATTTGATCCGATCAGCGGCAGCTATTCCTTTGGAAGCTGTGCGTGCAGTGATAGATGTGTGGCCCGCGAGATTGAAGCAGTGTGTGAAGGCCAAGGGGGGACATTTTGAATAAAACTGTTTGATTATGAATTCTAAAAATGTTGTCGAATAAATAATATCTTTCATATAAATATATCTTATCTTGTTTCATTTTTATCATGAGATTATCATGGGACAGAACTTATGGCACGACTACGTACTTCCGGTCATCAAACCAAGATCTAAAAACGTGTGACATTTCGTACATCGTGAACAAACTCTGAAGAAAAGTCTGGGTGACACTATGTCTATTGGTATATATTGATATAATATTTAACCTAGATGCGTAAATGTAAATGATTTGCTCTGTCTGAGAAAGATATGTGTGTTTATATATGACTACGTGAATTTGTGTATATGTATATTTCAGCTACCTATATTTGTCTTTATGAGTAAAGGCAGTATTTATTTGCTGTTAGTTTGATTGCGAAAGTTGCAGTTGATCGTACGCTTCGTGGAATCCTCAATAGGTTCAAAGTTATTTGTGCATCTCAACATGTAATGCAAAAGCTACAGAACTCTACCACAGCATATAAACCCAAGATTTTAACTTTATAGGAAAGGCAGTCTTTCTTTTTTAGATCTGTCTTTTTACAAAAAAAAAACAAGAATAAGATAAATTCAATTTTTTGCCTTTAAAACTACTTTGGTAAAGGGATATCCAGCGATATGCACTATCAAATGCACTATGGTTCTAAACTCTACAGAAACTACACGATATATCGACAATTCATACAAATGTTGATGCAAAATAATTTAAAAAATATATACTTTTAAAAATCTACATTATGGTTGGTATACATCAGTAATTAGCAAAATAAATTAAATAATTTTTGGTTTTACAATAAATCTCGTCAGTTCAACAAAAACAATAACAGACGGGTAACTAAATTATTATTCTAATAGGAGAATCATTGGAGGTCAAATTCAGACACGTGCAGTTTAGCAAGAAATTTCGATATGAAAATTTTTCATTAAAAAATGGGTAGTTTTACAATTGAAACAGTAAAATTACGAAAAAGAATTAGCATTGATAAAAAATGCTGGTGAAACTGCCTGATATGACTAGAAAATAAATGAATATCAAAAAGCATATGATTGGATTTAAAATAGTGATGATTATGGTTTGATAATGACTATGATACTTCAATTGAATGTTTGTTATGAGAAGAACAAAACTGAATTCGATACTTTTGAAGTTCTTAAACCGCCCCCCGTAAAATTCTCCTACACTGTCTACAACTTTCAAGCAACTGAAGCAGTTCAATTTTTTCGATTTATGGTTACGTATATATGTAGTGTATATGTGCGAATATATTTTGTAGTATATGTGTATACTTATTTGTGATGCGTGTAATCAAAATCAGTCAGGTATGATTACGTGACAAAAATGACTAGATACATTAATAAAAAATGTCAACCTGTGATGTAAAATGTATGTATAAGTATATATATGTAAAAAATGAAAAATTAGTATGAACTTTAACTTAGTACATTTCACAAAAGTATATTTGACATCTGTCTAATCAAAACGAAAACGATGTTGAATGAAAATATACTCAGATCTATGAGTGAGGATGTATGCATATAATAATTTTCTATTTTAACTTGTACTCTCTCCCAAAATATTTTTCTCCATGCAATACTAATCTTGAAAATATTCATTTAAATATTCTTTTGCGAAATGCTAAGCTATAGTGTATAAAATGATAGGCTTCAGGTCTAGCTTATTAAAAATTTGCCGACAGGCACAATGAAGGCAAAATATTTCAAGAAGCCACGATTTGGCGCTGTATGATCAATAAAAGTACCATTTATTTTGTAAGTGTGTTCTAAAAATGAACTTTGGTGATTGTAGCAAAAAGGACAGTTTTAACAGAAAATGGGCATATTGCTTTGAAGCCATAGTTATCTAACAGTCTGTTGGAAAAACATTGTTAGGCATCCTTCCATTATGTACTACCACTATTACCTACCCATCGAAAGAATGCAAGGCAAAGTAACGTGGGTGGACATCTAGTTCTTGGATTGATATTCATTGAGAACATTTCAGAATGCATCAAAAGCATTCTCTACGCGACACATGTTCATACAATTATTGCATAATTTTTACTCTAATGAACAGATACATGGCGCGTTTGGGTCTGACGTTTCTCAAATAGGTAGTACGGAAATGACAAATGGAAAGTGCCGCAAAACAGCAGCTCAGCAGTGTGACAACTCATTGATCGTTGAAAGTCGTCCAGTTTCGATTTCTCATGTTTGTACATGGCCATTTGTGGGAAGTGGCATCGTGTTCCCGGAAGCGGAACGTTAAATAATCAGGGGAACATATGGCTAGGGTATCCATGCAAACATATTAAGCGCTCTGTTTCCTGGACATGATATTTCGCGCAGTGCCCCTTGCGGTATGTGATTATTTATTGTGGGGCTACCGTCAAATAGAAAAGTCTACAGACATAAGCCCCATACCATCCAGGGATTGAAGACAGCAATCAAGAATGAAAGTGCTGCAATTCCAACTAACATGCTGCAGCGAGGAATGTGAAACTTAAATGACCGGCTCAGGAGAATGTATTGCTGAGCAAAAGTTAGTCATCTCTTCTAGGTTGAATATTAGCAATTTTACAGCCATTCAAAATAGATCAGATCCAAACACGCCATCCTGTATAAGCTATTGAAGTATTCTAATGTCATGAATTTGCTGGAAGCCTCAAAAGAGCTTTCAAGTTGTCTCGTGTGACAACACTGTAGGGTGAAAAGTACCGGAATGGTTAATGTCAATTGAAGGGCTGTCAGTATTAAATACCTCGCACGAGCAAACCATCATCAACTTATGAGGATTTGACAGATATGTTTCTCAGACAATACCGACACACCTATCGGTTTCTGCGGCATCCTTCATAGTTTTCCATCTTGCATTTTGTGGTGGGCAGATAATACTACATGTTCCATGTTCGTCGTTGAATTCCCGGGAACCGACAAATTGGGAAGGTGCCTTAACCTCGAAAGCATCCTGTTAGCAATTCACCGAGGCTTGTTGGATAAATACAATAATGAGAGATCAATCTAGGATGTCCGAGTTGTAACCATACATTCCTAACCGTGACGTATATCTTATTGCACACTTTACATCTGGCACTTGGATATTTGTTGTCTGCTTCATGCAGCTTGTATATTCTGTTGATGAATCTGGTTCGCCAGTCTGCTCTTTGCCATCGACTTTCCAAGAGGAGTGAACTTTTATGTACAGTCGAGTGCATAAAACACGATTTACACCGATCGCTTTTTCGCGTCCTCTGTTGCATCTGAAAGAATACGATTCATGAATGATTGATTTTGTCTTTTTCTACTACCGATACACAGAAAAGTATTGTGCGAAAAACTAGAAATCGATTTTTGTTCTGTTTTATGATGTTACCATACCGCTTGTTTGCTTTCCATTGTTTGTCTCCAAGACAATATCTATACCATAATAATTGCTAACAAGCGTGAAACGATGGTGATATTGTATATAGTTGCTCATGGTCACAGAGGCGGAAAGTAAACGATCCAGTTTAGCGGTAGCAGCTACTATCAATTCATTTTTAAAATTCGGTGTAGTACCAGCAATGCCCAGGACCGCCTAAAACTTCTGCGCATTTGGATCCAACATTAATAGTAGAAAATTGCATAACGGTCAGTTGGCGCGTTGCGACAACAGTTCTCTGTTTGCTCGAAGGACGGTTGGCATTTTTGAGACGGTGAGCGAAGGTGACGTGTCTGGTACATCACAAACAGATGATCTCATGCTCGCTTGTCGCTTTGGAGTGGGAATGCCTATCCTAGGTCCTAGACTTTTGCTGGTTTTACACTTTGCCGCCTTAAACTACAAAAATGGTTTCAGTCTGTAGTCGCACCAGTGTATAGTAGCGAAAAAAGGAAAAACAAATATACTGTCACCCAGAAGACATATGAACTTGAAATATATTGTCATTTTCAGTTGACTTTGAAAAGGGCCACCGCGGTGACCGAACGTCAGTCAAAAGTAATTTGTACATTTTGTACATATGTGGTTTCATTCGGCGAGGAAATCATGGATTTCTATGAAAACAACATGATACGTTTCAAGTGCCTCAACACAGTATACTGAACTTTATCATTTGTTTAGCCGTGAGTTTTTTGCTACCTCTAATCCATCAATTTCTCCGATGTTTGAAAGTTTGCGTTACCGGTTTCGATTAGGCTCTAATTTTTCAAAAGCAAATTTCTTTTTTAAAAATTATGATTTTATCCGTAAAATGTATTGGTGAAATAATTGAAACTTTACCTGATCAAAGCTTGGTGTTCTTCTGCTTACTGGTCACCACCGACTGGTTGACATAGTCAGTCTCATCCTCGTCGGTATCTTCCGAGTTTCTACGACTCACTAACCGCCCCAGGTCGATCAGGGCGGAACTAGACCGCGATTGGCCTAAAAGAGGCTCTTTGGGGCAGCAAACTTCCAATGGGATGTCACTGTCCGTCTTTTCGGGGAACAAACCGTGTGGGGGGTGGAACGCAGAACCTGTAAGTGGAAAATTGATAAAAATTCTGGCTAGTATTGTTGTTTTTGGACATAAAAATATATATTTTTTATGGACGGACGGAGTCGTTAATATATCCGTTACCACGTATTTGCCATTAATTGGACATATATATTGCACATCTCTAAAGGCTTTCCCGTCAATGCTTTTTGATGACTATTTTGCATAAACGTGACCGAATTCCGTTGAGGAAGCGTTTAATTTCTTCCTCAAGTTCATAAATTTCTTGACGTAGTCATTTGATTGCAAATAACCCCATAAACAAAGTGTGATGTAGTTAAATCATAAGAACCGATACGTTCGAACCTGTGCGGATTACGCATCGTTTTACCCCGCTTGACGATGCAAACGGCGGTGCACGTGACCCGCCGTAGCCAATCGCTTCTGTGTAGGAGGTTGAAAATTGTACTGCGGAATATGCCTGAGTCTAGCTTCTAGGTTACCTATTTTGTGCCAGAAGCGTAGGGACCTTCTGTCACATTCAGCGTATGTGCTGAAGATGTATCAAGCTTTGGCGAACTATTTGTAGATGGCGTTTGTCACCTCTTTGAATTGTTTCGTGGGGTGTATGGCATGTGGCACCTACTTGTTGAAACTACACGTTATCCGCACCAATATTACTCAATTTAGACAGAAAGACGTTCACAGGGACTCGTGTGCATCGGAGAAGGAAATCCAACGCTACAACAAAATTCAACTAAACCAATGCAAAACGGTCATTAAAAATTGCAGCATAAAATCGCGTACGTGCCAGCAAAGCTGAGCACGTCAACACTATTCGGTGTACTTTATGACTCAATAAAGAAACAATAAAACAACTAAGTTTTATTATATTTAATTCGAATCTTGTGTGCATTTTAGGACACACTGTAGAAGAATTTGGAGTTTGACTGAAATGCTTACCATTCATGGACTTAGTAGGGGATGAGGGTACTTTGGTATCCGGTGGTGGTGTCATATCAAGTTGGTCATTTTCTAACTGTACAGATGACAACGGCACGTCCAAACATGGCGAGAGAAGTCTTGGGTTATTTGCTAGGAACTCAACGATTTGCGATGAAGTTGGACGTTCTTTGGCCTCCCGCCGCCAGCAAGACTTCATCAATCCATCCCTGAAAAGAAAAAGTTTGATTCTTGATCCGTTAACAAAAATAACTTTGAATACTACTCAGTTTCACCATCGAAATTCGACAGCATAAAATGCCATCTATTGCCAGAATCGATCACTGCGTGAGTGAAACGCAGCTATCAACTGGAACTGTATCTCGGTTCGCGTCGACAGCCTAGTCACCACTGTGACTGTTTGATGCCGTCGTTTCTGGCCATACCGTAGATGATGGTCTAATCGACATTGAAAAAGCTAAGACTGCTTTTGTCCGTCGTAGGCTTTGTCTCTACGTAGGACAACGAACGAAAGCAGATGAAAGTATCAAATTATCCTCCATCTGAGGTATGAGGTCTGTACGGTTTCACCATCAGCTTAATCAATGTGGTTTTATTGGCCAGACAAGCATGTGGGATTATCGACATGTAAACCACAGGAGAAGTTTTAGCTGTTACATTATTACGAATTACATTTCACCACCTTTTAATAAATTAAAGTTATTGTTTTTGGAAAGAAAAGTCTAAACTTTTAAAACAACCTATATAGATCAGTGAAAATAAACAGGTTAGTAGTACGAGATAAGCATAACTTACAGCTGGGGCTTCACTCCTTTAGGTACTTCCAAGGTGACACCCTCTTTGACCAACTCCAATACTTGAGTGTTACTTTTCCCTTGAAACGGGAAGGCGCCGAAAGTGATGATTTCGTAAAGCAGTACTCCAAAACTCCAAACGTCGGTCGCAGGTGTGAAAATGCCTTGAGCCAAACTTTCCGGAGACATCCAACGTACCTAAAAAATATTTAACGTTTTGAAGCATTGAAGCATCATATTCGTTATCCAAAAGTGCTACTTATAGCGACGCATTGAGTGTCACTTCATCCTAGTGAGGATAAAACTTGTGACCAAAGTGTTATTAACTGACATTTTAACAATATTGTTTCTTTAGGCCCGTATCGTCAGTCGTCCCTACAATTGTAGGGCGCCTTTATGGCCTCCTAGATTGTCATAGTTTTCTACTTCTCCGTGTCAGAACTCTATTTTGAGGTTATGTCACAAACATCTATTTGCATCAAATTATGCGTGCTTTTGAGTTATATCATGTTTTATCAGCCTGAAATGTCCTACAATTTGAAAAGAAAACATATCTTCAGAATAGGAGAGCGCTGGCGTTGACACGGGACAAGTGTAATCTAATTTTTGAAGGAGAAAAAGAAGTATGACAATCAAGGAGGTCATAAACGCGCCCTACAATTGTAGGGACGAGTGACGATACGGGCCTTAAATATTGAGGGTTATAAACGAAAAATCACCAAAAATATGACATTTGTACACCATTGGAAGGCTTACCGGAAGCATTCCTTTTCTGGTGAACTTGTAGTAGGCGTTATCGAACATTGCTCTGGTCATGCCAAAGTCTCCGATTTTGACACAACGTTGAGCATTGACGAGGCAGTTTCTGGACGCGATGTCTCTGTGAACGTATTTCAACTCTGCTAGGTAACTGAGACCTCTGGCCACATCCAGGGCCATGCTTGTCAGTCTTTTTGGTGAAACCTGCAAACAAAATTTTCAATAATACACCCGTTCACGGTTTTTTGTTCAAATTTTTCTCACGTATTCAGATGCAATGAAAATTTAAATATGCTGACGCCACTATTTTCTTCTGTGTCAGTTACCCAACCTGGATAAAAAACACCATCGAAAAGTGATTTATACCTTTATGAAAACAGGATTTCTTCGCAATACCTGGTTACCCCCTAGCTAATTTGCTTTTGTGCCAAACACGGGAGATTACAAATAGTTTAGTATCAAAATAGAAATGTCAGTATAACAGAAGTTCTACTCGATCAGCAGCGAAATCTGTTGTAACCCATAAGTGGCCTCATATTTTCCTTATGCCTTTACTTAGATTATACTTTATTCTGTCGTGATTGTATATAGGTACTAATTTTCAACAAATTGTCAGTTTTTTTTATACATCTCGTATTGTTAAGGGGGTTAGATGGTAGAATAGATATATTATCTAAATCTCGCCTCCTGTAATAATATTACAAATAAAAGATGTTAACTATTATTATTATAAATTCAAATGGTGCATACCCTCAAATACCCTGTGAACCCTCCTTAACAAGCAAACTGTGGGGTTAAACCTGATTTATTCCGCTTCAAAGCGTAAATGAGATACAATTATATATACAGTATCGTCAAAAATAATCACGTCACGAAAATGCCATTGCTATAACAGGTCTGCAAATTTCTGTATTATGCATTTTTTAGCTTTTAACTAACAATTTACAAATGCAGAGATTACAAACATATCTGACAGTATTTATCATAGAAATCAGTGCACTTTTTACTGATAATCCGCAGTGACTTAAGGTCATATTGGCGGAAAGAGCAAGCAAACAAACTTTATGGCGGATAAACTTAGGAACGTAGATTTTCTCGTTACTGAAAAAGTGTACTTACGTCCTCGGACTCCTCGATGTCTTTGTTTTTGACGAGATGTCTTCGGGCGAGAAGGTAAGTCTTAAGATCTCCGTAGAGCATGAATTCCATAATGGTGTACACAGGTTCATCTTTGGTGCAAACGCCCAGAAGAGTCACGATGTTTTTGTGGTCAAACCGCTTCATGGCCTCTGCTTCGGACAAGAAGTCCAATCTTTCTTCGGCTGTTGATCCAATCTAACAATGGGGAAAGAAAATAAATAAGAAACTAGTGTATTGCATATCGAAGGAGACAGCAATAATGTTCAACGTCTACAGGGTGTTCTGAATCTACGTTTGAAATAATAAAGCTGATGTGGGTCAAAACTAAGATTCCACGACCTGGCTATGCGGCTCATATCTCAGATCTGGCCCAATTCTTTTTCAGGAGAGTACCTATGAGGCGTGAAACTTTATGAAATTTCAGGGTCTTCGGTTTAAAGATGCGCTCAAAGTCTGAAGATTAGGAAAAAGATTTTTGCGTTTTGGCAATTTCGCAATTTCTAGGTACTCATAGCTCTGGAAAGCATTAGGCTCCATAATATATGTGATTACTCCAAAGTAAAATTGTCCATTTCCAGAGGAACTCAAAAATAACTTCCAAATTTAAATCTGATAGATCCTCGGTAGATATTTTAGTCAAAAATAATTCCGAAACAATAAAAATTTACTTTTTTGGTATTGGATAAGGATCAATCTATCATTCTTTGTGGATTAAATTTTGTACCCGGGAGAAATCATGTCTCAGATTTTGATAAATTTTTTTTCTTAGAAGTCCCTAAGTAGATTTTGTAAAATTTTAGAGTCCTAGGTCGAACGGATCGGTCTGGAGCAGTGCAGTAAAATAGCAGCAAAAAAATTGAAGAAATTGACCATTCATTAGATACTCGTATACACATATTCCAAGTACCGTCCTGTCACATTTTGTTCACTACAAATACAGTTTGAAGTACGATATGGTACACTCGCCAAGCATCAGCAACATCTTGAAGGTACCGTAAACTAACATCAAATCGGTGCGTTCGCTATCGCTATAGGAATGCACCATATTCGTTTTTTCAAATATTTTATAAACAAAGAGCTTGCTTTACCTACTTGTAGTTTCATGCTTCTGTCGAAGGTACCGCAAGTTAGTTATAGCATATTTTCTGGGCAATCATACAAAAGACGGTTATATACCGAGTACCCACACTCTTAATCTTTCCCAATTCTCAAGTGGGCATTATCATAGTTAAAATATTTGTTATATAAGGTGACAAAGAGGTAATATATGAAGATTTACCTTGAGCGTCTTTACGGCAACAGCTGTCCATCCTTTTCCAGGTAAATCAGCTTCACCACCATAAACGGTACCAAAAGCACCTTCACCAAGCTTTCTGTTGATGCACACGCATTCTCTGTGGATTTCCCACTTATCTAGATCGGAGTGCATGTCAAACGGTAGACCCAGAGACCTGATGACAAAAAATTGAGTTAAAAAATAATTTTAAAAATTTTACTCACAAAAATATTTTACTGCGACTGAAGAGTTTTTTAAATGATGACCTTTCCAGAATTTTGGCTTATATATATATGGTCGCTTTTTTTGATGGACCAGAAAAAACTGAGATCAGATTTGTGATCTAAGCCCTCAAAATTTACCCTAGAGATTGAAGATAAGCCAGCATTTTTGCAAATTTTCTTCAACAACAGTCTTTTAAAGAGTGTATCGCGCTACCTATTACCAGAATCGACCACTACGAGAGTGAATAGCAGTTGGAACTATAAAGATCTCAGTTCTTGTTTGATAGCCTATCCCCAGTGTGACCGTTAGAGGCTGAGGGTTCTGGGGGTATAGTAGATCTGGTCTACTCATCATTGATCAACTAAACATATTGCTTTCGTCCATCAAACCATGGACAGCTGTTTCGTGTTTTTTCAAGGTATGAGATCTATCGAAATAAGACAGCACAGAGCGCCATTTAAAGCACGAAACAAGTGTCCATGGGTGGCTGAGTTTCTCAAAGAAGACAAAACTGGTTACACTGGGATAATTTTTAACGCTGATTTCGAATATGACCACCAATAAATCCTAAAATCCTATTAGGATAAGAGGTATCAGTCTTCTGGGGCCGCCTGGCAATCTCCGCGAAAAACTGATGTCCGATTCATGATCTACGTACCGTATTTACCCCAGTAACGGATTTTTATCGATACTGTAGCCTGGCATGAATTTTTGAAATCATTCCTCTGCTAAGGAGATTGTGAAAATTATCTTTACAGATAGTCTAATCATATTAGTCAAAAATAACCCTGGTTTGCAAAATAATTGTAAAGCCTGTTTTTATTGATGCAAGTTGTTTAATGGGGTATTTAAAACATGGACGCATAAAATGGGTACACCAATTTTTGTGGGAAAACTTATTATTCGATAACAAAGAATGAGAAGACGTGTCTTTTGGGATTCAATCGAAAGGGTTGGCAGGAACGAAAAAACTCTTCAAATAAGATTTTTAGGTATTTATAAGACCTACAGAATGCGACTACACGTAAAAAGATCCCACTAATAGTAAAAAAGTTATGGCCGAAAACCGAGGCAAAATGCAGGTTTCGGCACTTGTTGCTAATACGATGATGATTTCACGCAATTACTTGAAATTCTGCAAATCCAAAGGCTTCTTACTTCTTAATAACCGCAACAAAATTGGAGTCGATTGGTCAAGTAGTTTTTGAGAATTTCTAATTGTTTATCCGAAATACCTGTCTTCAGGCCATCACTACTAGTTTATTGAGCAATATACAGGGTTCGTTCAAGGGGCATTTTATAGCAAAATACACGAGTTTACCTTGTCGACATGAATCACATCCGAAAGATAATTGTTATTTTTATGCGAAAAACAAAGCGTTACGTTTTTTATTCTATACAAATTAAAAAATTTCGTATTTGTAAGTAATTTTTTTCTTCGCAACAAAAGGTAGAAGACACATCCGCTTTGTTTTAAAATGTGTATGATAACGTATATTTTTCGAATATCGTAGCGAATCTGTTCAGTTACTTACAAATACTAAATGTTTGAATTTGTTTAGGAGAAAAAAAGGAAACCTTCGTTTTTCGCATAAAAATAACAATTAATATAATCATTCTGTAGGTCTCATAAATACCTAAAAATCTTGTTTGAAGAGTTTTCTCTTTCCTGTCACCACTTTCGATTGAATCCACAAGTTTTCTCATTATTTGTTGTCGACTAAAAAGGTTTTCCCACAAAAGTTGGTGTACCCATTTTATGCGTCCATGTTTAAAATACACCCGGGAACAACTTGCATCAATAAAACCAGACTTTACATTCATTTCGGAGAAATTTGCTAATAAGATTAAACCTTAATATGCCAAGAGTGTCTTACCTGATGTAGCTCTTCGTCTTCTCGACCTTCTTATCATACTTGGTCTTCATGTAGTAGCAAACTCCAACGACCGTGACGAGCAGCATCCCGGCAACTATGACGTTCAGAATGATGATGGCTGTTTGGCACTCAACATCGAAAACGTCAGCGAGAGTAGATACGGCGCATGATGGTGGTGGTAAGGCGCCATCTTGAGGGACTTTCCTGTCAGGAGTGAACCACCTAACAAGTACAAATTATTAGAATTTCAAATTATAAAAGTCTTCCGAGCTAATACCGATCGGGCGACGAGAGAGAGAAAAGCAGTAGCAGTGGCGCGTAGACGATGATGATGGTTCAGAAACTTACATAGATTTACAGAGTAGATAATACCCCACTGTGTTATGTCTAGGATACACGGAAGACCCTGAAATATTTTTAGGTAGTGAATTCAATTAATTTTTCTTACCTCACTGCAGAATGATTAAACGTCAAATTTCCCCCTCGGATTTCCGGTTTGCCGTCAGTGAGATTCGGATGGAAGTGACCAACGATGTGTATCTTCCCATCATACCACTGCATAATGTCGATCACTGAAAATCTGCTGGGACCTCCACGGAATTTTATCCGTCCAGACACACCGTAGAAATCGGTTTCCTCTACGAGACGCACCAGTTGGCTGCAAAATCAATCGTTTTGTTATAAGAGAGCAAAAACACCTAAAAGTTTTTAGTATGGTCAGTGAGTGATCAGTTTCAAAACGATTTGCAATCGATGGATTCAGTTAGAGTTGGACAGGTGGATTGACAAAAAGTCACTTCACTACGCGTCAGAATGAGTTTAAACGATTTCGTGCATCTTATGTAAGTTGTTTATGATTTATTCATGGTAATACAAAAAAATCTTTAAATCCTTATAGTACATTCATATAGCATGAAAGCAACATCACACTTAAAAGTTTTGAACTATCACAACATCAGTATTCAGAAAATCATCAATTTTATAAAAAGCATTTTAGATCAAAAATTGTCTCATACGAACGGTAAAACCATCTTATATTTAGTTACACATCTAAAAATTTATCTTCATTCTATTTTGGATGTTAATTTTTCTCGTAGAGAATGCAACTTACACTATATACTTACACAATAACATAGTTTACATTAATAAATGAGAACAGTGCATTTGACTAATTTCTTTTCTTTTAAGTTTCTGATTTGACTATTAGTAATCTAAGTAATCCACAAACTTTCATAAAAAAAGATTGATCCAAATACTGATTTTAATAAAAAAACCACTTGATAAAAATCATTGATTTAAGCCACGGTTTATCAAATGATTTAAAGCAATCATCCCTGCTAAAAACAGACTTCATTTTCCTTTCAAATAAACTTGCTTATTTTTTTAACAAGAATAATATAAGACTCACTTGGTAGTATTTTCCGTATGCAACTGCGACATAGCCTCAGGATCCGTCTGTGAGAGGTTGTTTAGCGCCAGAGCATACGTCCAGATGGCGTCGTAAGCGAAACCAGCGTATGCATTCACATTGGTAAACTTTTTGTATTTCTCTTTCCATTGGCCCACGGTTATGTTCTCCTGCATTATGGCATCATCTGGAGCGTAGTAAGCATGCGTCATCGCGAAGTAACCAGTTATTGCCTGAAATATCAAGAGGAGATATGGATATTCCATCAACAAGAGAAAATAAGTCGAGAAGAGTAACTCTCAGTAGTTCTGATAAGTGAAATATGGGACATGCTCGATTTCAAAATTTTTTAGTTCCCTAATTTTTTCTTGACTACCCTTCAAAAAAAAAAATTCAGACCATTTTAATTTTTCACTCATAACTACTTTAGTTTTCAAAAACCTATTAAAATGTCTTTCAGTGATTGGCACTATAGTGATCTTGGGCCGAAAATTTCATCAAAATTTGAGCTGTACTTTGCGAGTTATAGAAAAACGTCCCACGTATATACAGATATATTTTATATGTGTTCCTTAATGATATGCGAATATTTAAGGGCGTGAATCTACATGAAAAATTAATGTTAGTTTGCTTTATAAGCTATGGTCCAAAAATGTTTCCTTACAAAAACTCGGTGTGTTGAAGTTTTAGGAAAAAAATAGAAAATAATTAATATTTTCAGAACCGCTTCAGATATTTCGCTGATATTTAGTACGTAGTGAAAGTTAATAAAGTTGCATATTTTTCAATGCAAAAATAATTTTTAGCTTTAACAGTGGCGTGCGTACGGGTATTGATTTCGATATTTTTCAAGAAAAAAATGGTACGCCAATGGTTTTTTGCCGAATAAAAATTATTTTTGAATTTACCGTTCAATTTAAAACAAATGATCTCTCTTGAATTGTTTTCCTTCGATGCGCCGTTTTTAAGTAAAAAAAATAAAAACCGTTCTATTGTCTAACTTGCAAAATTATTATTAATTTAATTGGAAAAATTAAACACATTAGGGGTAATGAACAACAACAACAACTGACAACATAAACATAACATTAAAACCAACGAAATGATTACAAAAGTTGTTGAAAATGGCCCCCTTCACTTAGTATGCATGTTTCCGCCCTCCTTCTCATGGAATTGCGCACTCGTTGAAATATCCCTGTGTTTTTTATTCTATCACAAGCTGTTGAGCTCTGGGGACCTTGGTGGGCATTCTTGGGGCCCACCGTGGCCAATCTAACGATTTGGATAAACAGTTTGTAAATAACTACGAACCGCTCCACTGCAGCACAATGTGCTGGTGCACCATCATGCATGTACCACATATTGTTTCTTATTACTAACGGAACATTATCAAGCAGCAAAGGCAGTTGTTGAAGAAAATTGAGGTAAGTCTGTCCGTTAAGTCGTCCCGCTGAGAAGAATGGGCCAATAAAGTGGTTGCCAATAATTCCTGCCCATACGTTAACCGAAAATTGGTGTTGGAATTGGATTTCGGTTACGGCATAAGAATTTTATTCTGCTCACAAATGATTATTGTGGAAATTCTGAATGGCATATCGAGAAAAATTAGCTTCGTCCGTGAACAGAATCATTGATTCAAATTGCGGATTTTGTGTAATTTTTTGAAGATACCACTGACAAAAGGTCACACGCCTTGGAAAATCAATTGAAAGTAATTCCTGTACTCTTAAAATATGGTAAGGATACAACAAGAAATCCGCAAACATTCTCCAAACAATTTGATGGCAAATATTTAAGTGTCTAGCGATCTTCCTCGTACACGTTTCAGGATGTTCTTCGACTTCGTGCAGCACTGCCTCCTCAATTTCAGGTGTTCTCGCACTTAGAGGTCTACCTTGAGATGTTCCTTTTCGGATAGAACCAGTTTCAACAAGATGACGATGAATATTAGAAAGTGTTCGACTATCTGGCAAAGTACGATCGGGATATCTCTGGTGATAAATCCATCTGGCTTACTCACCACTACCGTCGGCAAGGCCATATACTCGTACGTAATGCATTTCCGTCATTCCTGCACTTGAATAATTCACCGTTATTAACAAGATTGTAAAAACTAAATAACAAAAAAGATGTCACAGCGAACTGATATGAATAACAGAGACTTGTCAGATGTCAAAAGCCAGTGACATATTCCAGAGCAACTAGATATTTATTGCTAAATTGCATTCTTCAATTATTACATTAATTTTCTCGGACAATAGAACGAGTCTTATTTTTTTACTCAAAAATGGCGCATCGAAGGAAAACAATTCAAGAGAGATCATTTGTTTTAAATTGGACGGGGAATTCAAAAATAATATTTAGTTGGCAAAAAACCATTGGCATTGCATTGGCAACTTTATTAACTTTCACCACGTACTAAATATCACTGAAATATCTAAAGCGGTTCTGAAAATATTAATTAACTTCCATTTTTTTCCTAAAACTTCAACACCCCGAATTTTTGTAAGGAAACATTTTTGGACCATAGTTTATAAAGGAAACTAACATTCATTTTTCATGTAGATTCACACCTTTAAATATTCGCATATCATTAAGGAACACCCTGTATATCCTTCGCGAATTAGTGAGTAAATCAACGCTCACTATTTTTGTAACGAAACCATAAACTTACTTCGATCATTTGCTTGGTGGTGCAGTTGACAATCTCACTTCCGTTGACATTGAAGACGTCAGTATTGTACCAGGTCTCGTTCAACCAAACGGGCAGGAACCAGACGTAACCCTGTTTGGCAGTCATCTCGAGTTTGTATGCTTCGCACATGACAACCCTTGCTACGTCGTCCACCACGTCTGCTATGATGATCCTTGCCCTTTTGCTCTTCAGATCTTCCAGGTGCTGAAAATGCATACATATATCGGTTATATTGAAGAATCAATGCCGTCAGAAAAAAATATGTAACTTGTGCAAACCAAACAATGGTAATGGAGTACTTTCCAGAATTTTAAAAATAATATTCCAATGATTTCACTTTTTTCTATCACCATGAAGAGGCAAAACTTATTGTCCCTCCGACCACAGACAGCCAACCATGGTCAGCTGTTTCGTACTTTTTGGCAACTCATCAGGCAGTCTCAGGTGGACAACGAACAAAAGCATAGCAACTATTTTCTATCCAAGGTATGAGATCTATCAAAATAAGACATCGTCATGTTCAAGCATACCCTTGGCCATGCATCTAACCATGACCTGTAAGGTCATCTTAATATCAGATAAATTTTCAAGTACCTAACTCTACTTTTTGTGGAGGAGATAAAAAACATTAAAATTTATTCATTTATTGTTGCATTAAAATGTTCGATATACACACATATTTTGCCTCACCCTGAGTACCAATTAAATTCTGGCTACTAAAGATAAACTTAGCAACAAAGTTTCAAGTGTATCAGGACATAAGGCTATTTAAAAATAATAAAAACACATATGCATATATAAATAATGGATTACTAGCAACTCGGTATTGTTGGCATCTTTTTTATCTGTAATAAAACATTTTGTGGATGGATTGCTTTACAATGCACTTATGTTACTGCTGTGCAAATATCAATATTCCCAGAGGCCTGGCAGAGGTTATCTTAAATTATTACGAAGAGATTCATTTATTAATAGATCTATTTTTCTGACATACCTAAAACATTGAATATTTGTAAAAGTTGATAAACGCTGTCGTGTAGTCAATAAAATTAAAATCTACGGTTTGCACGTGCATTTGGCGTAACGGCATATAAGAAATATACAGTGTATATGTTACATCAGACAAAACAACAGTGTCTTTTCAGAAATGCTCACAAACAATGCAGTGTTCCTGATGCTCTGCTAAATCGCACTTCTCCCTCTTTCCATCTTTTCCATTATACTCTTAAATTCATTTTCAATATAACTAAAATTATGTGTTATCTTTTAACTTACCCATCTCATATCTTCAGTCTTTCTTTCTCTAGGAAACTTCTTGTTGGCAATAAACTTGATCTTCTCTTTTTCCAAATCTTCTTGCATCAGGGAGATGTACTCGGTGTATTTTTGGCCGTCTTCAGTCAGTGCTGCCACTCTTCTCCATTGGAATTTTTTGAACAGGGACAAATAGACGTGCTTATAATGCTGATTTTCACCTACGGAAAATGAAATTAACCTAATGTAGCACTTTTATTCTGAATCGTAAAAAAAAAATCAAATAGGACGAATCTGCAATCGCTGTTATAATTTATATTCTTAAATGGGTAAAGACATATTTGATAGAAAGGTAACCTATTTTTAACTAATCTTCATATCGTTTTGATGTGTATATACGTGAACAGCTGATCACCAATTAACATCTATGTCTGTTGGACATGACCCCCAACCTATCACCATTTACTTCTAGCTTTTCAGATTACAGCCACGGGAATTAAGCAAATAGTGATGATCCTTGTAGAACTATTATAACTTTTCCCAAATACTTACCTATAGTCCTGAAGAAATACGGATACTTCTTCCTATCGGAAAAACTGGCCCCTTCAGCACTATACGAAACAACCAAGATGTGATAGTGCTTGGAAACACCTGCTATAGGCTCTACGGTTTCAGAACACGCGGGTCCCAAAACGCCCGCAAGTTTGTTGTAGTAGTCCCTGAGCACGATGAAGTCAATGAAGTTCTTCATCACCAAGTCTGGGGAACACTTGCCATCGGTCACTGTAATAGAGAGATAAGTACACATTTACTATAGTTCAAGCAATTGCACAACTTTGAACCCTATGTTCATTGGTATATTCGTCCGAAAAATCAATCAATTGTTGTTGGCAGCAATGTTGTCTTACCTAGAAGGCTGAGGTGATAATCCGGCAGAATGGTCTTGTTTTTGTTGACTGCCATCACAGCAGTTTGTGCAGCTCTTGAAATAGCAGTTCCATTATATGACGACGATGACATCGGAAATATACCTCCAATGTATATGACAGCTTTAGCGGCTGTTACCTGTAAAATAGTTATTTATGTAGCTAGGGCGTGAAGAGGAAGATTTTGACCCGTGGCATAAAATTAGAACCAAAGGTGCGAAGCGCTGTGGGTCAAGGAACACACCGTTTATTATGTCAGAGATGGCTATAAAAATTTATTTACGACAGATTATAGCATAAGTAGACATGAAAATAAATAATTCTCCTTCTTTCCTTTTCCGGCTGTGTGTGCGACCACGTTTTCGGGCTATAGTCGAGCTACGGATGGATTTTTTGAACGAAGCCGTACCATTTCGTGAACAAGAATACCCCGGAACACACTAATAACATGTGAAGATTTTTCTAAAGAAATAGTACCAAGAAAGAATCGCGAAGTACACGGGTGTCCCAATATTCGATGAAGTACAACGGACTTTTAGACTCAAAATAATTCGTAACACGTGTTTTGCTAGACGTTCTAATATTTGACTTTTACGAAAAACTCTAAAGGGTTCGATAAGGGTGAACCCTACCCCCACCCCAATACAAATTATAGCGGAATTTCCCGACTACTCTGAATTTAAAAGATCTTTTGACTTCACTTTTCGTTCCTATAAAAACAGGTGTTGGGATCGCAATGTCAATTTCCCCTTAATTTCTATTGTTTGATCCAACGCTGCTTTTCTTGGTACTAAATTTGGTCGCGCCTATGGTTTTTTTTTTAATAAAGAGGAAGAGCGCATTCTCACCGCGAGCGGAACAAGGCCAGCCGCCCAATCGCTAGAACCGCTGTTAGAATCACGCACTTTTGCTAACGCTGTTTTGTGGTACGGCCATTTTTTAAAAAAGATGATTACTGTGCAACTGGCTGTTAAGAAGAGACCAGGCACACCGAGGGATACAAGCCAACACTGTTTCTGCAATTACCTTCGCAAAAACGAAGTACTAACAACATGTTCGTCAAAAGAATACTCCATATGCACGAAAAAAAAACAAGTAACAACAACAACTTGACCAAAAATAATCTCAAACGTTCATTAATTTATGAAGAACAAACAACAAATTAACAATCAAAAATAAACTCATACATTACTCATTAATTTAAACTCTATGAAGAATCTGACACTGACTTTACATCCCACATTTCCATCAACTAGATTGCTTAGTAGATTTCAACACGATGTGGTAAGAAATTTTTTAGAAACCAGCTCCAAAAAAAAATTTCTTTATCTAGAACATTATGCGAGATGGCATGCTTTTATAAGAGACGAAAACATTCTGCTATAATTTAAGTAGGGGTCGGGGTATTTTTCACCCTTCGTTAGGGTTTTCTGTAGAATTCAGATATTAGGAAGTCTAGCAAAGCACGTTTCCGGCTTTCTCACGAAGTGTCCTAACCAATGTTTGGTAAATTTTACAGGAGAGCGTGTTCTTATTTGAGCATTCTATGTAACGTTTAGATATTTCCGAATTGAAAATTTCAGTGTATCGGCCCATATTCATTGTCGATCAATATTTGCGGTAGCTTGTCAACTTATTTTGGAAAAAATTGGGAAACGCACGTAGGTCACTTCGTGAGAATTTTCAGAAGCTTTTGTCAGATAGAGTTAAAATATATGTTTATTAAAGTCCTTGTTATTATACTTTTTTAAGATATACAGAATTATATTATACTTATAAGCATCATATTTACAGCTAAGGCGGCGATTATCTCAGAAAATTTATTGATTTTTTTTTATTTTTTTCATACTCCAACTACCACGAAGGCCTAAGGCCTAAGCACCCATTGGGTACCGTGGGGCTATACGGGGATACATGGGAAAGGGGGGGGGGACGCCACACGGACTCTGGCGAGGGAACACGTGTGCATGCAACATGCACACATTCTGGTTCCGCCTACGAGAACCGCCGGGTGGTACCTCCGCGTTCGACAGTCAGAGACCATCTACCACCTACGGACAATCACAACATCCATAGCCAAGAGAAAAATTTATCCTGGGACGGGACTCGAACCCGCACAGCACACGGCGACTGATCAGGAGACCGAAGAGTCTACTACTGCGGCCACCGCTGCTGCCTACTTTAATTTTTCAAGGAATCGTTGGTCTGCTGACAGCAGAGTTTATGTAAAAAATTCAAATTGAATTTTGGCTACCCCCTAAAAAATTTCTCTCAATGTCCATGCCTAAAATTGATGTAGATTATGACACAAATATTAGGTGATGAGATGAAGAAAACAATTCGAAACGTCGCAGCAATTTTTATTGAAATAAAAACTAAAAGAAAAGCAACTAACTGAAACATTATCTTTTGACATATTACCAGCTTATGTTGATGCATAATGATACACAAAAAAAAAGGAAAAATTATTAATAATTCATTCCGTTTCATGGAACAAATTTGTAAAAAAGGTTTGGAATTCTGGTAAGTACATAGGGTGTTTTATTTTCACATAACGAAATTAAGTCGGAGTACTTCTTTTTTGTTTTTTTTTTCTATTTTTACGTTGTTCCAGTTCAATATCCTTTATATTATTACTATTTCTCATCAGTCTTTTTAACTCAATACCGTCATAACTAGTATCGCGGTGGCTAGACGTAAAAAATATTTTGGTGGGCATGTCTTTTCTTACCATAAACTCCATTTAATATTTTGCCTTTTCTCAGTTTACCGTGTGGACAACTTTCTCAAGTCTTTTGAAAGTTCCTTGAAGTCAAAAAATTCATTGGGATACATACACTAATAGATATACAGAGTGACCCATCCATGTGTGGACGGAAAATATTACGAGTAATAACTCATAAACAAATACATTTTGGGAAAATCTATTTATGGCATGTTATACATGACGTTTGAGGGCAAATTTCTAAAATATTGGCCATTATATAGGGTGTCCCATATCAAAGTTGTGATTTTTCAAATGAAATGCCTCAAATTTTATTGCATATTTGGATAAACCAATTCAAAAGAAGAAAATTGATACAACATACTATGGGGTTTTGGTAATTAGCTACTGGGCTATAAGGTCTAGAAAACCCCCCCCATTCGGCAACCCCTCAGTCCACCATTTTGAAATTTGGAGTACTGAATTTTATATCAAAAAAAACTTATTTTTACTTTTATCTTATTTGTTACTTTTTCGAATTTTACTTTTTGCTCATACAGGGTAGTCAAAAACGCAAATTGTACTTTTTCTCAAAAAATTCAAATGCAAGTGTAGATTCAATTTTTTATAAGCTGTCTTTGATACTAGACACATCATGGTTTTATGGCTATTTTTTCGGTTATTACCACGTCCTTACTGGAACGGCTTAATTCCCTAAAAAGTCGCATCATCCTTGGAAACAAATAAATTGTTGATTAGTTACAAACTGTCAACATTAGCTTTGTGAGCTTTATAATAAGCAACGGTACCCTAATATGCGACATCCAAGGCCTGAAACAATTTCCACACTACGAGAACGTTTTGAACCAAGTAGAGCAGTGGAATATAGTAAAAAATGTATAAATAATCCAAGTGTCACCAATGAGGCGAATCAGTTGGAGGTTCTATTAAAGTTGCTGGAAAATACCTATTTAAGTGCACGGCAAATTGGAGCAGAGACTGATATATACAGAACTTCTGTCCAAAGGATTATTTCACAAGCATAGCCTACCATTTATATCACCTGTGCTTGCATCAAGGCCTTCGTCTTCAGGATTTCGCAGCTCGAATGGAGCTTAGTAAATAATGCTAAATAAAGTGAGTGAAGACACTACTTTCCTGGATAGGGTTCTTTTTAGCGATGAGGCAACTTTTAGTAGCATAGGTGTTGTCAACAGGCATAACATGCACTATTATGCGACGGAAAACCCTTACTGGATTAAGCAAATAGATTTCCAAAATAAATGGAGCTTGAATGTTTGGGGAGGAGTTATTGGCAGACAAGTTATGGGGCCTTTATTTTTCAACAACAGAATAACAGTTACAGAATACTTGAATTCTTTGACCGAGCATTTGCCTTTACTTTTGGACGATGTCAACCTGCAAACTGGGATGCATATGTACTTTTAACATGACTGCGCACCTGCGCATTATCATAATCGTGTTCGTAACTATTTGGACACCTGGAGTAACAATCGTTGGATCGGTCGTGATTTGGCCTATATCTTGGCCTCGTAGATCGCCAGATATGACACCGATGGACTTCTTTCTATGGGGCTACGTTAAGTAAGAGGTTTATAGATATCGACCATCTACCCCCGAAAATATGAGGGAAAGGATTTAGAATGCTTTTCTGAACATAAGGGAATACATGCTGAGCGATGTGCAACGGTCATTTATCTAAAGACTACGGCTGTATATTCAACATGGTGGAGATATTTTCGAGCAGTTTTTGTAGATTAGCTCTTAAGTAGTGATAGCTGTTTGTTCATGTTGTTGTTATAGTTGTTTTTCTTTATTAAGCTTGAAGCTGATTTATATTGTTCTGATTGTTACTAGTTTTTACGTCAAATGTGTACTCTTAGTGGTAATATGGAACTAGCCCACTGTGTGTCTTTTGTTTCCATGGATGATGTGTTTTTTTCCGTAATTTTGGTGGGTTGTTCTATTAGAAGATTAATAACTCAAAATCTAGTGATTTTATTTGAATCAAACCTTATACCAAAAAAAAGCTTATAAAAAATGGAATCCAAACTTGCACAAATATACAGGGTGATGCATTTGAGATTTTTGAGAAAAGTACAATTCGAGTTTTTGACCACCCTGTATGAGCAAATATGAAAATTCGAAAAAGTAACCAATTTAAGATAAAAGCTGAGGTGTGTAAGTTTTTTTTATACAAAATTCAGCACTCCAAATTTCAAAATGGCGGATTGAGGGGTTGCCGAAGTGGACGGTTTTTCTGGACAAAACACCTTACATCTCAGTAGCGAATTACCAAAACCCCATAGTATGTTATATCAATCTTCTTCTATTGAATTGGTTTAAAATAAAATTTGATGCATTCTATTTAAAAAATTACAACTTTGATATGTCGGTCAAAATTGGGACGCCCTGTATAATTGCCAATATTTTGGAAATGTGCTCTCAAATGTCATGTATAACATGCCAAAAATGTATTTGGTTATAAGTAATATTCCGTCTACACATGGATGGGCCACCCTGTAGTTATGCCTCTTCGTAAGATTAACCGGCATGGAATAATACACCTATATGCGGGTTATCTCAATTTTTGGTATTTTGTCAGTTAGGACACTTCGTGAGAAAGGCGGCGACGTGTGTTCCAAATTTCATTCAAATCGGTAGATGAGCATACGACTAGGTCAATATACGAGTAGAGATAGCGAATGCTAGAAACAAAAACGAGAAATGGAGATTAAACAGTTTATATTTTGTAAACTTTGCCTTTGTAGGCCTCTACGAGCTTACTCGCTCAATATTTCAGTTCTGCAGATGATAGAGGTGCGAGATAAATTTCTAATCAAAATCAAAACAAGCAGAATTCTTGGTGTCACGATGTCGAAACCGGATGATCGACTAGGGAGAAATGAGCTTAGTAAATATTACCTTCCATCTTTCCCAAGTGTCAGAGTTTTTCCTCATCCATTCGCAGGCGATTTGGTTGACGTTTTTCTCAGGAAACATTTCGTATGTGCTCAACAAGAAGTCGTAGTCTTGTTCTGTGAATCGGAAGTGCCTTAAGCCCACGTAAAGAGGACTGGCGTGCTCTTGAACTTTGCCCCAGGACATCTTCACTAGTCTGTGCATCTCGTACTTGTATCTATTCAACAAAAATATAGAATATTCAGGACGTTGCACAATATTCCATCTATATAAACATAGTGTATACAGGGTGACGTACGTAGAACTGCAGCGATCGATTACACAGTTACGAAAGGGTACAATTTATGGAAACAAAAAAATGATATATTTTGTTTAAAATTGTAAGGCAACAATAAATATATCAAATGTGTAATCAGAATTACAATAATACATGAAGTATCCCACAGCGTGCGTAGCATATGCTAACCTAACTATTTCTTCGCAGTACTGTACTTGAAGTAAAATAAAACTCCAAACAAATCAAATCAAGACGATCACGGCATGATCACCGACTGAGACAGACATGTCAAATTACGCTGTGCCCCGTTAAATAGTTGATTCTTTGCTTTGCTTATTCTGGATGACATGGGGGGTAGGGGAGTCTAGATGATGATTACGTCATCGGTAGTTATTTACTTTTTTACACGAATGGCAATCCTGAACATTGTCTTTGCTTGAAAACGAAACGCATTTTCGGGAATTCCCGCAAATAATGCATACGTTTAGTGAACAGCGCGCGATAATTCCCCTACTCGCTTTAGAACCGAGTAGGGGAATTACCGCGCGGTGTTCACTTGTCTAAATTTCCTCTATCAGTGTATTGGTTCGTTTGGATACTATAGCGAGTAGACGTATTGTAAGCATAGTAAAGCAAGTTAACATTTGTGTTACCATTGATTCCATTAGTGAAAGTTTAATGTTTAAATAAGATTTCGTTTCACATAGACAAATCCAAGTTATACCAAAAATCCGTCAAGGAACTAGATATTATTGTATCTAAGAGAATCGAAGAAGAATTGCAAGCGGCGACTAAGATTAAATCCAATCTACTAAATTATTTTTCTAAGTTGAGTGACGAAATTATTTTAGGTACCTTTGAGTATTATAAATATTAAAAAATCGCCAAAAAGTTTCTCTTTACCGATTAGAAAATATTATGGACTATCTCAAAGTATGGAGGTAATATTCATTATATTATAGATTTATTTCTTATGATTGATTCCGTCAATTGGTCACAAAATACAGGATGTTAGTTTTATACATATATACAGAAAAATAACACCCTGTATTTTGTGACTGGAACTAATTGCTCGTTTAAACATATTAGATTTAAAGCCATAAGGTTTTGTATTTACCATATATCTTGCCATACTTTGTATTTATGAAGCTTAATAAGAGAATCTTTAGCAGAAGCCATAGAAAGTTTTTATTTTTAGGCAACCTGTAAACCTGCAGAAAAAACACAAATTATACAGTCAGCTTCAAATATTAAAAAAGAGGAAGAAGATAAAATAAAACCCGGTAATGAATCACAACAGCAATACGAAATTAATGAAAATACAGATAAACAGAGAGCAAAACCTTCTCAGGAAGCTATGAAAAATAAGATTGCTCTACTCGAAAAAAATCTGAATGCTTTGTATTCTGCCAGAGATACTATGCCAAGCCGTGCTGAAGTTGATAAGCAGATCATTAAGTTACGCGAGGAAATAAAAACAGCAAAACAGTCTTTAAACAGGAAGGTTCAAAACCCAGTTGCACAGAAGAAACACAGGGATGGTATGAAAAGAAAGTTAGAAGATATTTGTCATGAAAATCCAGAAATAAAAAATGACTATTTCTGAGAGATTCAGTGGGACGTCCTAATCTTGAAAGCAAGCAGATATTCTTTACATGAATGACATTATTATTAATCGCTGCAGTCATTTGTTCACAAAACTCAACCCGCCTATCGAAATCATCTTCGGTTGCAATAAATCCAGTTTAAATAAATTTAGTAACAAGGTCCAAAACATACCTATGCAAAGTTATCTTCGCCGGATGTCTGGAGTTAAACGTGACGGCAGTTTGAGCACCATAAATTAGAATCATTTCCACTCTTTCGGCTATTATGTAAATCATTTTGGAAGTAAAATATGAAACAATAAATTAATTTTCACTATCCCAAGATTGTCATAAAGGCAACTGACAGCGAATTCAATTGTTTCTTTCCCGTAGCAACAAATAAATAAATACGTATAACAATAAATACAGTTCGCTAAGGATATGTGTTCATGAAAAGAATGCGGAAAGAAATTCGGGTTGTCATTTGGTTGTTGCCACGTCTAATCTTCCGAATTGCTGTTGGTAGTTTCCGTTTTAAATTATAAACGAATTGTCAATTTGGCAAGTCCTAACGGGCAACATTTTGATCACTTATTGAAATTAAAAGTGATATTTTCGTGTGCTTTTGTTTTCTATCTGAACAAATTAAGATGAATAAAGATTTTTATGATTTTCTCGAAAACGAATCGACTGATTTAAAAAAATCACACGTCAAAATAAAGGACTTCGAATAAACAAGCTCTCGGCGTTTTTTCTTTTAATCAGAGATTTTCGATAAATCCGTGGTGGGAGGTTTTCAAATGAACACCCTGTATAATCTATGTCTGTACCAAATTTCATCCAGATCCGTTCAGCCGTTTTGGCGAGTTTGTGTAACAAACATCAACACTTTCTCATTAATAATATTAGTAGGGTTTTGGTTAAAATGTTTTTAAAATGGTGACATTTTCGGTTATAGCGGAAGTACATACCAGTTTGTTCATTTTAAATAGGAGACCCTATTATTATATATTAACCAGTTTTTGGATTCATGTATATCATTCTATCCCTAAGTGGAGATATCACAAATTTTGCGTTATAAATTACAAATGCAGGGAGCTGTCATACATTTCAATAGGTTAGTTTGACTACGGATGCTGGCGATGTCCCCACGGCGAGCACGTGAGACTCTAAAGCTGAGGGTAAACTGTAATACAGATATCAAGTGATTCAAGTTATAGAAACTTACCCAGTAGTATTTTTATGCGTGAAGTTATACATCTCATTATCCTTGAACTGCACCGTAACGAAATCGTTCATCCTGAGGACAATATCACTAGGATGCCAATGGAAGAAGACGATGCCCCTATCCGGCGTGTTCCTGTACGCGATCTTCAAGTCCTTGAGGGTCTTCTTCAGCTTGTCCCCCAGCCAAACCACCTTGACCAATAAGCCTGTTTCGTCTATTTGGTCGATCAGGAATGATGTTGAGTTGAAATGAGGGGCCAGCAACATGGCGCAGGGTTTGTCATAGCATTGAGGAGGAGTATAGACTCCTCGGTGGCAGTGGGTTGGAGGACAGATGTAGCTGGAAGATGACGAGAATAAATCAAAAATTGAAAACATCAAACTTCAACCAGCTTAACAGATTTTCTTATAGCTACGAACACTTTCGATCAAGCTCCTTTTCGAATAAAAATAATTGTCAGCGAAGTGTCGTTGAAAATATTTCTTCAAGTTTTAAGAGCACATATACGGGTAAATCTATATACGAGTATATATACATACATTAGGTGGCCCATCCATGTGTGGACGGAATATTACTCATACTCATAAACAAATACATTTCGGGAAAATCTATTTATGGGATGTTATACATGACATTTGAGGGCACATTTCTAAAATAAAGGCCATTATACAGGTTGTCCCAATTTCGACCTACATATCAAAGTTGTGATTTTTCAAATGGACTGCCTCAAATATTATTGCATATTTGGATAAACCAATTCAAAAGAATAAAATTGATATAACATACTATGGGGTTTTGGTAATTAGCTACTGAGATATAAGGTGTTTTGTCTAGAAAACCCCCCCACTTAGGCAACTCCTCAGTCCGCCATTTTGAAATTTGGAGTACTGAATTTTGTATCGCAAAAAATTAACACGCCTCAGCTTTTATCTTATTTGTTAGTTTTTCGAATTTTAATTTTTGCTTATACAGGGTGGTATTCACCATTTCTTCTTTAGAAAAACTCATTTTCAAAAACGTTTTTATTATAATGCTCACAAAGCTAATTTTGACAGTTTGTAACTAATCAACAATTTATTTGTTTCCAAGGATGATGCGATATTTTAGGGAATTAAGCCGTTCCATAAAAGACATGCTATATAACCGAATAAATAGCCGTAAAAATCCTTATGTGTCTAGTATCAAAAAAAAGCTTATACCAAATTGAATCCAAACTTGCACAAATATACAAAAATTTTGAGAAAAAATACAATTCGCGTTTTTGACCACTCTGTATGAGCAAACATAAAAATTCGAAAAAGTAACAAATAAGATAAAAGCTGAGGTGTGCAAGTTTTTTTTGATACAAAATTCGGCACTCCAAATTTCAAAATAGCGGATTGAGGGGTTGCCGAAGTGTAGGTGAAATGCATTTGTTTACGAGTAATATTCCGTCCATGGGCCACCCTGTATATATATAATACCCTTCCCACTCCCTATAACCCCCAATTATTAAGCCATACGAATTTTTTTCCGAAATGATCAGGAGCCTCTGAAAGGTCAAAAATGTTTCAGCAATTTTTATTTTAATAGTTTTTTGCCTGAGCCGCCTCCACTGAATTGAACTACAAAGCTTGTTTGTCCTTGGCACAGTCGTAACATTTTGTCAAAGTTTCAATAAAATCCGACCGGTACTTTCAAAGTTATAGCGGAGTCAAGGATTAGCGGACAGACAAACAGACCGACGGTGGTGCCACGTCATTGGCGTGGAAAGTGAAAGATTAATCAAAATAGACGTCTCAACAAGAGGGGTTCTAGGTTAAAAAAAATAGGTTTATGGCAGAACTACTTTCCGCAAGAACAAAAATAGAAAACCTTGTTCATACAAATTTTGAACTTAAATTAATTGTTCCAGATTAATTCGGCAGTTGAGCTTGTAAGAATGAGACTGATAATGATATTCCTTCATCAAAAACAAAAATGAATATTTTTTTCATTCTTCATTCAGTTCTTTTAAAATGTACAACACAATTTTATCATAAGGTGGGTGGACCATGGAACCAATAAACAGTATCCGTTTACTGGATAACTGAAACGAATAAATTATTAGGTGTAACTTAGTTCTATTATGTAATTTTTCTTTATTGCAGAGCATTATTTATTTGATTTAAGTAATCTTACACACTTCCGAACGGCCTTGCAACGAACAAGGCTTTATATTCAAGGTCAATATATTACTTGAAACTAACGTTGTGATCAAGTACTTATAATAATATATTCTCATTAAAATTAGATTACTTAACCTTACTTGAACGCTACTGTAATACTAAGAATGTATTTGTGAAAATATTTACAAAATAATTTTAATGAATTTTATATAGATATTAAATAAGTGGCCAATAACCTCTATAATTTTGGTTGAAATCAATTTAAACCGACCAAAATAGCCTTCTTATATGATGTAAAATATTGGCATCATAAATTTAGAATTAAAAAAATGTATGAAAATAATTATTCATTTAATTTACGTTTTGTGAGCTAGGATTATAATTTTAACGTCGACGACCGACGTCAACAAAGCGAGGGACCAAATATACAAAGTAATGTTCGATGGAAGTACTAAGTGTGAGGAGGAAATAATTACATTTTATTGACCTTACAAGGAGCATGCTCTTTCATCGTTCACCCATCTTAGTAAAATTGTTCAATCAAAAAACGGTTCTTGAATATTCTCGTATCGAAGAGCCGAATTTTAGCTAGCGGGACCACAAACAAACAAGTCTATCTTTTTAGTCGATTAACTCTAAATACAGTTCAGGATCACACCACAATTAGCACTGGAGAGGTCACGATTCTATTTCTGACCAACGAAATTCGATGCTCGTCTGAGCTTTCGTAAATAACTAATTACTGGCGTAATACTCTAACAGCCAGTTCTTTTAATTATATCGACTATATCGAAGATTGTTACTGATTGATTATAAACAAGATATTTTTAGGATCGTACTGTAAAGGTTGTTATAAGTTTAGATAATACTCAGTGACAGAAAAAATGGTTACATTTGAATGAAATTTTATATACAGTTACGTAATAAGAGGAAGTTCTGGTTAATTTTGAAGTAGAAATAAGTGCTGTATGGTTGGATTTCCCTCAAAATGTATTGGGTGCTCGATGCCATATACCATATGCAGTAGCGGACAAAAGTTTGGAAACAAATATTAACATTATTATGAACTATTTCATATCCCAAATTAAAATTGCGAAGGAACAGATAATATAAATATTAAAGTCTAACTTTGGCTATCGTACTAATAGCCAGTTTATCTTATCAATATTCAAGTTCCCTGAAAATAAAAACACGCGTTTTTTAAATACCACAGTTTTTGTAACGACAAAAGTATGTAAACATTTCAGTTTTGCCGTATTTATTCGTTCTGCGACACTCTGATAATGCGTGCGGTAAATATTAACATCAGTGAAAATGACAAAGGTAAAAGAATTTTCAAAAGATTTAAAAGACAAAGTAATTGAATTATTTAGAAGTGGTATCAGAAATTTTGAGATTTCACAGAGACTAAAAATGAACAAAGTGACGCTTTCGAAAATTAGTAGTAAATATCAAGAATACGGATCAATAGCAACGCGACCCAGACCGAAAAAAGCCGATTATGATTTGGATTGTTATATTCAACCTTTGTCCCATGAAGATCCTCGAATGCCAGCCACACAGATTTTCAAAAGAATTTTATAAGAGGGTGGCGATTTTGGGTTTTTTGGTAGGCGTCCAGTGCAAAAGCTTATCATTAAAAAAATCGTATTGCTCGACTTGAATTTGCTAAAACTCATCTAACTTGGACAGAACAACAATGGAATACAGTTTTATGGAGCTATGAAAGCAAATTTTACTTGTTTGGATCTGACGGTACGGCATATGTGAGACGTCCAATACGAAAAAGATTCAACAAAAAGTATCAGTTTCCAACAGTTAAGCACGGTGGAGGCAATGGTTTTGGACTGTTTTTCTAGTTCTGGAACGGGTTCAATTATTAAAATTGTAGGGAAAATGGATCAAAAACTATACAAAGATATTCTTAGTGAACACATGCTCCCTTTTGCTGAAGAAGAAATGCCTTTACGATGGACATTCCAGCAAGATAATGACCCTAATCATACCTCAAAATTCGGAAAGGACTAATTAAGTCTAAAAAATGTTAATGTTCTTACATGGCCTTCGCAACCCCCGGACCTAAACCCTACAGAACATCTCTGGCAGCATGTTAAAAGACAACTGACAAGAAAAACTTAAAAAAAAATAGGAACGATTTATTTGATTATGTTAAAAATATTTGGCAGATGTCAGGCAGTGTTGAATGCTAAAGGCTATACTACCAAATACTAGCTAAGCAGTATTTTTTAAATCTTTTTGTAGAGTTATTGTATTTAATTTTGTCATAACATATACCGGGTGGTCCATCTATCGTTTTTTTTTTTGAGTTACTGTTTTTTTGGGATATGTCAAGAATTATTTCGCATCTGATTTGACAGAACATCAGTCATATCATTCCGATTAACGAAAATGGTTGTGTATTCGCTTGAACAACGCTGGGAAATATTAAAACAATATTTCGAAAGTGGTGGTAATGTTGCAGATTGTGTCCGAAAATTACGTGCAAAAATGGGAAGAAATGTAGCACCGTCAGCACCGTATGTGAGGTATTTTGTGCAAAAAGTTCGTGAAACTGGTCTTCTTATTGACAAACCATCACGTGAAAGACCGAAAACGGTGCGTACACCCGAGAATATCGATGCTGTAGCTGAGAGTGTGGCAGAGTCTCCAAGCACATCAACGCGCCAACGTTCTCAACAATTGAACATTTCACGCACATCATTAGGTCGAATTTTGCATAAAGACCTTGGTATGAAGGCGTACAAAGTTCAATTGGTTCAGCAATTGAAGCCAACTGACCATCCAATGCGTTTTCGCTTCGCTTCATGGGCCTGCAATCAACTTGATGAAGATGTTGATTTTGGTCGAAAAATCATCTTTTCAGATGAAGCGCATTTTTATCTTGGCGGCTATGTTAATAAGCAAAACTGCCGCATTTGGGGTTCAGAGAACCCACACGCAATCGAAGAAAAGCCAATGCATCCAGAACGAGTGACTGTTTGGTGCGGATTTTGGGCTGGTGGCATCATTGGCCCATTTTTCTTTGAAAATGAAGCCGGAGCAGCAGTTACTGTGAATGGTGAGCGTTACCGTACCATGATAAATGAATTTTTCTTTCCACAAATTCAAGATATTGATGTCGGTAACATCTGGTTTCAACAAGACGGTGCTCCGTGTCACACAGCAAACGCTACGATTGCTCTTCTGCGAAGTGTTTTCGGTGATCGCATTATCAGCCGAAATTCTGATGTTGTTTGGCCGCCTCGGAGCTGTGATTTGACCCCATTAGATTATTATTTATGGGGTGCCATTAAAGACCAATGTTATGCCAACAAACCAGCAACAATTGGCGAAATAAAAGACAACATACGCGCTGCCATTGCTGAAATACAGCCACATACGATTGAAAATGTGGTCAAAAATTGGACTGACCGTATGGGCTACTGCAAAGCCAGCCGCGGCAGTCATTTAAATGATGTTGTATTCCATACTTAATCGGAAGGATTGTACTTTCAAATAAAAAAAAAAAATTGGAAAAATATTTAGTAGTTTTTTTTTATAGCATTTTTAAAAAAAAAATTTTAAATGGACCACCCTTTATGTTTCCATACTTTTGTCGTCTCATTTTCGGTCATAAAATATTATGAAGGTATTTTAATGTTAGTCTGTAGTACCACAGCAAACACAAATTGTCATTTGTATCCTCACGACTATATCAGAAAAAAAATAGTCCTGAACAATGAACAATAAAAAATTGACACACTTTTTTAAAAATTACTAAGAATGTATCCAATCTTTTGTCCGCTAGTGTATGCGTCCAGGTGTCGGGAAAGATGAGGTATAGAGTTCACTTTTCCTTCCATCATATCCCACACATGTTCAATGGGCGAATGTCACACGATCAGTATTTGCTGTGTTCCGTCAGTATTTATCATCGAATGTGAAACTTATTGACCATATAGCTAGGATGTCAGTAATTTTTGATGTATAAGGTTACGCAGAAATATGCTGGCACTGACGAAATTATCAGTAAGTACTCGAAATAAGACAGCACAAAGTGCCATCTATTACCAGAATCGACCACTGCAAATTTGAAAACGGCAAGCTGCCTTTTGGAACTGTATGCCAGTTCGCATTCCCAGCCAGGTTACCACTGTAGCCGCTAGATGCCGCCAATTCTGATGCTAGTGAGCCGTTTTCATAAAAGAGAAGCATAGCCTCGGAAGCATAAGGTAAAAGTATAAGGTCTTGCTTCGGAGAAAAAGGTAGAAGTATAAGCATCTCCTTGTTTTCATATTCATAATGATTACCTTACATGTCCTGACTTGTTCCAGCTTGTAGTTGACGTGGGAGTTCGTTCACACAGCATCACTGACAGTTGTACTCCAGAGCTTACACAGACCGTTCCGAATTTTTACTGGATACAGTTTTTTATCAAATTAATAAGCATGTCATCCTCAAGTGATGAGGACACTATAGAATATAATGGCAACGACCTGCAGTTTATCGCAGATGTGACTTCCCTTTTCGGTTAATATACTCATCTCCATGGCGATTTGGTTTCAGGATTCCTATTTGTGTACAATCAATTACACCAATTGCAGTCGGAAATTTATACATGCTTTGCCAGATCCGCATGGCCTCCATCAGTTCATGGTGGGTAGTTGGAAACTTGATCCATTCGTTCGACTGTGCAACTATGATATTCACAACTTTATCCACAGTCCGAGATACCGTTGCTTGACACCAAGTTCCTGACCAATACCTTGTTGGTATCCAGGGTCGCCGAGATAGCGTAGACATATCTTCATTTTATGAATACATGAAAGTGCTCATCCTCGAGTTTCCTCATTCTCAACTAAAAATCTGTCCGCAAGCCATTGTACATTTGCTTCGTGGAACCGATATAATTTTTTGTCACGACCAAGTGAAGGTAAACGAGGTTGTACGTTTTCACATCCCTAACATCCACAATTTCTGCCATCATCGTTTGACCACTTTTCGTTACGAAGTTGAGTCTGCTACTGACCACACTCAGAATTTTTGAAGGATATGCTTCCTATGCCAAGTATAAGGTGAAGATTATAAATATCCTTTTACTTATGTCACCGATTTGAAGGATATGCTTATACTCAAAAAGCAAAAGCATCTACTTCAAACTATTATAAATACCATCTGGAGGATTTCCTTCAAAATTTACAAGTACAAGGATATCCTTTGTTTTATGAATACGGCTTAATATGAACGATATTAAAATTGAACCTGTAATAAATAATATTACCCATTCGGACGATGATTCAAGTACTTCCCACGAATAAAGAATAGTTCATTTCTTTCTATAAAAATACTTATTTTGTTAGATTATTCCAAGACCATTGAGGAAAATACGGACCTGTACAATCTCGTTTTTGGGAATGTTGTGTTTTGTCTGGGCGTAACTGGACTACGACTGGGGTATAGTCAATAAATACTTATTGTACGGACCAAAGTGAATACTGATCGTGTGATACTTGCCTCAAGGGCTATTGAGGCAGTTTATTGTAGCTGTAGCAATATAAAGAATTATCTTGTTAGAAAATGGACTGAAGATCCTAGCGGGATCTATGAGACAAAAGCAATACCAAACACTATCTCTTTTAAAAACAAAGTTTCTACACTCATGTTTGTGTTCTGCGACTGACATGACGATAGGATATTTTAGATCCCTTCTTGGACATCGGTATCTTCGGATAGAATCATTAACGCTACATTCTGATTCTAAAATATAGTAGTGAAAAAAGTATCTGTTAATTATCATTAACTGACATTAAATGCTCGTAAATCTGGCATAAAAAGGGCATCCTAGATTAAAATTATAATTACGCGACGGAATTTAGAGTGAACCCACATAAAAAGAGCATTAAAAACTTTTAATTGAATTAATCAGATTAAATTGAAATAGATCCTTATTAGAGTGTAATTCTAGATATCGCGGGTTTAACTACACTGCATACAAAAACTATAAAACGCAGAAAAGTATCTTTAAATACATACATATTTCATAAAAAAAACGGGCCTTTATTTTATAAATAGCTTCAGTGTGTCACTGACTCTTTTTAACCTGATTTATTATCGTATTTTTATCGCGTTCAGGTAGGTACATTTACAAAGATATAATAGTTTGCTGTATGGAATAATCAGAATTGTATTTTCCCCTTATGAGCTAAAATAGAAATAAATGAATGTGGGGGAATTAAAAATAATTCTTACCCACAATAACTTCTTTCATAAAATAACACTAGACATCATCTCTTTGATCTTTGAGATTTAGAAATTGAAAAATTGTTACTATAAGTTACCCTCTTAAAATTGCTGAATCCAATTTTAGCAATTCCCCAGCTGATTACTACTTGAAGAAGATACTCACTTTCCATTTTCTGAATGTTCTCTATTGTATCTGTTGGCTTCAACGAGTGAATCCAAAAGTTCCGGCTCAATATCAAACCTCTTGGCCTGCCGTCTGTCCATGAAGAATGACCAATGGATTTCGCTGATTGTGTTGTCCCAATAATGTTTACTGAAACAAAACGAAAAATAACGTTAGCTTGATTCAGATCAAACTCCTGTAAGCTTACGAAATATCTCAAACACATTTTTTTGGATGCGAGTCCAACCCTGTAGCACACAAAACCTTTCCAGAAGGTTCACAAGGCTGCTTAGTGTCACACAGCGCGACAGCCCTTACGCCTGTTTACATTATACATTCCATTCCTTCTCTGGGTACTTGTTCCCAGGATAAACTTTGTTACACGGGCGTGGACGGCGATACAGTTCAATTATTGCGTGGAGGAGATCGCTTCTCAGACCAAGTAGTGCGCTTTGTGAACTTGATTACAGTGTTGATGTGCTATTGGGTGTAGTGTTTTGGTTATCTGAAAGGTGAGCAATCACTGAGTGTTTCCTTTATTCTACTGTACTGCATGGACTGATAACCATAATACTTTTATATTCATGATCATGAATGTCTTAATCCATGTTTATAAAGATGCTATACTTTTTACCTTCATAATTTAACTTATGGCTTACGACTTGTTATTGAATATCCGCAGGTGGGACGCCTCCAGGTTCTGGGGGTTGTTATGGGACTTTCGGAGCGCGTTTGCTGCGTTGAGGTAGTTATGTTACTTACTGCTCGGTTCCCTCTACCAGGGGAATCGTCGGAGCGCTTTGGATGTTGACACAGTGGCCTTTGGCCGAAGTGGCGTCCTTGGTTTGAATGACCGCTTAACTATCTTCTCTTGGCAATCGCTGGAGTCTGAATGTATCTCATGGCAGGATGTGTGAAGGGATTGTTACTTTAATGATAGTCATATTGCTCGGTTACCTCTGATTCGGGGGTAACGTCGCAGCTTTGGGGTATTGACACAACGGACCTTGGCCAGCGTGATATCCCGGTTCCTGGACTGTCTTTTTGTAACAATCGTTAAACTCAGCACGTCTGACCATACACCTAGCGACCAAAGAGTTAGAGTTAGTCTGTGGCACAACTCCGAGTTAGCCTGTGTGACGACTCCTAGTCAGTCTGTGTGACGACTTAATGATCAGTCTGTGTGACGGTCAGGATTAGTCTGTGTGACGATCCCGTGATTCATAATGGTAGTTGGGGTACATTAATGTAATGGTAAATAGTAGATTTGTGCATGTGATGTCATGAGTCAGTTGAATACGGGAGATACTCATAAGTCTTTTTCTAAAAATAGGTGTTGGCCCCGACAATCCGATGATATCGCCCTTATCGCTTGCCAAAGGAGGATAACTCGTTGTCGTTTCGTGACTTTAATATTACCCTGACATTGTTGCCCATGTAGTAAAAATGAAATGGTACGGGGCGGTACTTCGAAATCTTCTAGGAAGAGATGTTTTCACGTTTATCGTTATATTGCTATTATCATATTATCTCTTTCGTATCCTACACTCCATAATTTTGTGTTATATATTACCGGGTTTTTTCGATCTTTTCCATTTTTGTGGGAAAACTTTTTATTCGACAACAAAGAATGAGAAAACGCGTTTTTTCTTATTCAATTTTTAGGAATTTATGAGACTTCTAGATAACCACACATTGAAGTAGATTGGTCAAGTAGTTTTTGAGAATTTCTAATTGTTGTCCCAAAACACCTGTTTTCCGGCCATCAATACTAGTTTATTGAGCAATATACAGGGTTAGTTCAAAGGGCATTTTATTGCAAAATACGTTAGTTTATCTTGCAGATATGAATCGCAAACCATTTCGGAAGATAAATGTTATTTTTATGCAAAAAAGGATGGGTTACGTATTTTCTTCTAAACAAATTCAAACATTTCGTATTTGTGAGTAATTCGCAACAAAATATGATAAACACATGCGCTTTGTTTTAAAAAGTATATAGTACAGTATGTTTTTCGAATATCGTAGCGCATTTGTTCAATTACTCACAAATACGAAATGTTTGAGTTTGTTTATAAGAAAAAAACGTTATCTTTGTTTTTCGCATAAAAATAACATTTATCTTTCGGAATGGTTTGTGATTCATATCGGCAAGGTGAACACGTGTACTTTGCTATTAAATGCTCGTTGAACGAACCCTGTATATTGCTCAATAAACTAGTAGTGATGGCTGGAAAACAGGTGTTTTGGGATTAACAATTGGAAATCCTCAAAAAATAATTGTCCAATATAATCCAATTTTGTTGCTGTTATTCAGAAGTAAGAATCGTACGGATCTGAATAATTTCAAGCAGTTGCGTGGAATTATCGTCGCATTACCAACAAGTGCCAAAGTCTGCATTTTGTCTGGTTTTTCGGCCATAACATTTTTGCTATTAGTCGGATTATCTTTCGTGGGGTCTCATTTTATAGGTCTCATAAATACCTAAAAATCCTATATGGAGAGTTTTGTGGTTCCTGCCAACACTTTCGATTGAATCCCAGAAAACACGTTTTCGTTATTTGTTGACAGATAAAAAGTTTTCCACAAAAATTGGTGTACCCGTTTTATGCGTCCATAATATGATTAGACTATTACTCAAAAAGTTGACGCAAGACAGTTATAAAAATTTGGTTTTATGCTATGAATGATGGGAGCAATTTGTCTGAAATATTTTCTCAACGATGACACTCCCGGTTGCACCAGAAGTATATACCAACTTGCTTATTCTAAATAGAAAGCCCTGTATATTATAAAATTTTTGGATTCTACGCAAGTATATTTCAGGCATATCATACCAAAGTCGAACCGTTACAGAGATATCTCAAATTTTGCGTAAAAATGGCATCAAGTAGGTTGACTCTGCACTTGCTAAGCTATGCTGTCAACAATTTATGAGGATATTTGTCTACATACATGTATAACTAAAAAATTAAATGGATCATGTCAGTCAAACAGGCCCATACAATTAGTCCATAATCCCCACAGATTTGAATACATTGCGCCTTAGCGACAGTAAGAACCACCCAGCAACTGCCTGCATCGGCACTTCATCATACAACTTTTAAGGGCAAATATACGGGGAACTGATAGATATATGCGCAGAATTACCGGGGTTGGAAACGTATGCAATGCTAGCATCAAAAAATTTACATATACTCTCCCCCACCCACTACAACCCTTACCAACCTATTTTTAACCGCTGTACATTTTTTTTGACATTGCGTCACTGAATCGATTTTCAAAAGCTGCAAAGCTTCTTCGCCCTTGAAATAGTAGTGACCTTGTGTTGACATTTCATCATAATCCGATCATCAAACAGAAATTCTCGAAATTTTTCGCGATTACAATACCTTCTCGCTAGTGGCGTTGAAAGTAAAATGACAAATGCAGACCAATAAATTATTTGACGCCAAGGTGTTTCGTTGCCCAGATGCACTGTATAAGACATACAAAGTTCAAAATTTCATTAAAATAATGAAAATAAGTATAACAAACCATATACAGCGGAATCCACATATAATGAACTTGCTTATAATGGAAACCCGTATATAATGGACACAATTTAAGGTCCTATAAATAATTGCATGTAAAATACTCGGATGTTATAGATTCGCTTAAAATAGACCCTCGCGGACTGTTTTAATCCATTATAATTTATAATAGACTATTTGTCACAGTCACGCCGAGTCCATTATAAGCGGGTTGCACTGTATATTCGGAATCAGAAAAAACGTACCCGAAATTTACAGAATCATAGATATAAACTTTACTCAATGTCTCTCGTTCTATTTTTTAGAAAAGAAGGTATACTTTATCTGAAGTCACTTGAAACACTGTGAAATACCGGGTGCGTTTTATATATCTATATTTAACACGCTCTGTTGCTGCAAAAATCGCCAAATTTCGCAGCAAATATCCCCCGTATAAGATCAAAGGCAGTTTCACCGGTCCACGTGGAGTAAAGCACGCCTATGCGTGGACATAGCCAATGAGAAAGCGTGTATTTCAGAACAAGTGCAGGTGGCTACTGAAAATTGAAACAGTTTAGCCAGTGGCGTGTAGCGGTGAATAAACGTGTTTTCTTTAGTCTGTCCGTGTTTTTTCATAGATTTTATTAGTTTGTGTGTTTTTGACTTTTGAGTACTCAGTTTACTTGTTGATTTAATTGTTGTGTTGATTGTTCTTGTGTGTCCTAAATATGGCTCTTTGGAGACCTTGGGAAAATGCTCCAAGCCACGAGGAGATGGTTGATGAACCTGTGCAGGCAGAATTCTTTCATAAAGATTTAGAGGAACAGACCCAAAGAGTAATCCTAAATATGTATGATTGCCTGAAAAACGAAAATCCAGATTCCTCGCAAAATCAAATTTTAAACAGGATTTGTATCCTGACAAAAATCAGTCGGTCTACCATTTATCGGGTTATAAAAAGGGGAGATGTAGTCAACCACTCCTTCCACAGAAAGCGCATAGGGCAAAAATTAAAAAGAATAGACGTGGGTTTTCAGGAAGATGTTCGTCGTATAATATACGGATTTTATAAAGAAAGTTTGGTGCCCACGTTGGAAATGATACGGGATAAATTAAAAGATTATCCTGAAGATTTTTATAATTACAAATGCTTAGACTCACTGCACTGTATTGTAAAACTGTGTGGTTTTCAATACAAAAAATTAGATAAAAGAATGGTGATTATGGAGTCGTCTCGAATCGTTGAATTGCGCCAAGAATTTTTGCACAAAGTTAAAATCTATAGAGAGCAGAAAAGAAATCTGATTTACCTAGATGAAACGTGGTATGATACCCATGATGTTGTGCAGTACGGCTGGGTTGACAACAGCAACAAGTGCATTTTAAATGCACCATGCAACCGTGGAAAACGAATCATTATTCTCCATGCTGGCAGTGAAAATGGATTTATACCTAATGCCTTGCTGTTATCTGCCAAAAATATCAAAGAATCATGTGCCGACTATCATGAGGACATGACCTCCGACTTATTTGAAAAGTGGATAGAGCAGCAGTTAATACCAAACATTTCCCCAAATTCAGTGATTATTATGGACAATGCGCCATACCATTCCCAACAGAAAAACAAAATTCCGAATACAGGCACAAAAAACAAGACATTATTGATTTTATGAAGGATAAGGGAATGGAAATACCACAAAAATCAACCAAAGCCATATTATTGGATCTTATTAAAAGACAAAAATTTGAAAAAGAGTATGTTGTTGACAATCTGCTTCAGCAAAATGGCCATGAAGTATTACGTCTACCTCCCTATTACTGCATTTTTAACCCGATTGAGTTGGTCTGGGCTGCTTTAAAAAAAAAAGTAAGAAAACATAATCAGACCCCTCAATTAAGTGAATCACTATTGGCCACAATAAGAGATGCAGTATCTCATATTGCTGCCACAGACCTATGGAAGCAGTGTTCTAGGCATATTATTGAAAAAGAAAATGAATATTGTGTTTTGCCTCCTGTTAATCCCGTTGTAATTCCTCTACAAGATGACTCTAGCGACAGCTCCGAAGGCGAGGATGATATATAAATACCTATAATGTAAGTCTTTATATACCTTTTTATATACCTACCTGCTATGTAAATATTTGCCTATGTCAAACGTTGGAATTCTGTAATTTTTCCATTTCTTAACTTTCAGTCAACATAAATTAAACTCCCAATATAAGTATTTTTTAACCCAAATCAAAAAATAAGAAGATAGTAAAATCCATTTATTGTGATATAAAAACATTATTATTATCGTTCTAAATATATGACCGCACGCCTATAATAAGTCATGAAATTACAAAGGACGCGCCGACCAAAGGTTTTTATGCTATTTCAAGTGACTTCAGATAAAGTATACGTCTGGTAGTTCTGGGATCTCGACGACTAGTTAATCCAGCCAATTATTATTGGACAAATAAAGCGCGGTGATAATTCCTCTGGCCACCAATTTTGACAGCGACAGCGTTGATTAGGAAGTGTAGGTCCACTTATTTGGTGCCAATTTTTTCGATAATGTTAAAACTTTCGTTTATTGTTTTTGATACCCACTGTATTTGGGTGCTTTTTGTGAAGTTGTTTATCCGATAAATAATCTTTCAATTCATATCCGTTATCAACAACTATTTGTTTGCTTAAGGATGTTGACATTCCCTTCTCTTTAAATTTTCAGATGACATTGGAATATTAATTGGTTTATTACAATAGGAGCCAGCGATTTTTGTGTATGTTGTTTATCGCCCTCAAGCAATTTGAAATTAAAAGTTATAAGATGAATGAATTGCCATTAATAAATGCTCATCATTTGTCATAAACACACCTCAATTTAGAGAAGAAGTACACGTTAATATAGGAGGTCGTACAATATACACTGCTTCTCAGAAAGCCACCCCTACTTATTTTTAGAACACGTCAAGTTAGGGAGCTGACATTCGGGATCATGAAATTGACGAATGAATATTATATTTTAAAGTAACGGTTGAAAATTTCAAGATGACGGCTGGACGCTATCTTATAGCACTTTTTTAAACGGGATGTGATAACTTATTTTGAAGCTCCTCAGTATACAAAATCACTCCTTCAAAATATAGGAGGTTGGAGCGTTTTTGTACAATGGATCGCTTTTAACTCTGAATGTACAACAAAATATGATACATTTCCAGTGGTTGATTCTGGAATAACAGATTACACTTTCTCCTGTCTTATTACGTACACGAATTGTTTACATTACATTGTATTTGCACTGTATACGTTGTCTACACCGAAACGTAGACAACTCTAAAAACAAACAAAAAATGTTTCGACTATTTTTGTAAAGGAAGCTCAGGAGATCTTTCTCCGTAGAAAAAATAAAGTCAAAATCCAATAAAAGTTTCAAACCACTTGACGACATTTTTACCACGTGAAAGTAATGCCCGCTTAAGAATTTGCGTAAAAATTGAGTCACGTGTACGCGAACCTTTATTACGAAAAGATCAATTTTAATGCGTGGTTTCTCACGATGTTGTTTTCAATCGTGAAATATTTAAAAGTTCGACATACGTTTTACGTTTATTTTATGCCGAGTTATTCGTATTCAACCTGTTCATTCTGATACGTCACTGGCGTTATATAAAATGGTGTATGGGTGAATATACCGTATTCGGGTTTTCAGTTTTCAATTAAGAAAAATAGCTTATTTTATTTTCATATTTATTATATCACAAGACTACATGATATGTGATACACACATAAATATGAGACAGGAACAAAAAGTTTGATATATGACATGATTTTGGCATATTTTATATGTGTCGCTGGGAACTATGAAAAAGATATTTTAAACGTAATATAAATGAGATAAGCTAAATGAATTCAATTTGGTTCTTTATTAAAAATATCAAGTCTTCCGTTCTATTGGTCTTGAAACAAGAGAATCGTATAGATTGAGAGCTCACAAACCCTCAGGGTAACGTCACGGGTATTACATGCGTATAAAATCAGTGATATTTGCTATGTGAACTGAACATGCTGGCAATGAAGTATATGTATTAGATGTGCCCGACGGGTTATTTATATGTTGACCTTCCTGAAGAAAGGTAATATTCAAAGTTAGAAATTACGATTTTTCCCGTTTTTTTTTTGTGCTTTCAAAAACTTTGAGGAGCATTACGGGAAATCGCCACCGCGCCCGCGTTGTGTGCAATTAAGCCAAATACAGAAAACTAAGAATGACGCAGCACACATCAAACATTTTCGCAATGCCTCACATCTAGGCGCTGATTTGTATTTTCTATTGACACTGCAAAATAAATTTCTATAAAATTTAAATGACTGGAAATACGAAATAAGTAATAAACTTTTCACTTTCATAAATATTTCTGACTATAGCACATTTTATCACCAACCAGGGATTTTCTTTTCTTATCTCTCTAATTTTTTAAATTCATTTTTTATTGTAAACAAATAACAAAGTGTAGTAAATCAGAAAAAAAATGAAATGAAAACTGCCAGAAAAGTAAAGCCCGCGTAGTGACAACTACGAAACAAATGATGGTACAATTATTTATTTATTATATTATCATGTGATTTATTACTTTTGTATTCAAGAATCGTCTTTTTTTTACATAGTTGCAATGATGTACCATTGAAATTCACAAAGATATGCTTACCAGGGATTATAACCACTGGGGAAATGATATCGGGATAATTTCCTGAAATTTTGGACCAAAATGCCAATACTGCAAACTTTGGACTTTTAAAACACATTAAAGGACTAAGATAAAACAAAAAATATTGAAGTATAAAACGCATATATTCTATCAACTTGAAATATGAGAAATATTCCCGGCCAAATCTCTCCTTATAGACCTTGATCATTTTCCATGTCGGAATGATGTATTATAGAAAACACTTAAACAAAACAGTCCCATTACTATTAATTATTTGGCAATCGTTCAAAAATATGACTGACTATTTTATTCTTATGGATGAAATTTTTTAAAAGCAAGCTTAAAACAGATCTAATGCAGCAATGCTTGTAAATATGTAACTAACCTGTAGTACTGCTCGATAGGTTCATCAAATTCTCTAGGTATGAACCAACCAAATCTTCCAGGAGGGCCGATGTTTCCGCTTTCTCTCACTAACTCCTTGCTCAAAGTATCATAGTCAGGACTGGCCCACACCTCCAGGTTTATAGTAGCATTTGGGACACTGGAACAAAAAACACGATTTACCTGTCTATCATGTGGCTGTCTGTTGTATTGCTAATTTCGTTTAATTCCTCTAAAGAAATGTATCGTTCTTTGGTTCCGATAATGTGAAAATTAATCTTGTTTCAGTACTACGAGTAGTCTATCGCATATTATGATACCGATTCCGATATAATGAAAATTTAGTAATCTTAACAACAGATTCATAATCAGTGATCCAAAAAGCCACCGGATACATTTTATTCAGAACACTTAAGTTTTATGATTTTGTCAACAATTTGGGACGGCACCATTCAAGTACTACGTAAACACTAGAAGGGGGCGCGGGGATCTTCGTTTTGCTTATTTTCGATGACATGGGGTCCGGATCGTGATTACGTCAGCAATATTTATTTTCTACAAAATTTATTCGACTTTGATTTGAACACATATGGCAACTCTGCTTGTCTATGCTCGAAAGCGATACGCATATTCAGGTATTCCCCAAGTATGGATATGCGTACTCGCTTAGAACATTGCTACAAATTTACGGGGCTCCTACAATCACGAGCACCAGCTGAGGTAACGGGGGGTGAAAAGGAAACGACGGTGGGCTGGCCCCACACGGTGGTCGGCGCTACTTTAAAAGAGGAAAGAATGACTGCGTGTGAATACCAAGGTAAATTTTTATAATAACAGAGTCGGATTTTGATTAGCGATCTAGCCTGTAAATCCTTTCCTATTTTGGTTTTCAGCAAGTGATCATTTAGTATTTTTCTCCCCTTGTTACTGTTCGTCGATATTGTGTTGTTGAATTGTTGCGCTGTACTCTTGTTGGTGTGATTGTTCTTGAGTGCTTTTTTTTTTCAAGGTTGATAATGGACAATAAAAGGTCATATGCGACCATTTTAATTACGAATGCAGTGAGTTTAAAGAAAATGAATAGTTTTATGGCGAATTCTGTCAAAGACCTGACATGAACGACATTGATTTGGAGGTTGCTAAGCAAGAATTTTTAGGGAAACTTAAAAAAAGTGGCGACGAGATTTTGCAGATCGAACAAATCACCAAATTACAGGACTGTACTTTGTGGCGCCCTCATCGGAGGAAGTTGACAGCGTCTCGATTGTAGAAGAAGGCAGACAACAAGCTGTGAAGTTCTAGTAAACTCCATCATATACCAAACAGAGTTTTCTAGTAAGGCAATAAAAAAAGGCAATACAAAAACCATTGGACACGGCAGTTCAATTTTGTGGTTTGTTTATTGATCGTACAAATCCATTTCTGGCAGCATCGCCTCCATCTACCTATTACAGTAGACAAGAAATGTACTTAATCCAGGTATAAGCCTACCTGTTTATTGCTTTGCAAAAACTACCTAACTGTTTCCTCTTATTTTGACGGCATAAGATATTTTTGTGACCCTCGTGCAATTATTACCATGTACCACATGACCCTTGTAAACATAATTGTGTTTATTGACATGAATAAACGAATTTTAATTTGAGTTCTTGAATTTATTTTACTAAAGATATCAAATTATTTGAATAAATTTTTTCTTAGTCGAAACGCACCGTCGCGTCGCTTGGACTGGCAGGACGAAACAATAGACGAATTTCGCCCAAAATCCGATTTGCACTTCACAGCTTACGTTTCATTTTTTATTATTTCCAGATGAAACTCTTGCAGCCTGCTAACAAAAAAGTCCGCAGGGTGCTAACGATCCACTTTTTCGATTTTATCCACTAAGATATTTTTAAAATAGCAAGAATTTTAGCACAAATAGTAAGCATTTCAACCCACCATAATTCTTGCACAAACTCAAAATTTTGTAAAAAGCTCTGATAGCACCTTAGGCAATTATGTCGTGCTTATTTCCAGAAAAACATCACAAACTGCAGAACACAAGTTGAAGGTGACGGCGAAATGGGTACATTTCACGGGTCATGAAATTTAAATTAAAATGCAGGTATAAAATCTAACAAATTATCGTTCTCAAAAACATATTTCCTTGACATATCCATAATTTTAAAGTTTCACGCTAAATTTTCCTATACTTGACTGGAGTGATATCCGAATTCATTCTTCCCTACTGTCGTCGGATTTTCGTTACTTAAATTTCCTGTAATCACTCTGACCAGAAGCTTCTTAATAATTGTACGTGTTTCACTGATATCAAAGATGCAACATTTAGAATCACCTGCCCCCTACCCCCACTTTTTACATTTTACATTTTTTTATTTCAATATAAGGAACCCCTGTAACGTCAAAAATGGAGTTTCAGCAATTGTTACTTTTTCTTTTTGCCTATAGCGCCCTTGCCATTGGACTAAAACTACAAAGCTTTGGCATACTAGTAACCCCCTGTGGAATTTTCATAAAAATCCGAGCAGTAATTTCTAAGTTGATGATGATTTATATAGTTTTTCGTGATGTAGATGTCATATGCCTTAAAAAAACATAGCATCTCATTTTAGAAATTTTTCGCGATTACAATACTTCCTCGCCACCAGCATTGGAAGTAAAACGGCTTTAAAATCGAGGAGTATCAGCGATCGCGCTTATGAATACCTATTTGCAGAACGACTTATCTATGCGATATTATATGAAATAGGGCCACCAAATTATCTGAATACGTCCTTTCTTAGTCCATACATTGCGCCGCAACGCTTGGGTTGGCAGCACGAAACAGTAGACAAAATTCGTCCAAAATACGATTTGTAGAGGTTTGCGCGCTTCAAAATTGATGCTTTATTTTTTGATATATTTGGCTGAAATTTTCATAGTGTGCTGAAAACAAAACCGAACAGTGTGCTATAGAGCCACTTTTTTATAAATCGGAAGAATTGTGTTGTAAACGTAAGTGATGTCGAAGGGATACCAAAAATCGCAATGCTCAGTTCCTATAGCTATAACTTATAGTTAGTATGTATCTGTCGCCATGATGTGTCAGAAAGCCCCCCGCGCCCCCCTCTAAATCCGCCACTGGTCATTTGTCAAATGATCTCGATACATAAATGCGTCTTCTATCAACTTAAATCGCTAGTAAAAGTATATTAACATAGTGTTTTGTTTGTTGTATATTCTTGTCTAGCCTCATTATAAAAATAGACTATACTCCCAAAATTACAAACAACAAATGTTTACCTTGGGTCATTGCGTTTCAGTCTTCAATGCTATTTTAGAATATAATATACAGGGCCAGTTTACGTTAATGACTGAGTTCATACCGCGACGTTGATTTGAAAACAGTTATTATGTTTCAATGTCGTTATTTTATCAAATACTATACGCAGTGAAATTAGGTATTCGCTATTTGACTTGATTTTCAAGCTACTTGACATCACGACAAGCTCAAGTAAAGTTTATTTATTTTTAAGTCTTGACTATCTAAAAATATGAAACTACTTGGCTTGATGAATCCCTAAGTGGAACACATATTAATCAAGTTATTTTGATCATTATTTAATCTATCAATAAATTGGACTTCACTCATATTAATTTGGTGTTATTTCATTAAAAAATAATTCTTTTTATGTTTCCAGTACTTTTTGCGCACCAGGATTATTTTTCGAATAAAAATCAGATACATGAAACGTGTAAATGAATTTGAAATTGCTTGATCAAATAAGAATACCAAATCGTCGAAAGACCAGTGGCGTACCTGGAAAAAATTGGTGGAATGGACTAAATAGCAACAAGAACGTTTTTGCGAAATGCCATTTGTTATTAATAAAAATGACATTACAATATACAGTAATGGACAAAAGTATATAGACAAATATGAATATTTACCTAAATACCTTTAGAAAACGAATTCATACTTCATTGCTCCATAAACAAATGCGTTATTAGTAGAAAAACCAAATTCCTTGTTTTTACATTATCTGCAATGAACACAATAAAAGTCTGAATACAAGCACTTCTTTATGAGGGACAAAAATATGTAGACAAATTCTTTTCAACATTAGTTTAGTACAGTTTCGTGTCAGAAGAGGATTAGTTTGTGTTCATGAAGTATTGTGGAATAAGTTAACTGATTTTAAGACCATGCCGCGTGGTCCAGAAATTTCTTTCGATGTGAAAACTAAGATCATTGAGTTATACAAAGATGAAATTTGAAGCTGAAGCGTAAAGCAGTTTGGGCAACATTGAATATAAACAAAAAGGTATCTTGGAAGCCTCTAAGAGAAGTGGTCGGCCTAGAAAACTAAATGCTAGATCGGTTAGATTAATAAAAGTAATTTCGTCCAAAGATCCGTTTAAACCCCAAGACAAATAAAAGCCGCAATCGAGTCAAAAGGAATTGTCAGTGTTTGTACGAAAACTATAAGTGGAAGATTAAATGATTTGAAGTTACATATTTGCACCTCGCCCAAGTAAGAAGCCGCTAATCTCGAGCAAAAACCGTAAGGACCGATTACAATTTGCACGGTTGCACCTTGATTGGAGCATCTGTGACTGGAAGAGGGTATGTTTCAGTGACGAATCCAAGTTCAATATGTTTGGATCAGATGGTGCTCATTACGTTAGACGTCCTAGTGGACAAAGATTGAACCCCAAGTACACTTTGCCCACTGTCAAACATGGAGACGGGTCTGTTATGGTTTGGGGTGCTTTACGGGGTTTGGGATGGGGCCTTTACATAGAATAGATGGCATTATGGATAAGTTTGTATACACAGACATTCTAAATAAAGTATGTCATGTTAACCTATATGGAAGACAATATGCCCTTAAGATCAATCTTCCAGCAAGATAATGACCCGAAGCACACTTCAAATCTCGCAAAGAAATTCTTTCTGGATGAAAAAATACCAGTTCTCAAATGGCCTTCACAGTCTCTCGATCTAAATCCCATTGAAAATCTACGGGAATACTTAGATAGG